TCAAGGCGTAAATTTGATGGAACCAGCTACTGATTGAGTTTGAGTTAGACGGTCGTTGACGACGATGAAGAGTGGAATAATCTGAGCGACGACAACGACGACGAGTGAGTGTGCAAGCTGGAGTACTTGTGTTCCCGCCCCACGGGTGCGATTGGTTCGTGTGCCTGTTTTACACTGATCTGGTAGCATAGCTCGCAATTATCATAGATATCATGATCATTGTGTTCGTTGCTGTCCACTTGTATGAGACACGCTCTGAGTCGTGCTTCAAATGCCCCTGCCGGCTACGATGCCTAAGCTATCTATGATTATGATGCCTATGCCACCTATGATGCCTAACCCGCTTATATTGCCTACGATACCGACTCTCCGAGCCGTACGTGGGTAGACACGTTAACGACGGTCGGACATGGGAGGAGGATAAAGGCTCGCGAACGTTGAACTCGCTAACGAACGAACACTGATATACGGAATGTGCCCGTGCCACGAAAGTTGCAACCAAAAACGGTTGTAATGGTCGGCGCGGGTGATTGGCCAGCATGATGTGCAACCAAAAGCGGTTGTAACGTGTTGGCCAGCGCTACGGATGGATCGGCAACTTGCGAAAATTTGGCATAAAAGTACACGCTGCGCCGTTCTTCGCGTTCCGCTACCTGGTATTCGCTTGCGAGTTGCCTCACAACGAAGCCTGCTCTGTAGAGGAAGTGGAACGCCTCTATGATTTCTTTAGTACCTGTGAGAGAAAGTCTTTTGAATATCCTCACAGTACCAAGGGCGCTCTCCCTTCCACGCGTCATTACTCTTGCAGTCATCGTTGTACTCATTTACGCCACAGCAAAATCTCGGAGGCCGACTGACTATATCAACAGTTAGTCACAAATTATCAACCGCAGATAATCACTAATTGTCGAAGGCGACTGTCCGTATCAACTGTTAGTTACTACGTGAGTATCTACCAACAAATAACCACAATGAGGTGCTCCCACGCCACGAATGTCCCTCACGATGTGCTACCAACTGCCGACTGCCTCTATGTGCGTTGTATGGCTATGATATCAATTCCCACGCAGCTGCATAGCAGTAATGATCCCCGAGGAGGGGTGGCAAATATTATAGGAGTTCTACCAGTGTAAAATCACCAAACATTGGACTGGTTGAGATAGGTATATAGTGATACTCACCCTGGTCAACAACAGCCACAAATCACTAAAAGAGCGGACTGACAACAACCACCCTATCATCACTAGAGCCCCACAACTAGCTACAGTATCTAGTAGACTAGATAGCCTGGTTCTACCAGTGCAAAATCACCAAACATTGGACTATCTCAAGTAGCCTCAACTACACTAGACTCCACTGGTATTAACTCATATTATCATAGGGTATTACTGTGGTCATACAAAATAGATCCGTAACTTCAGGAAAAGGATTGGCTCTAAGGGTTGGGTGTGTCAGGCCTTGGTTGGAAGCCTTGGGACCAGACTAGGACTGTCTATTGGGCAACCTTTGGATGGACTTGGTCAGGACCTGGGTGGAACCCGCCCTCAAGTCGCCAGGGATGTACCTCTACGACGTAAGGTCATGCGCGCATGCAGGCATCCGGATATACAGGTCGGTGTGTGTTTGGTGCGTGGGCGTGTGGACGTACGGACGTACTGTAAGGGTTGTACCCTTACCGTTTGTGTATTCTGCACTACTCCTATCCCCTATCCACCCCTTTCTGCCCCTCGGACTCGCTCGCACATGTTTCCTCGGCCTCGGAACGGTCTCAGAAGCACGTGTTATCGGATCGTCGCACTCGCCATTCTCCCTCCTTTATCGATTTGCGTTTCGGACCTAATTTACACATGATTCTCTTCCTAGCTACAAATACTCCTGTACTCGTAGTTAGAAGATAAGATTTGATTTCCCCCCACTTCGAGTCAGAATCTAAGAAATTCTCCTGCCGTCCTTGTCATTCTCCTGCCTTCCTCGTCGTTTCCCATCGTTCCGAAGCGAGTGTTCCGACCCCGAGCGTTCCGAAGCCGTTGTGATATCTTCGTTGCACGTTTCTCTCATCGGGATCACTCGTTCTCACGTATTATCACACTAGGTGTCGCACGGACTTATCCTGTCTGAGACGGACCCTCGCATTGCACTCAGCTTGATCTACTTTACAGATTACTACTTATATTCACTACTACAGTACGGATGTGCAAATGTACGGACGTTCGGACGTTCAGACACGTGGACGTGCAGGATGTGAGGATATGCGGATGTCTGGACGTCCGGATGCGTAGATACGCAGAGCATAAGGATTCCTGGGCATGGAAACTAAGCTGTAGACTTGAGAAAATGTGAACTTACTTACATGTATAGAGGTGTTTGGTCGCTGCACCTCCCGTGATTAATACTCCTCGAATAGCATTGATGAAAGGATCAAGAAGTTAGTGAATTGCCGCGCACGTAGTGTCAGTCCCTCTTTGCAAGAAGGCTAAGGTTCTCCTACAGTATCTACAGAGTCTAAGTAAGTACGAAAGGCCCCAGGCCAAGGTAAAGATAATGAATATATCATAAGGAGGGGATCAGATCGCGAGGGGATGGGTACGAGCACGGAGAGTGGATCGTAAAGCAAGAGTAGAAAAATCGATATATCTATCTTGTGGCGCCCGCGTGCTTGTATCTGCTTGAAGTCCGTGCTGCTCCAACAACAATCTACCTCGCCATGGCCACGCGTCTTGGAATTGTGGATACTCTTGTCCACTGACAGGCTTCAGGATCCTTCTCGCACATGGTCCTCCAGTTGTTAGGATTGGAGAGTGCCACGCTATTGGCTGTGGATCCATGCCGGTCTCGGGATGCCCTCCAAATCCAGCGTGCACCCTCTGCAAGCTCAACAATCAATTTGTGATCTCCCCAAACAAAGTTAGACTCGCTGCGAGGAACCTGTATTAATCTTAGCATGGACTGTAATACCCTCATTTCAATGTCTTACCTTGGGAGACCTCTTGGTGACATAGCCAAAGGTCACCGACTCATCTTTATCAATGTGCTGGCCGGCGCCGTATCCATAAGTGGCAAAGCTAGAGGTGTCTGGTCGTCCCAAAGCGTTCAACAGTTGGTACTCAGTAGCGGTAGCCTACAGGAGATTGAGGTTCAGTGATTATGTGACTGATATGCCTTACATACCATCTGCTCTTTTGCAAACGGGGCATGTAGGCCTCGCATGAACTCAAAGTCTTTCGCCTGTCCCACTTCAAGTGGATGGTGTTACTTGAATGGAGTATGTGGACAAGTCAGAAAACCACACACATGCATGATACTCCTTCATTTGATCATATAGGATTTTCTGGTGATCAATTCTTGTACGGATCTTGAGATTGGAGGAGGCGCTGTTTTCAACGCTTGGCAGATTCTGATATCTGCGGCCAGACACCTGCTGGAGACCGGTGCTTTTGACCATGACACCATTCTGAGTAATGCCTCGTTGAACATGGTCTTTTGTCCTACATTCAAAGTTTAAGAACAAACCCATAAAACCAAACAAAGACTGAACTGTATGTTATGCTGAACTGTCTCTTGTTCAGCCAGGGTAAGCTTGTCGGAAGTACCAAATGCTTTGCTGAAGTCTCCAGCATTGTAAACCACAAAGCCAAACTAATTGCAGAGTTAACCTTAAAATAGACAACTACGGAATGCAACTCACATAGTCTTTTGGGCCCTCAGAAGGTTGCTGTTCACAAAACATAATCGCGTAGGCCTTTCCTGGCGGGGGTGCAAGCACCCGATTATAGCCGTCCAAACACACCACCTTGTCGCACTTCAAGGCACCACTTTCAATGCCTTGCTCAAGCAACAAGTTATTTTCAACCATGTTGTAGTCTGTAGGAGGTCCGTTGGAATATCTACTTGGAAATGGTTGAGTATCACATTACTGAATGGCAATATTCCTAACAAACCTTGGGACCGGTACCTCAATGGCCTGTTTGCGAAGAGCTTTCCCAGCTCGATATGATGCTTGAAGTGCTTTCCGAGCTTCATCAGACATCCTCAGAGCATACTCCAGGCCGGGCATCGGAGCCACTACACGGTCGATTGCCGCAATGAAAGAATCGTACATGCCTTGCAAAAGGTGCGAATCGAAAACTCCACATTCTTCGACCTCCTTTTGCAGCTAAATAGCTATTATTATCAGTGAACCGACAGTATGCAATCTGCATACCTTGCTATAGAGATCCCCGATGATTTTAAAGTTCTGGAAGGGGCATGGGGTTTAGCCATGCGACGTACGACACTGAAACAACGTACTTGTGTTGCGCCTTTATTTTGACAATACGACAAATATTGCGGAATATGCCTCTTGAATAGCAGCCAAACAGCAGGACAATCTGTAAGGCTGAACCTGACCTCAAAGAGGACATCTGGTTGCCCTTCCTTGTCTGGCCAATGTTCTATCAAGTAGGTCCAGAGGCTTTGAACCTTTGCGTTCAACTTTTCACGCTTATGGGCTGGCTCTACATGCGGTCAATCATTTATCACAGGAGACGTCTAGGAAACAACATACGGCTTGGACGTGCCGAAGCAGGGGAATGTGCTTTTGGCAGCGTGGTGCCGGGTCCGTGATACGGCAGCGTGCTGCATTTCTGCAGATCGAGGATCCAACCTAACCTTACATTAATATCAGCAGGATGGCATGCAGAATAAAAATAGCAACCATGATCAGGACTGGAAACTATTGAAGGTCCTGGCCCGGCCTTTGCTAAGGTGGTATGTTAAGGAGCTTCTTTAGTGTCAGAGATTGGCGCAACTCACTTTGTGCAGCTTCAAAACTACTTGGGGCTGCGACGCCCCCATGGATGCTTCCTGTAGCAGCCCTTTTAACTGCTAAAGGCTCATCAAGGCTGCCTCGTGGCCGCTTGCTACGCCCTGTAGACCCTGCTATTTCAGTGTGTGGTCCTGGGGTATGTACCTCATTAAGGTTGTTTCCTTGCCATGATCAAGCACATCCAAATAGCATAATATCATAAAGGAGGATGCAAACAAAATTTAGTATTGTCCAGGTCTATATCAAACCTCTCAAACTCACCAGACAATTGAATTATCGTGCCTGGAAGAATCTCCTTGTGGGTGAACCCTTGCAGATCAGCTTGTGCCCAGAAATCGTCGACAAAGTGCAAAGACGACCGTGGGTCCGTATCGGTCGGTAGAAACGAGTCGATCTTCTCAGCCCTGTTTGTAATCCCAGTTGTGTCAGTTTGAGTCTGGGGAGAGTGGGAGACCGCTTGCAGCACTGACGTTGCTGCAGACATGGGATAGTTTTCCCACTATAGGGTACATGTTAGTTCATCATGGTAGATCAATACATATAGAAGAGCATTCACTTTGATCTTATACTCATATTGAGCATAATTCTTTTTCTCTGGGGGTAACTGGCCTGAGAAGTGGATACGATCCATCGCAGACAGGCGCTTAGCCTCGAAGATATATTCTGGCCCTCCGTGAGTCGAGAGTGTTCAAGATACAGGTACTAGTAAACAGCATACCAACAGTGTATTCGTCCATCGTAGCCTACCAAAATGGAGAGTCGACTGTTTACAGAGTCACTGAGAGTGTTGCGTAAAAGATTTTCAGGCAGTGGTTTCAACTGAGGAAAACTCGCTTGGCGCCGGGCGGAGTTTCTGCGTCACGTTGATGTTGTTTTGTAGTATGGCAACATTATCATACAGGGTGCGCTCGCCAGAAATCCTCACTCTCGAGACGTAGCCATTCCCTGATAATCAGAGAGGATGCTGCTTTGGGTGCAACACAATGTCAGGTGGCCTGCTAATCAGGTTCATCTCGTGTCTGCCCCGATACTCGATGGGGACGCGACGCGTGCTGAGACCTCCGAAGCACCCATGACTTCCGGGCCACACGCATTGGCGCTGCTATTTCTTCTCTTCGTACTCATGCCAGTGACCTGCAGTAATTGCCCAAAGTTGGACATCCAAAAGGCGCACGGCCTCAAGGTTCACCTCGCGAAATGCCAGCGGAAACAGAATTTCGCGCGGGCTGCTCGAATTGCTACAGGGGTCAACGTTCAACAAGTATCACTGATACAGGAACTGGTGGCAACGAGGTGAGTTTGTCATCGCTTCTCGCAAATTGCAGAACTCAGTGCCGCTTGGGGCTGCATGTTCGCCTCCCTTCCCCACTCGCTCTCAAGAAAGGCCTTGTCTTTGTCCACTGCATCCCTCTTCCCGCTCTCCACTACCTCTCCAGCCCTCGCCGGCCTCGTCGGGCCCGCCGTTGACCAGCTTGCTGTCCCTCTCCTCCTCCGCGTTCGAGCGCTCGTCTCTGCACTACGCTTGTGGTGCGGGCGGTGGAGGGCATGGTAGCATGGGCATTGATTATTCTGTGGGGATGGAGTACGTTGGGGGAGATATGGGTGAAATGGGTATGGGTATGGGTGGGATTGGGGCCGATGATGTGACCACGCTGTCCCACCCCTCTTCCGATGAGGCATCATCCAAGTCTGAGAGCTCCGTGCAGGAGTATGGGCAGCGCCCAGTGGAGGCACATGCGGAGTATGACCTGGGAGGGATGAACGGAGGGATGAGGACAGGACGGGGATGGAGACTGATATGCTAACCTATCATTTCTTCGTCTTCACGCACTCATCACGAGCCAAAGATGCGTCACGACAACGACAACGACGGAGATACCCCACTGTATTCTGAAAGGCAGTAGCATTCATGCATCACAAAACGTCGAACAAGTGTGGTGCCGATTGTAACTCGACCTGCCGCGCCGAGTTCGCATTCACCTCCATCTTCTTCCCTCTACCCAACTTCACACTATCCCCGACGTTTGACGCTGACGCCGCCTCCTCGCAAGCAAGCCGAATCAAACCGAAACCAACAACCTGAACGCAACAAAAGAGGGCATGGTAGAAGGAGAGGGGGAAGCCGCGAGTGACAATGACGACGGAGGACATCCTAAACACACGCAAACGGAAGGGAAAACGAAAGGGAGAGGGGGACGCGAACACGGACGCGCACACGGACACGAGAGATGAAGGGATTTACCTCATGATTCACAAAGCGTGCCTGCCATTCGAGGATCGCCATCGCCAATGAGGTGAGTCTCCATCCCTTATCCGCTCAACTCCCAGTACTCACCATCGCATACAGCACCTACTGCAACATCCAGCGTGTATACAAACGACAAGAGCGGCGACTTACCACTTCGCCCCCACCTACTATACCTCCTCTACTCCTCACGCATAAACTTCCCATCTCCAATCGCGCCATGAAGGGAGCCTAAGCCCTCGTCCCGCTGGCGTGTTTGTCGACGCGCTTCGTCCACCTGAGGATGGTGAGTCTGCACACTCCGTCTACGTGCTGCAAAACCATGCGCAGGATGCCCTCGAACACCCAACCCACGCCATCCTTCAATGATTCATCGCACTCACAAGCATCCTGCAAGCAAACTCAGCGAAATCACCACGCCTCGAGATGAAGGCCGATGGTGGGGACGCACCAAATCACAAGCGCAGGGACAAGCACGCTGTCTTGCGCCCCGTTTCCCCGCTTCCCGCTTCCCACTTCCCACTTCCCACCCTCTCCACACTCACACTCCCAATAACAGCACCCACACAACCCACACAACCCGCAATCCCGATGAGAGAAGGGGATGCGATGCAAGAAGGGATGGGAGACGAACGAAGGCAGAAGGGATAGGGTTAGAGGAAAACAAAAGACTCATCGACACAGAGATGGCCACGTCCATCCCGCCTCCATCCCGCCAAGTCACCGCCTACACGTTGTGAAGACGACAAGCCCATGCCAACGTCAACACCCCCATGCCGACCCTCGCATCCCACCGTATCTATGAGCAAAAAGGCACCAGCAGGTGATGAGTGCACCAAGGCGGACGAATGGGCGCACAGGCGAGCACCAGCCGGCTCGTATCGTTCACGCATTAGCTGGCGGTCAGTGCTGGCATTCGATATGAGCGACAAGCAGGTGAGGCTTTCGTTGGCGTTTTGTTTCGTGTATGTGTACGTGCTAACAGTTTGACGTTTGGTGCTCACAGATCACACACGACTATATCCTGATGTCCCTCCTGCTCTCGTACATCATGGCTCCCACCCCCGCAAAACGTACTCATGATTTAATCAATGAAGCCCTTCAACACATAGGTCCGAGAAGTACAAAGAAAACACGGCTTCAGCGAATAACGTGAGTTGTTTCCCTTATCAGTCTCAGTTACAGTTACTCACTTTTAATGTAGCAACAACGACGCACTCAAAGCGATACGAATGATGGAAGATTTGGGGAAGGTTATACCATGGCTGATCGATCCTTATAGGCATCCCCGCCAGCTCATAGTTATTGGCTCTGACCTAGCACATGCAGAGAATAGGCTGGAGATTACCACAGGTAGAGCCACACTACCCATCGAGTAAGTCCATACATGCGCACTCATTCAGAGCTCACACTGTCACTTAGTGTTGTCAAGGAAAATGAGCAGCTGAAATCAGCCTGGTATGTAACAAGTATCTTACTAGCCCGATTCTATGCTCAAACTACTCGACTGTAAGATGTCTCGCCAGACATGTGCTGTGATACTTGCAATCCCAAGCTTTTTGACCTTGCCCGTCCTCCTCCACCTATTCCATCAACAAGAAAGCCGGCAATAAAAAAAGGCCTGTTTAATGAAAGAGTGTTCAAATCTTTGGTGGAATGGCATGGTCGTATGAAAGCAAGATATCACTCGCGGCAACCATTCGCAGCAAGTGGTTTATTGGACAATGACACTTGCGAACGTCTCGCAAGTCTTGGAAAATGTCCATCACCACCCCAACTTCGTGCTTGATGGAATATTCATGGTCATATTACGACACATTGGGCCACAAATTGTGGCACTTTCTTTCAACGGCATGGCCTGATGACCCTACAACAACCATGCTCACCCCTCTTCACTCCACCAAACCAACTGCACCACGGTCAAGCACATCTCCCATTCTACTCGCCGCCGAGACCACACGTTGATATGCCCACAATAGTTCATAACCCATATCTCAGGCCTGGACAAATTCCGTACAACCCCGTGCCAGTAGAAATGGCTTCAACCCATTGGCAGCCCTCGTATCACAGTGCAGGTGCTTCATCATCCGCAACAACTTCGTACGCACATTCAAAAGGAAGGCCTTGTTAGACCTCGTGCCGTGCTCGTCCATCAGATTATCAGAGGTGGGCGCTGTCACAGACTCATACTTGGGCCCAAACTGGTGGATAATTGGTCGAGCTGGTGGTTGGGACGACTAGCCATCGACTGTGATGCGCAGCGAGAGGGTGAGCATGTCGTCGTTGCCTTGTGCAAGGCTGGTAAATACTCGTCACCTTGGCTGTTCGATTTCCGACGCTTCGCGAAGCATCACGGTGCTGACGCAGAAGAGAGAGAGCGTCATTATCCTACCGCGGTTCCAGCTTCGGGTTTGTCCTGCTTCGACTTGGAGACATGGCTCTGCCGCAAAATTCTACTAATCGAATGGAATTCGGCGCTTGGCGCCCTGCCCTGTGCCCTTCTTCTTCAGGCTCTCCCATACACTGTCCTCTCCCTTCGCTGACGCCTCTACTGGATTGACAGGAATTGGGCGGGTGAGATCGACTATGGTAAGGTAGACCTCTATATCGAGAGGATGACAGTCGAGCCTCTGAGAATAGACATCGGCGTCTGACTATACGTGTGCCGGCATATTTCAAGGCCTGCGAGTTATGCACAGATCGTTTTCCAAGGTCCTCGTTCTTGGATTCTGCAGGTGATTGTGTATATGCGCGCTGTGTTCGTTGTCGGAAGCTGGAACTCTGTGGCCGCTGCCATTGTACCAAGAAGAGAGAGCACTTCAAGAACCCCAGGAAGCCAGATGTTTTGTACAAGAGGGTGATGCTGCCCGCACGATGCGCCGCCTTTTGGACGCTGCGTCTGCTGGTCTGTGTTGCCTTCTATCGTGTTTCACTTGTGGTCTGAGTATTTTGAGCAGGTCAGCACTGGTGTATTCTAGGTAACCACCGTGTCACCTACGAGCAATGCACGAGTGCCACAGGAATTATTCGGACTAATTGTGGTGACTGCTTGACGGCCTTAAGTCTACGTCGTGCACGTCAGCGAGTGGACCGAGAGATCGATAAGGATGATAACGAGGATGATTATCTGAATGCCGGCGTTAACGATGGTGTTGAGGAGGCATGGTCGGTGGGGGCAAAGTGGTAAGTCACTGGGTTTGTCGTTTGTATGCGCGGTGAATGGTACAGCAGGTGCTATATGCGACGGTAAGTACTGGGAGTTGAGGCGGGTAAGGAGCGGAGACTCACCGAAATACTACATTTCCAACCACATGACATGACGGACTCGCACGTATAGTGTGGTGTAGCGATCGAGGAGTGCAGAAGGTTCGTTGTATACGCTGAAGGTGCGGGTGGAGGAGGCGTCCGTGATGCTACGTATCTCGCGCACACACGTACGTGAGTACCTGGCCGCCAGTCCAACGCTGCTGTCGTCGCCTGCAATCTACGGGTGAGTGAACTGTTCTGCTTCATGCAGTCCGACCGCGGCTGACCTTTTCTCTCAGTGCCAACCTACTCGTCTACCATGGCCGTGAGCTACGTCGACGTCTCGTACGTGGTGCCGCTGTCTGTGTTCATCGGTGGGGTACATCCCTTCCTTCCTTCCCCGTCCTCCGCCGATTCGCCTGCCTGACCTGTCCGTGTATCCATCTTCACTTATCTAGCTCGCTCGCCGCTTGCCTGCGTGGCAGCAGTCGTTCCAAGCGAGGGTGCGCTCGTGTATCAATAGCACGTTCGTTCGTGCCGTGTGTGCGGTACGTTCATTCTCTGCTTTGTCTCTGGCTGACACCTTTCCTACTGCAGCAATCTCGCTGCTCGGTCCCTCGCCGTGGTCAGTTGGCACACATGCTCAATGTCGAATCATCCTGGTCGCGTCGACGCGTGTGCTAACGTCTCCAAGGGTTCGTGTACGTGGTCTATCCTGGCCTTGCGGGTCGCTTACTGACTGTCCTCCCTCCCCTCGCTCCACGTTCGACATCCTCTCCATCATCGTCGCCACCGCTGTACAGCCCCCAGCGCCACCCATCCTCGCTCGTTCGTCGGCTGTCTGCCGCCATCGCATCCTCCGTAAGTTGCCCCGTCGTCGCCTCATGCCCATGTTGCATCGACTGACGCCTTCCATTGCACAGGCCCGCGCGATACGCAGTCGAGCGTCCGCGCTCGTCGTTGCGGTCGTTCGTTCGTACATTCCCTCGTACGCTCGACTCTTGGATGGGTGTCGGATGGATGTGAAGCCAGCGAGCATCCCTACCAAACCGAAACGAATGGAATAGCAAGGTAAGTAACATGTTCTGCGCAAATGTACGAGCACGCACTTACTGGGCAGCCACGCTCAGACAGACAGACAGACAGACAGACAGTGTACTCTGCGCGTTAGCTGACCATTTCCCAGCCAGATCTCCCTCGTCTTCATCCTTGTCGTCGTGTTCGCGTTGGCGTGCGTGCGTGAGTTCATTCGCAGCCACGAACGGCGCACTGGAGCGCGGGGCAAGCCCGTGCTCAACGTCCGTTGGCGTATGCGATGGGATTACGATGGGATTGCGGTGGGATTGCGATTGGGATGGGTGGTAAGCCAGGAAACGTTAACGTTGGCGCGGATACGAGTGATCAATGCAAGCTCGATCGACTCCGTTCATATCCTGCATGCGCGTCAGTCCTCACATTGACACCATCCAACCTTCGCATGCGGATGTGCTCACCTTAGCGCATTCCACCCCTTCCCCCACTCCCGTCCCTCCACCCCACTCCTCCCGCTAGCGCCTCCACACGAAGCCTGCCCGCAGCGCAAACTCCCATGTCGTCGCACAGTGTCGATTCCCGCCCACGCACCGAGTTCCCGCCCCGGCCTCGAGTATTTCGAGGACGCAGATCAGCGCATATAGCATCGATTGGCGGGGTTTCCATTTCTTTGGGTCGGGTTTTTTGAGGGTAAGTTTTCGACTCGACGGCGACTTGAGGTACTCACCTACAGTCCGGAATCTCCCATCGGTACCGTTCCTCGACGAATGCGTAGAGCGTTAAATGGCGCTACATCGATTATTCAGGGCGGCAGTGGGTGAACGAGCGTATACGGGACGGATTGATGGTCGAGGGATTTCAGGGCTGGGCGAGCTGGCGGGGGTAGAATAGAGTAGTGGATAGTCGGATTAGAGGGAGGGGATGGGCTTGGGGAAGGATGCGGGGGGGATCAGAGGAGAGGGGAGAGATTGGGAGTGGAGAGATGTGGAGTAGTTAGTTAGCAGTACAGTGCTTGGGTCGTCGAGTCGTTCGAGCCGTGGAGATGTGGGATGGCACGAGCGAGAGGGAACGAGGACGTGACGCGGTGAGTGGTGGAAGGGCGAGGTTGAATGTAGCTTGCAGTAGCCATTGGGTGTTGTAGGTGCCATGTTGAATAGATGACAGCGTCGAAGTACCATGAGTGACGTATGTTGGGTAGAGAGGCAGAAGGCATGGGTAACTTTCCTTCGCGTTCGTGTTTGGCGAGTGGCATCAGCGTTGAACGAGGGGTAATGATGAGGGTGACCCTGCACTCCAGCGCACCAGCAGAGCGCGTAAGATGTGTTCGAGAGGGAGTTCGCAGAGTTCGGGAGAGAGTGATCATGTGCCTGGTGATCCCAGTCATCCTGATATCCATGTCTGGACTGTTCCCTCCACCACGTCGTCGGTGTGATGAATTTGAACAGGATCTAGGTCACCGAGTAGGGGTTCCATAACAAGGGGAGTAGGAACCAGATCTATGCAAGGGCTGTCACGGCAGCGAGGTCGATCACTATAGGAAAGGTCTCCCTTAACCCCTTGACACTGGTGCATAAGTCGAGGGATGGGAGCGAGGCAAACGTGAACAACTGCCTGGACAACTACGTTGGTGACTTTGACCCAGGGTTACTAAGATCAGCGTCATGGCAGGTCGAGCAGACACAGCAGTAAAAGATTGGGTTCGCACAACAAGAGGGGCATGTTCACGTCGATGGGAGAGAAGCGAGAGTGCAAGGATGCCCACAACCATTGGGTGACTGCGACCTAAAACTACAATCACAGTAGGTCACTGGGAAATCATGGTAGGCCGATCCCCGCTAATCCCCAGGAGGGAACTACCCCAGAGGATACTGCACGAGCCAGTATAGTCTTAAAAAGGTAAAAGTACTTGAGTAGAGGTATTTGAGATCCGGCGGTAGAAGGATAAGGGATTGAGTCGGAAGGTCAGGCAGATCTCCCAGGGAGTTCGTGCGCGTAAACCTGAATCTAACTCCTTTCTCTTCGGGAAACTCTGTTCTCCAGACAAATAACACAGCTCAGACCTGTCAAGGCCAAGAGCTCGTCCTTTGTCCACAGAACGGATCCTTTGAGAGGGAAATCGATTTCTTTGAGGGGGGCTTCAAGTTCCCCATCTTGGGGAAGAGACCGTAAGACTGTATATGCAAGATAAGTGCTACTCTGAAAAAGACGAAGTGCCTAACATACCCCCGAGACTCAATCCTTTACCTCTTCCACGTACCAGCTCCAAAGAAGTAGAAAGGAAAGGAAGGCAGAAACCTCTCTGGGTCACGTCACTTGTGGCGAACTTGATAGCGTCAACAACAAGTCTTTCCGTCATCTCCCAACTGTGGAGGACGTTCATGACAGGTGCTGGAAGAAGACCAAGGAAAAGGAAAAGGGAGACTCGGAAGAAGCAAATTCCTAGAAAATAAGTAAGCCACTCGCAGAATTTGGAAGCACGTGACGGGCGCTAAGGCGCCTTTAAGTTCAAGTTTCATAACGATAGGAGTGCGCGATAAGAAAAGTGTGAAGGAGACTTACTCCCCCAGGTTGGACCTTGCTTGACCCTGGAACACTGGCCAACTTCGAAAAGAGAATGAGGTTTACCTCTTTCTCCAAGGAACTACGGGGATTTTACGTCGCTTTTTTTACTTGGAAACTACCGACGCCGCATGTTTGGTACTAGAGCGTTGCGAGGCCTCGCTCTCGCCACTTTTCCTTGAAGTCTCCAGAGGGCTACTCCCTTTTGACTCGGTAGTTTTGGCTTCCTCAATGGTTGTTACGATGGTAAGACTTGGTGCTCTTCTTCACCTTTGATCGTACTGGCTTATAGTAACAGTTACCAGTCATCGCACACACATGCCAAAGGTGTATTCCATGGTGATATTCACCCAGGCAACATCCTACTGACCTCGACCGGCCCAAAAATGATTGATTTTGGTTCATCCCGTTTCATGGAGAATACCGGCAAAACCGCCTTTAACTACAGTGATACCTACGACTACTCTCTTTATTTCGCTGGTGCGAGGCGCCTTGCTTCTAGTACCCGTAAGTCTCTCATGCTTGTCCTGCGCAGATCTTGCACTTACGAAAATGCAGCCACCGACTGTGATGACATCACAAGTTTCTCCCACATGGTCGTGTACATCGCCCGTGGACTTCGGATGCCTTGGGACCAGAGGTTCTGGGAGATCACAGGGAGGGATCTCAGCCTGGATATGACACTATCTGAGCTCATCGCGATGAAGAATAGTTTCTCGTCCTCAGAGCTATGCGAAGGCCTTCCAAGCCTCTTTGAATCCTTCCTTGCTGCAGCCCTCGGAAGCACCACAATGAACTACGACTACAACCATTGGTGGAACGAGTTCAACAAGTTCGCTGGGAATAGAACCTGGTCCCGTCCTGAAAGTTCTTGAATCATGGTGAATTGTAATGAAAACAGACATGTTTGTTCTCTTTTGTATATTGTATACTGTCCTGTATTTGTGCGCTCAGGTACCCAGTTGTAATCATGTGTTGATTACCTTCGTCTTATGGTGGAACACACCTATTTGGACAGTGGCTACCAGACCATGATAGGCTGCTTGTGTGTTTGTCCTTCCTTGCTCGACAAACGGCTCTTTCGGACTCAACAGAAAGTGATCGACCTCAGGCCACGTGTGCCACGTCGAGCCTGCTCAGGACCCCGGACAATACCAGCTATACCCAGGCGTGGGAACGGACACCAAAGGACCTCGCCAGGCCGTTAGGCCTGGCCGAAAACGGACATTTGGCACTTGAAATGGGCCAAAATCCCGGACGGAAAACGCGGACACTCAAGCACTTCGGCGGTGGAAGCCTACCCACTTGTCAAGACATCGAGAGAGATTTAGAGGATTTTTCTGAGGCATTTCCCCTAGTGTTGAATCGTAGACCCCGTACCATAGTGACATGACAAATGACAAATCATAGTGCAATCCTCGAGTCCTCCAATATTGCCGCCGTGTCGAACATTGGACTACAGGTCTACGAGGGCGCATACTCGGCAATCTTCAGCCCTATCACCGAAACCACAGTAGCATGGCAGACCAACCATTTTATCTTCACGCCATCCTTGGCTTTTCTTCAACTCCTCCACAATGAACCTACTCCATCCAGTGTTGCGGGCCCGGGATGCCTGCACATTTCCCAACAGGACCTCGATACCTTTCTCTACCTTAGCCGGGGGTTCACAAGTATCGAAAATGCGATGATCTTGTCCCGCAAATGCGAAGGGGCGGAGAAGAAGTAATACTTTTATTATATACTAATTATATGCTACCTATGGTGTCTGTAGAGCCTATAGAAGGCCTCCTACGCCCTCCAGACCTTTTTTTAGCCGTCCAGAGGCCTGTTCTGCCGTTCAGACGTATTGAGAGCAAAATTTTGAGGCCTGTTCGCCGTTTCGGACATTTTGGGACCCGTTTTGGGCCTAACGGATTTCGAGGACATTTCACGTTGATATAATCGATGCCTCCCCGAAATAGGACGCCAACGCGCCGAAGGTGCTCGAAAAAAATAGGACATGGGGACCATCCGCTTAGACAGGCTTTCACGCTCATTGTCCGGGGTCCTGCCTGCTCTCGTGTCTTGGAAAAGGTGCGGTCACGCTCGTAGAATGTCTGGGGCCAGGGGATGAGAACGAAGCTCGCTGAGAGCTTCGTTCGAGGTTGTCTCAGTTGAGTCTCATCCCTTCCGCTCACTCGTTCAACCTGCACCTTGCTTGTCACCTTCTCATCGCCCCGTCACCCATCACTGGAGTGCTAAGGATTGAAGAATGGCCCGGTCTTTTGTCGCCGCTGATCAATGGTACGTCTCATTCATTATGATAACGAGGCAATTACTTAGGGTGAGACCAGCGTTCTTGAGTCGATGACCCATGCACAGCTATACGAACTCGTTCGCAAACACCTGAACAAATGGCCGAAGAAATCATTCAGCAGAAGCCGCCTCAGCAAGAAGGACTTGTGGACCGAACTCCTCAACCCCCCCAACGGTTTCAAGACAGACATGCCACTGCCGGCCGCCCCAGTGCTGGTTGCCATTCCCGCACCTGCGCCCACATCGATTGTCATTCCCGCACCACCCCCGATAGTGATCCCTGCACCTGCTCCAGTGACGATTCCCGCACAAGTACCTCATCCAGCTGCCGCCGTTGTTGCAGCCCCGATTGCTGTGCCTCCCATGCCGACACCCCGGGCAGCCCCCCAAGCACCTCCTCAGGCTCCAATCGTTGCGGCTTCAATCGTTGCCGGTGCAGCAGCGACCTCGGTAGCTCAAGCACACTAGCAAGCTATCAACCAACCTGTTCCCTCGAACATCCCTTTGCAATCTGTGAGTCTTCAGCACCCTTTCGTGGTTCCAAGATATTGATAGTGTCTGGACCCCGGAAATCAGACATTCCCGGTTTCTGCGCCCTCAAACCTCACATCTGGAAGTGCTGACAACTCTCGCAAGCGCGTGAGTACCCTTACTCTCCCTCCTGTTTGATGTCTCAAACCCCCTCCAGTCCATTAGACCCTACATTGTTGACAATCGCCCTAACGGCTCGGAGAACATGATTCAGCAGATTGAAGTAGCAATGATAGATCGTGAAGGTTGCGCACCTGGCGAATGGCGCGCAGACGCTTTGGAAGTATTTCAACAGCTTCAAGTTAGCAACGCCGCCATTACAGGACGAGGTAAGCATGCCCGATCTACCGCCTTCTGGTCTGACATTCAGTTTTATAGGTCAAATCAAGGTTGGCTATGTTAACAGCCATGACCCCGACTTCGTGTGGTGGTTTCTGCGCGGCGATCTTTACTACCTCCTCCTGTCCACTCCCGACCCCAATCGGCTCATTGTTTCCTCGGACTCAAAGCTTCAGCTTCGCATCAGCACCGTACTTTTGCCATCCATGCTAGAACATTCTCGCTCTAACCTCAAGTAGGATTCTCCCGTAAACGTTCAACCAAAGAAGAATTTGCGGAAAAAAGTCTCGCCGAAGAAGAGTGTTCAACATGAAGGTATCATTTACGCTCAGTTGTTTCAAGCAAACATTATAACCATGCACCACCGAGCAGATCTTCCTACAATCTTACCAGAACAGCAGAGTCTTGCCTCACCAAAACCCCACCAAGACATTGATTGGCTCAAGGACGTTCTCAAGGAGCGAGACGGGTTTACCGATTTCATGCGCAATCGCGGCCACCGCCTTGACACTCCGGCACTTGTCGCTCATTGGGCTTTTGCTGCCAGCGTTGTCGATGATTACCACCACAAGCCCAGCGGTGTTCCAGGTCCTTCGATGGTATGGTAATAGATGGTAATCCCTTAACGACCATTTGTGTATGCTTAGCCGCCCCCTTGCAGGGCCGGCCCCGACTGATCACCAAAGTTGATATCCAGCGTGCTCTTGGTGTTCGAGAAACATGGCTTTCGCAAGCAATCAAGGCGACCAGCATTATACGGGTTCACGGTGAAAACGGAATTCATCCCCACCCGGATATTATAGCGAAACTCTCCGAATCAGGAGGCGGGTCTCAACGTCATAGGAAGGCGTACATTTGCTTGGTGGTGTTAACATCGACACCCGAGTCCAATGAACGAGTACGCACAATATTATATTTTGTGGAACCTCAAGATTTTAATGCTGATACTCTCAAGGTCGAAGTGCTTATGGATCGAGTAGCTCGCGATACCTGGTTTCAACGGGGTTGGACTTTGCAGGAGCTCGTAGCGCCTTGAGCAGTGAAGTTCTATTGGGGGGACTGGATGCCAGTGACGTCCGACCCTTGCGACATCCTCCGTGTCTCGGACGAGGATATCGACGAAGACCCTAACTAAAAACACAGCCCTTATGCCACCAAGATGCGTAATTTCAAGAAAGGCCAAATCAAGGAGGCACTCAATCCAGTGACGCTAGACCTGTTGGCCAGCGCAGCAGGCGAGTATCCCCGGTGTCACTTTTCTATGCTCACACTGATCTGTCCTCTAGGCATTGATATTGAGTCACTGAACGACTACCAGCCAGGTCCTGGGAATGCCCGAAAGGTATTTCAGTGGATATATAGCCGAAGAGCCTCCCGGCCGGAGGATATTGCATACCTCTTGGGTTTGTTGAGCGTGCAGATCCCCATAGTGCATGGCGAGGGACGGAGCCGAGCATTCTACCGCCTACAGCTTGAGTGTTCCACGCAGACAGACGACAGGGATCTGTTCATATGGGGAAGTAGACGGCGGTCTCAATGGAACGCCATGTTTGCTGAAGGTCCTGCAGCCTTTGTCAAACAACAAGGGGGCGGGGCATCTTCAACCCGAGAGAGAAAGCCTTCATGTTCAAAGACTGTTCCATCGGAAGGGCAGCGGGGATCCTTCATTCACTTTCACCAATCACGGCCTTCGCATATCCCTAGTATCTCATTGATCAACTCCCAAGCGGGCCAGAGCCTATTTCAATGGGATAGCTACCTCGATGTGCCTCAGGGTGTCATATACGACAAGTGGAGGGTTGGGACCCTAGGAACAATTGAAAGTCCTCTTGCGCCCAGGGCGCCGAAGAAGACACTGAAGATGATGATGATGATGAAGGATATGACGAATATGGTGGATGAGACAATTCTGTTGCGAAGGGACCACAGCAGACAATACCTTCCTTTGCGATCCTCTTGCAAAAAGCTTCGAGTTCATCCTCGAGATGTTAGTCCCTACCTGCCAAAATTGGCTCCCACGGTTGGACCAAACCTGGCCCAAACCTACTCCAAACCGACAGTTTGGTCTGCTGTACCAGGGGGTTTGCGAGTGGGTTAGGACCTTCCTGTCACATTATTATGTCAGCGTTAATATACCTGGTGGCACCTTGTATCAACTGCATTATCTATCCCCTCCAATAAACAGTACTAGAGCTTGTGGTGCTTATTTATTAATGAATGTTAGTGGTAAGATAGCAGGACGAAGAAGTGAAAAAAGGACAATCTGTGGCTCGAACCCACAACCTTTCCGTGCTAAAAAGTAGTACTCAAGCGCGCAAACCGCTAAACCAACGTGCCACATGATAAACTCTTTTGGACTAGTATATCACCTACTGAGCCGGGATACTTCAGGTCGCCGACAAGAAATACAAGAAATACCGAAAGCAGAAGTTTGCATGTATTTACTTTGTATCTATTGCCGCTTTCCCACCATAATGTCTGTGACTTATTTGTGACGATTCCCAAGCGCCCGGAGCAGACTCCAGCGCTAGGTTTTGTCAAGTTCAATGTCCGCCAACCCCAGGCCCGAGGGACTGACATCTCGACGAGCAGACCGGGCCCTAAAAGTACCGTATTATAGAAGATAGAAACTTGGCTGGTGTCACGCTCAGCCGTGCAAGCCGAGTCGGAGACCAAATGTTTCTCCGTCTGAGTCCCAACCATTCCCAGGCCTTCCTGCGTGATTGCCAAGTCGGAGTACACCACTGTGATGTGACATCTGTGACGATACGAAGTGGTGGTGTGAAGCGTTAGTATCTTCAAGAGGCCTCCTTGTTCTCAGTACAAGAAAGCTTGCATGAAGGCCCGAAAGTCGAAGAAGTTAGCTGCCAGTCCAGATCAAGAATATGTTGTTGGCGAGTGTTCTACATCCTCTTTCTTAGGCAAGGAAAGCTCATCTTTTCACTCAGACAAGATCATAGGCGCAATGCTCTGTGGGCCATTGGAGAAGAGCGATGATACTCAAACCTTGGTTTTCTGGTCAAAGTGGATTTACTATGTTCAAGTCAGTCGATTGAGCTCTACCCGTTAACATGTTCTTTGGTGACGTGCTATCTAGTGGCAAGAGTGTTCCAAGGAAAATTACACGTGAGGGGCATTGCTCTTTCTCAAAAAGAGCCCTTCTGATCACCTCACAGCTGGGAGCCTATCGGCAGCTTCGAAGCACGCAACAAAAAGGAGGATGACTCCTTCTTTATCCAGGATTTCTGGCAAGCTATCAAATCCTCAGGCCACGCCAAAGTTGGAGAAAAGGTTTGGCTCAATGGTATAATCCCAGACTCCTCGTCGTCCTCAATGGCACATGCTTACTGACTTTGTCACCTTTTGATCGCATTCAGAGGAAGAGAAGGATCCAGCCTCAGACGGACTTCGGGAGCAAAAGGGAGCCGGGAGCACGCCGGAACCTGGAGGGTCCAGCAAAAAAGCCAAGCGCCGCAAGCTCAATGGTATAATCCTAGGCTCCTCGTCGTCCTCAATGGCACATGCTTACTGACTTTGTCACCTTTTGATCGCATTCAGAGGAAGAGAAGGATCCAACCTCAGACGGACTTCGGGAGCAAAAGGGAGCCAGGAGCACGCCAGAACCTGGAGGGTCCAGCAAAAAAGCCAAGCGCCGTAAGCCTGGACCTGGAAGAGATAGCTCTGATTGCATAACCGTTGTGAGTCGCATCTACTCAAGAGATTTCATGAGGCTTGAAAAGATACAAATACATGTAGTACAAGAATCAAGCAGCTCCGCTTCCCAAACGGCCCTGACTTCAAAACGCCCTCTCGTAATAGAGTTTGAGAAAGTGTATCCAGTACCTGAGTACGATGGCAGATGGCAGATGCGACGAGTAATATGTAGCCAATGATCAAACGTTCAATGCTGCTCCACTGCAGATCTTGGATTTAGAAACCCTGAAGGTGCTTTACGACGTTATTCAGCAGCTCTGCGGCAGCTCCTGGAATCATGGCAAGTAACGAGTGAAGACTACATGTTTGCAGCTTATCGCAGGCGCACACCGACTCCCCCGCTCCTCGATTCACTCCTAATCGACTACGCGACTGCGGATGAACCTGCTACGCTAGGAGTACGTAACGGTCTTTGATGGAAAATGATGGTACATAAGTATCACCAAAATTTCAATCTTCCAGCACACGGCCAGCACTTGGGGACTATAGTGATCAAGTTCTGTTGCGACGATTGTGATGTACGGACCGTACTGCCTCGAAGTATAAAGTCTTCGACTTCCCTCCCCCTCCTCCACCTCCCTCAAGCTGCGGCCAAGACACAATTACCGAGCGCAGAAGACAGATGTCAACATTACCGAACTTGTTGCAGAGGGTGAGAGTAGAATAATCCCTGGCCGTTATTCACCGCCATGACCTCGCAGAATCACCAAGCCCGGAATTCCAAGTACGACGCGACTTGCATCCCTCATCGAGTCGAGTTTCTGGCTAATATTCGTGTAGGCCCTCGGCAGTTTGTTTCAGGCCTTGATATTCGGCCATACGGTGGCGCAGCTAGGTGCGTTTATTCTTCTCCACAATGTCTTAGTATTTCCTGCAGTCCAGTATTGCGAGGGGTTCCCTCGTGACAGGCTTGCACGGAAGGCTTTAGGTCCGTCAGCCGTTCCGAGTATACTGCCACGATCGCGATTATTAACCTTAATACACCAGCTTGGGCGTCTTTCCTAGTATCGCTTTTGGTTACCATCTTGGGCATGTACAACACAGCCTCAGGGTCCGGTCACCGCCGACCAATTCCATTCGACGGCGACTTTCTTCGCTAACTTTCCGTACGAGCACCCCCCTGTAGGAATCCTCCGCTTCAGAGCTCCTAGGCCACTCGACGAAACTATCAGGGACTCTGCGCACGCTCCTATGTCTAATGCGCACGGCTGCAGCGCCCCTTGCATTCAGCAGCCCCAGCGAGGCCTCGATCCTCGAAGCATCTTGCATACACTATGGGCTTCGGGGATATCGGCGACGGCAGGCAATCGGCGCCCAGCCCTCCAAAGCCTACCATCCCGACTCGAACACCTCATATCCATATCATACGCGGAACGCAGATGGCGTACTCTATCTACAATATTTGCGATGCCAGACCTCCGTTCTCCACGCCATCGATGTTGAACGCCCTCGACGGCGAGTCCTTGAGTCCGTGTCCTTGGGTACTTGCACTCGAGTAGGTCAACGATACCCGATGCTGAAGGCAAGGGCGAGGTCCGGGTACGGGGCGCGGAAAACGCATCTCATGAGTCCCCGCAGGCCCTATCGCAGGCGCCCCAAAGGCAGCACCGTTATATGTGTCCAGCTTCAAGGTGTCACAGTTAACGGCGTCCAATTCCAGCACATTCATGCGCAGACCTCCCTCGTGAGTCGTGTAGCTTCGCGACTCGTGGATGCATGGGAGGCGACGCCTTCTGCTCGCTCGCGGGGATCCCTCAACTACTGCACCTCTATTGTCTCCTTATCGTGCTTGGAGAACCGGCGAGGACAACACTTCCTACCCCACGATGGGCCCAAAGCTCAGACGCCCAAACGCGGCTCGCAGCGCAAGCCTGCTACATCTACATACCGCAGCGCCTGCTTCCCTGCTCTCCTCCTGCACACGCCACACGAGAGTACTGGGTGCTGGGTGTTCACGATTCCCAGGCATCCCGCAATCCGTCGCAAGTATCAGCAGCAACCGCCACATTCCGACGAAATTCGAGCAATTTGAGCGTCGATCTTTCGAAAATTTGACCTGGCGCTCTAGCATCTACAAGAACGACACGCAACTTTGTCAAGATCTTGCTGTGGAGCGGCGCCTAAAGCCCGTAACACACGTCGAGGGGAAGTCCATAGCCATAAGGAGACATCCTGTGTGTTCACCCGTGCTCACCGTCTTATTTCAACCCAGTGACAATGTCTCTTGGGCACTGGGAAGCAAGATACCTGATGCTGGGAAGCCGAGCCGTAACATAACCGACATTCTCACCTTATACACGCACCTTGTCCACGATCGCCTCATCCAGCTGGATATTCTCTCGCCTTTCCTCCCAGTATGGAGCACCCGACTTCTGGAGATGGCGTGAACAGCCTTCACAGTCTACGACGTCGTCGTCCTTTCTCTCGCGATCACCCATTGATAGGGCATTCGCTTCAAGGACATGATTCGTGGCCATGAGGCCAGGGCCAGGGGCCTGGGGCCGCATGAATACGTCCAAATATATGTTTCGCGTTCCCATCCTCCTTCTCGTTATCGACGGCGTGGGTTGCCCGAAGCGTTCTCCTCCCCTTCCAATGACAATCGTCGCTCTTTCAGCTCTGCTCGCCTTGTTGCTGCACCCAAACGCCCGCGTCAATGCCCAGGGCAACCTAGCAACGTTCCCAGCTACGCCTCTCGCCTCCAAGCATTTTGCCTATCCCACAGGCCTCGTGAGTGAACGCTTTCCCCGCGATTCCGAGATGATGCTCAGCAAAAGGGACTCAGCCCTACCAAGCCGACTCCGAACAACTCATACGCGGAACGCAGACGGGGTACAGCATCTGCAACTCAACAACGGGGAGCCAGAACTCGTTATGCCAGACCTCGTTCCTCAACGCCCTCGATGGTGAGCACCTCTGCATGACTCGACCGTAATCCCGCTGCTCACACAGCCACTCCCTGCGCTGTACGCGTTTTGCAGACTTCTGCTTATGGGCCCCAATAAACCCCAACTCGACTATCCCGGACACCGAGGGCGAGGAAGTCGCGTGGTGCACGAAACCCGGGCGCGGCACGCGTCTCATCCCTGCCGGCGCGCTCAAAGGCGTCCAGTTCATGCCGGCTTTATCGACCAGAGCCTCATCAACATCCAAACCGGCGATTTCGGTGGCGAGCTCGACCCACACGGTGCTGATCTGGTGAGTATCCTACTGCCTATCCGTTGCTTCCTTGGCGCGGTACTGATGTTTGTTTTCTTTTACAGCGTGGCAATCCGCTCGGCGGGCTGGTCTACTCCACTGCGTGGTCTGGGAAGAACGACACGTTCACGCAGGTCATTGAATGGCACAAGTACGTCTTCTGGATTCACCAGCACGCTCTGACGCGTCACGCAGCTTCATGGGCGGCGACGCCTTCTGCTTCAAAGTCTGCGACCCCTCGCGCCCCAACGCCGCCAACTTCTGCCAGCCGCGGTGACGGCAGCGGGTGTACAAAAGTTGGAATATCTGGTGTACAAACAAGGTCAACGGAAGCATTACCATTTTCATCTGTCTCTAAGTTTGCCATCCACACCATTGCTTCAGCGTCGACGTTGAAGCCCCCATCCAAACACGCGGATCCGACCTTGGATTTATGTGCCCCCATTCGTCCTCTGCATCGAAATACGTTCAGCATCTTCGTTTTCTTCTCCGCTGCTCCCCGTGCGGCCGCTTCGACATTTGAGGCGTATTTCGAGGCGTGTTCCTCTCCTCCAGCAAGGTCAGATCTTGTATCCACGGAGAGGATTTGCGCGTTCGCTCATATACCCTTCACAGCAGCGTGTCTTCGCCCCTCACGGGTGTCTTCGCTACGAGACTTGAAACTGTGTGTTACGACGCACTCTTCCCTTGTCGCTAACCGCGCTTATGGACGAAGGCTCCTTATCTCATGCCGCCGCTGTTTGCACGTCTATGTTTAGGTATTCGGGTCGTGGAGGAGGCTGGGGACCCGCGACGTGGCAGCTACAGGCAGACAAGTGCGTTTCGCCCATTGTTTTTGTCTGATATCTCGCTAACCATCTTTGCAGTTCCTGTGGTACAGGAGATGCGCTCTCTAGTAAAGGCGCTGCCTAGGACACTACGTTTGTCACAATCCACGATGGATATGCACCCCACTCGCCCTCGTATCGCTGTCTCAGCCACTCTCGTCGGACTACCCGCGCGCAACGAAACGATAAACGGGAGATCCGTTGTAAGGTGTGCCTGGTGCGGCACGTCTCCTCAACACGCGTGCACCTCCCAGTGGAGAGCCTATGATGCCTCATTCTCACTCCTGTGTCACTGCATGCCCCGCAATTGTGTGTATGACCATTCTATAACCATTCTCCCTGATTGCGATATGCCTCCGTGAATCCAAATCGCGCAAGTCGCTCGACCTAGATGCGTCAGAACGCATACGCGTCGGCGAGTCAGAATCGAAGGCACGAGATCCGTAAACGAAAGCGAAACCCAGAAACGGGGTAGGCAAAACGAGGCGTAGGGAAGAAACGGGGCGGATAGCAAACGAAAACAAGGAACGCACATCAAACGTGCACACCGAACGCAGGGACAGACGGTGCCGGAGAATAGACACATCACGATGGAATGGGGCAGAGACGGAATGCGAACGAACGGGATACGGGATACGAGATATGAACAGGAGGTACGCACCCACTGTGTTTTCGTTTTCGTTTTCGTGGGTCGAGCGTTGACGTTTGCGCTGGCGCTGGCGCTGCGTTCGCGTGTTGCAATACTACTAGTGATGTGGAGGAGGTGTACTCTACGCAGCATGACAGTGCTTAGCATGGCGCTTATCCAGAGGCGTGTTGCTGCGCCAGCATCAGCGCGACCGTGCGGGAATGAGGCGGTGGGAGAGACGTCACCGAAGCAGCAAAATTGCGAGGTCAGCTCATGCGTCTTCCAGCACAGCTCACCCACTCACCTGCGTTTTGCGTCACCAGAACGTCTCCACCTGGTTGAAAATCAATACTTACGGGCGCTTGTTGTTTCGGAATACCCACATCCCCTAACCCCTCGGCCCTAACAGACCCATGAATACGAATATCAGCCAGGACATTGCCTCCCTGTCTCTACAGGACGCGACCCCACTGTCGCTTATACATGAACCCCTACAGCCAGGGTAAGCCTCTCTCCACGCCCGCATGCCAGACATCTAATGACCAATATTGCCTTAGTCTTGCGGCCACCTTCATATCGGTTGCAAACTCTTTGGGTTTGGCCCGACTGCCGTGGTTTTCGCCACCGGACCTCCTTGATATAAGCCATACTGTAAGTACAGCTTTACCATCCACCACCACTCTCTTCCTCACATTCTGAAAGAATGATTGCCGTCGCAAGCTGCTGGAGAGGCAGCTTTTCCAATGCCCCCGGGAAGTAGGGGCTTGGGTTACGGACCCATACCGCGAAGACAATAGAACGTCCTTGGTCTTGTGTTCCATCTTGACCCAAACGCTTTTGGCTTTCAAGGAGGGAGACGCTGCGATCGACAGATACCCATGCGACACTCTCCATCTGGAAAACGGATGCATCAAGTTCTCTGGCGGTCTCACTGACACTATAACTAAACTCTATGATTGGCCGTCCGCTGTGCTAGACAAGGCCCTCCGTGCAATGGAAACCGAGCGAAAGAACCAGCATAAGGGGTCTATGGAGAGCATACCTAAAGGCGACGACTCTGTTTCGAATTTATTCTCGATCTTCAATAAATACAAGAAACGAGGCCTTTATGCCAAAATCCTTGCCAATATCGTCATTGCTGCGATGGGACTTCGATATTCGATGGACGTAAGTAATCGACTTGGCTATCCATTAACCCTTTAACCGTGAACCCCTTAGGGAGTGGACCTTCCCGAGTACTGGGATGAAACTGCCAATATTCCAGGCCTCAACCCCAACGATATACTGGAATACAAGCCCCAGTACGGCACGTCTGGACCACGCATCATTTTACTACCGATCCACCTCGCAGTCGCCCTAACCCCCCTTGTTCTTATCATGACGAAGGACTTGATGGGAAAAAGTGTCTCGAGACATTGGCCCCTGTTGGTAAGTGCCCATCCAAACTAATATCTCCCTTCCTGAATGTAATGCAACCGCGACAGATGTGGAGGTCCCTGGGCTCTGCAAGGCCCCAGCAGCTTGCCGCATACGAAGATGTCATATGGAGGACCGTATATGCCATCGCCACACGCCCGAGCGAAGTAGAGTCTTCCATGAGGCATATGTTCGACCAACTCAAAGAAATGGCGCACTTTGAGCCCACCATCAAGGACAACGATTTCGGCCTCTCTGACGACTCTACAACATTCTTCGCCCAACTCACACCACTCATCCACTCTTCCACGGCATCGGTGGACAGTCTACTATCGTCGAAACCTGGACCATCCAAACCCCGTCCCACTGTCTCTCCTGGTGTCCACAAGGACCCATCGTCGCATGATAGCATTGCTGCCCAACGGCAAGACAAGCCACCGGAAGATATGAACGCCAAAGACAACAACGACCAAGCACCCGACGGCGACCAGGACGAATGTGGAAGCAGGAGCCCGCCTCCAGGAGCTGATACCCCAATGCAAGTCGATGGCCCTGCTGCCGGACCATCAGGCGATCAAGACAACGGCGGTGACAGCTCCGATGGTGACGTCCAGAGGAATGATACCCTCGGTCCTCTACAGGACACCCACTCCAGCGACAACACAGACAAGGCACCGCGGCGCGTGAACTTACCTCCGGATGTCGAACGTTCAATGATCTCCACTGGCGCGATCTCCCTGCTACCATACGCGTACCTGTCCATCTGTATGGGGCTGATGTTGAGTGTTGTGAAAGACGCGCTGGCTCTTGCGATGCCCGAATATCTTCTCGCCCCATCTCACCAACCGCCACTTCCACCCACCACCTACGCCTCTACCTCCCAACGGTGCCATAGCAGGATGAGGGGGTGAATTGCGGACGATGACATTACGCCGTGCCGTCGAAGACGAAGCGCTACGGCCCCAAACAATCGCGCGCTTGAGGCGCCACCACCACCCCGCACCAGTCGAAGGTGGAACTGCAAAAGCGAACGTGCACGCTCATATTGGTTTGATGGTTCACAAGCGTTGGCGGTTATTTTAGGTGATATTTACTTAGGATTGCAATCCCGAGTTCATGTAAAGAACGTCACGAATGTACTTGATCTATCCCAGTAACCTAGGCAACGTAATCGGCGTTGAAACTTTTTTCAACTGACTACTTTCCTTCCTCCGCAAGCTTGAGCAGAAGCCCATCCGTAAATAGCGTAAAAACATGGCAAACTCCCGTCGTTTTCAACCCACAGTGGATAAGCCGTCGTGCCTGCACACCCAAGACCTGACCTCGACGGACGGCGATACGAGTTGGTGGCTGGGGGGAGCAAAAATCACCGCCGGTAAACTCTCCGACGGGAACAACCCAAGCAATGCTGCCGCCGCGGTCATCATTCCGGTCTACATGCCAATGCTCGCTGGACCCAACTTTGATGGCCACCGTGAAAAAAGCGCCGCCAAAGTCCAGCCATGGCATTGCCGCTAACTCTTGACTAAGTTCTCTGCGCACACGGTCATAGGCCCTTCATAGAAGTGATGAGCAGGAAGCAACGGGATTACAATGGAAGACCTCACGTTGTTTGACGTGCCCATTGGGCCGGATAGTGCTCCATTAGCAACGCTCCAAGCTTGGGAGCCACGTCCTCCTGCAAAATCCTTAGGATTTTGGCAATCACATCCAGCACCGGTGGCTCTTGGTCGATCGTGTCGCGTGAGACACGGGGATGAGCAGCGTAAGTCTCCCAAATCCCCAGATGAAGCGCCGACGTCGCAGACCGATTGGCCTCGCGGTGGTGGATTTTGGGCCCCAACGAATCAAGCTTGCGGCAGGCATTTTCCAGACGAAATGCTGTGGTACGGCTGATGACGTTGCTAATTCGCATAGCAAGAGGGTTTCCAGTTGTATCCTCAGCGAAGAAAAGGCGGTGGTTTGAGTCGGCAGGTTGCAAGTTCTCCGCGTTCAATCCAGGGAAGTTGCGTGCGATAACACGATTGAGCCTTTCGGCGTTGGACGGCAGGCGTGTGGCCAGGTCGTTGAACTGGATATGCTGGCGTTCTAAAGTCTGGCTCAACAGGGCCGTAAGTGGCAAAGTTAACGCCCACTCACCTGTGTTGGCCTCTAATCCTTTCAACGCCTTTGCACGGCTTGCAGAGGCGAGATACTTCGCAAGGTGAGCATCTTTGGAAGCCTTACTGCGGGCTTTCCGGGACCTGGTCATGACGATTGGTTTGAAGGTTTGTGCGCGAGACACTGAGTGAGTATACACACTTACGTAAATGGCTGCTCCTGACACGTATCCATGCGGAACCACCACGCTTCGTCTCACCTTCCTCCACACCCCAAGAACGCCCGTCGGAGGAGATGGGCTGTGAGTATTTGCTTGCGCCCTCTCCGAACTCCCGACTACTTTTCGCCAGAATCGAGTTTTCGCTCGTACACAAGAGGGCGAAAGGAACGGAGAGAAGGGGCGCGCGCACGCAGTTGGACAGTCTTGGAGTAACCGTGAGTCTCAGCAACGCACGTCAATTTGTCCAACTGAACCGTCGTCGACCCGGCCAGCTACCCTATCTCAAACGCCGAGATTGTCCTCAAATACGAGACCCGGGACGTCCATATATCTATCCACCTCGATGGCCAGCACAAGCTCTCCTCTATCCACTCACTCCCCCCATCCTCAACACACGCCGTCCCGCTTCCCCCTGCCCCGCCTCTCCCTCCTCGCACACCCGAATCCCCCCCGCGCCTCGCAATCGCCGGCTCCGCTCCCGCGAAGCCTGTCCGGCCGTCAAGACTCGCAGTCCAAGTCCAAGTCCAAGTCGAAGAAGCGGGAGACGAAAGAGAGGAGGGAGATGAGGGAGAATCACGCAGAGTCGACAGCTAAAGTGCAGGAGGACGAGGCATAGGAGGGCATGGGCGCAGTCAGGACGAGGAAGGTGCAGGCGTTGACCAGGAAGGAGGAGGAGGGGGGGTCCATGGCGATGGCGATGGGCCTCGCAATGCGCAGATGTGGATGCGGGGGCCCAGGTGCAAACAGCGGCATCGTCCCCGCCGCGGCGGAAATCGGCGAAGCAGCGCACGGCGGCTGCGAGTGTAGTCGCTCGCGTGGATTTGTTTGCGCTTGTGATTCGGGGAGGGTGTCGGCGACGGAACGACTTTGCTTTGCGAATCGTGACTCGATGTTGGCATCGACGCTCATCCAATGGTCAAGGGCAATCTCAAATCGTCAGCATCGTCCACTACAAGGAGGAAACATGCAAAGAAGGCGCTTGGCCCACCCGATCAGCCCGATACGTCCAACAGGGATAAGAAACCCAAGGCAAAGGAGAAGGGCAAGGGGAAGAGGGAGGCGCGGGTGAAGATGTACATCCCGCCGACGAAGCCAGGGCCGGCGCAGCCTGATCCCCTGGACGCGATGGGGCTGGCGCATTGGCTTCCGCCTGAGCTGCTCGTTGTGCTGCAGAGTCTGGGCAAGAAGGCGGAGGTGACGAAAGTGCACGCGCTGGAGGATCTGCAGGCCCACTGGGTCAAGCGCTGTGTCAACGATGACGCTGTGCTGTATGCCGTGACGGATATGCTTCCCGTATGGGTGCGTTACGTTGCAAAGTCATGCTCCTGTGGTGACCACTGAATCGCCCGCACATGCAGATGCACCACATCCCAACGCTGTTTGCCTACCGCCGGGCGCATCCGCCTCCTCGCAGCCTCCATCCACGCATCCTTCCTCGCAATCGCCCCCCCTCAACACCCACATCTCCGCCTTCCTCGCCGACACCGCCCCCACCCCGCAGCTCGAGGCCATCCTCGGCACATGGTGTCTCGCCGCGCACGACATCGACAAAGCCGTCGCGCTGTCGCAGAAGATCCTCGACGCGCGGCTCGACCTCATCCGGCTGCGCCAGACGCACCCGCACCCGCGCCTCACGCTCCCGCTCGCAGACCAGAAGCTCGTCGACCAGGTCGCCGAGATGCAGGCCCTAAATGACGACCTCGAGGCCGCGCAGCGCCACATGCACACCGTCAAGGAATGCATCAGGGCCAGTGCGAGCGCGGCGGAGCGGCTGCGCATGGAGTGCGCAAGATCAGGGATAGGGCGGCGGCGGATACACACTAGGCTTCCTTGTAGATCGGCGCATGTCTCAAAGCGCAACGCCGCTATACGGACATCACACCATCTACTATCACGTTTGCTGTGCGGCGCCTCGTCTTGGGCAGTATTTCTTCCTCCAGGACGTCCCTCCCCCGCTACTATCCGTCCCCTCCTCGCGCCACTCGCCTCGGCCTCGATGCGCGTACATGGTAGTCGAATATCCGTCTGGTAGAGGCAGAATTGGGTGAGTTGCGACCCTTTCCCTGCCCATATAGCACCGAGTACTCACCGTTCACAATAGCGCGAGTCGATCGCATATAACATCACCTACAATGAGATCAAGTAGCCGAGTAAACGGGCGCATACAAGTCACGAAGACGCAGACTTACCACTTTACCCCATCATCCCTTCCCCATTCCTCCCGCCCGACTGCTTCCTGCTGTATCCACTAGCCGCTCGAGTGCGCGCAAGACGAGTACCTCTTTCCTAATGCCACGAACCTCGATCGACGGCCCAACAGCAGCGTCAACGACACCCCCATCCCACCACCGCCACGTCCGCGCTATTGCCGCCCTCGCGACCTTGCGTCGTCGTTCGAAGACCTGCACACCGGGAGATCGTTAGCAGAGGAATGCTAAAGGGAGGAGACTGAAGAGCGTGTCAGCGAATAACGGGGAAGACGACGAGGAGAACGGGAAAGGGCAAACGGAGGGGGACGCCAACGAATCGCCAACGGGGGGGATCACTCACGGCCGCAAACCACGCCGTCACCATCCCAGCACGACCGCCATCGCCCCCAGTTGGGCTCTAGCCTCGTCTACCCGCTGCGAACCACGACGCCGCTGATTCGCCGCGTCGAATCCCGTTTGGTTACGTGGCGAGGATACTGCGGAAGAATATGCGGGTTAGCACGAGGGACGGGCGGAGGGATGGGACATGGGAAGGGGAAGGGAGGGAAGACGAACAAAGAGTTGGGGAGGGAGAGAGACGAAGTGGGAGAGGGAGAGAACGAAGGAGTGGGGAAGCAAGCGGGACACGAAGGAACGCAAAACGGAGGAAGAGGAAGCAACAGAGACGCACCGACGACGGGAATGCGCCACGTCCCTCGATCAACCAATGGCAAGAGTTCGAGCCCGGGACGGGCACTATCAACGGCGTTGCGGGTGTCTGCGGCTGCGGGCTCGAACGAGAAGGGGGAGTTAGTGGGTTAGCGGGTGATGGTAAGGGACGGGGAAGAAGAGGGGAGCGAGAGCGAGAGCAAAACTGAGAACGGGAAAGGGAACGAGGACGAAGGCGAGAACGAAACCAAGAACGAGGGGAATACATGGCAGGGGGGGAATACGGGACGGAGATGCACGAACGAAACGCAAATCGACGACGACGGCGAAGGGACTTACCTCCTCCCCGAACCCACATCCACCACGTCCCACACCTACATCCACGCTCCCGCAGTGCCAGTGAAGACGCTGGGGCTGCGTGCTCGCCCCTCGAGTGCGTTTACGCTTACGTTGGCGTTGGCGTTTGCGTTCGCAGCGAGTCGCGGCGGCGTCAGGATGATATCTGCAAAGGAGTGGGTTAGAGGCGAGTTAGAGGCGTTGGAGGGGTTTGGAGGGATTGGGGGTGTTGGAGAGTTGTGAGTACGCGTTCGAGGTGGGGACGTGGAGGTACAGGCTTACCTGAGTACGTGTAGGATAGACGAGGCCGCAGGACGAGGCCGACGAGAGCGCGATGGGGACAACGATGCCGGGCCAGGCGTTCGATCTGCGAAAGACAGGAAAGAGGGAGGGGTGCGAGAGCGGGAGCGGGAGCGAGGACGAGGTAGAAGACGAGGTGGAAGACAAGGAGGAGGGGAGGGAGGAGAGAACACGGAGGGAGGAGGGGGAGGAGAAGTTGAACCAGGTACGAATGTCGGAGGAGGATGTAGCAGACGTACCGTGGAGATGAAACGAGACGATGCCGTCGAGCGCTGAGGATTGGTAGCGGGGATGGAGAGAAGGGAGGACCTGGATGGAAGACGAAGGGGTGGTCAGCCGAGACGAAAGAAGAAGCAGACGGCGACGAACCTTGGAGCGCAGCTCAATCGAGTCTCGCGCGCGCGAGACTGCTCTACACCCCACGCAATCTCCCAATACCCCATTCCCCATTCTCCCTTCGTCGTTCGTGTCAACGCGCCACCACGGGTCCACGGCGCACGGTCGGCACGGTCGGGAGTCGGCGCAGCGGGGACAGCGCTCAGTGGACAGTGGACAGTGCAGCTGTGAGAGTGAGAGTGTGTGTGAGGGTCAGCGCGCGTCTGTGGAAAGATGGGGGCTGGCTGGCCTTGTGGTTGGGTGCGGCAGTCTACTCGGCGCTGCGGGGGGCGGTGAATCCGGGAATCGAGCAGTTCGAGGCGGGTTCGTCAGTGTTTCGTTCGTCTTTGTGTGCACGAGCGGACGTGTCGCGCTCACAGCACACAACCTCAGCCCTCAGCCCTCAACACTCAGCCCTCAACACTCAGCAGTCAGCAATCAGCCGTTTCGCGGGTCTCACAGCGACTCTGGGACTCAGCGAACGGTCTACGGGTACGGACACTCGGCGGATACAACGAAGGCGGCGGCGGGGTCGAACTCAAGCACACGAGGTTACCGTTGCGCAAGGCTCACGATTTCGGGCGTCAATAGGCTGGCCAGGACTCAGGCATCACACGGATATACTACGAGGCGTGCAGCGTGCGGACAGATCAGAGGGGAGAGCGGCGGCGCAGTCAGTAGACGGCTCGCGACGAGCTCGTTCGTCGTCGAGTTACGCGGCGGGTTTCCTCGTTTACCTGTACATAGCCCGTCGTCTCGTGGACGAATAGACCGGTTTGGTCTTTCACTGGCTTACTCTGTGTGCGCGTCTGGCAGTCCAAGCTCAATATACGGGCGAACTAAGTATCTATCCACTGAGTCCAACCCATTGTCTGGTCGTTCTTTTGCCGACAGACTTCTCACTGGGGCTGAACACTCAAGAGAAGAGTCAAGTGAGAGGATCAAGTGCAAGGGGTATATTCTTGTAAGGTCAAGGGAAGATACAAGCAGGAAGTAAGTGGTATGGGTACGGGGCTTTGGTAAATATGGGGACAGGGGAAATCGGATACCTTACACTCGCCTACCCTTAAAAAAAGAGACAGGGGGTGTCATGAAGAACAGAGTGGATATAGCAGGAAAAAAAGGAGGTACGGGGAACAGAGACGAACTGAAGGGAACGGTGAAGACAATAAGGTGTCGAGGAAGAATGTACAATGTTGCAGAGGAGGTGGCGGAAGAAGTTGCTGTAGTGAGATCAAGATTCAAAAGGTCGGGGTTACGGGGCCATGGAGAGTTGTGGTGCTATCTGAGGGGACGGCGGGAAAGTAGAAATGTCAAATAGATATCCTAGTCAACGAAGGAGAACTTACATACTGTGAGCTCAGTCATCTTCCAGCTCATCCTCCTCCTCCTCCTCCTCCTCCTCCTCCTCCTCCTCCTCCTCCTCCTCCTCATTGTCATGGTCATCCTCAGGACGATGACAATGATGATAATGATGATCATCGTCGTTCACCGCTTTTCTCTGATTCTTACCCCATTTTTTCAAAGCGGAACGAGTTTTGGGGCTAGATGCAAGAGAAGCTTGAGTAGATAGATCTTTCCCCAAATCTGTCCCGCGAGACTCGAAAAAGGCTAAAAGACAACAAGACGCTGGACAGTATTCAAATGCCAAGTCCAAGAATGATCGCGTTGGCCCCCCTATACCGAAACCGTCATCGACTGCAGGCTGAAAGGTATGAGTACTTCTGAATTATAAGAAAAGCTTTGTGTGGAGCTTACCGAGATCCCACTGGTAATCCGTAAGCGGCAGGCCAAGTAGCAACACACTATGAACGCCACCGTGTTGCCTAAGGGGGCGGAGTTTTTGGACTCGCGTATCAGCGTTATGTCCGACTCGTGTAAGTATCCCCTAAGCGCTGCCTGGGAAAGCGTGGTCTTGGAGGCATCCGGAGGAATGTCAGTAGGAGCCCACAAAGAAGTAGGATCAAGGGAACTGAAGGGGACCTGGGGGGCGGGAATGGCGGGGATGGGAATGGCGGGGATGGGAATGGCGGGGATGGGAATGGCGGGGATGGGAATGGTGGGGATGGGAATGGCGGGGATGGGAATGGCAGGGGTGGGGAGGATGGCGGGAGTGGAGGCCCTAAGAAGATTCTCCATGGAGAAGTAGAAGCAAGTCTAGGATAAGGACAAAGTAAGTAAACGTCGAGAACAAATTAATTCATTATACGAACTCCATGGTTGTCAGGGAGACGGGTACATGAAGGTTCTACCGCTTCAACGGGCTTTTCCAGGTCGTCTAGGTCGTCTAGACCGTCCCCTTTACCATAAGGGTTGTTTACCGCCAGGTAACAGGGGAACCCGATAAAACATTGACACGATGAGCGAGAGCGATAAGTTGGCCCTTGGTGCCAAATTTGGCCCAGTGACAGAAACCCTCCAGAAGATGACGAATGAAGAAAGGCTCTCCCCAGATACTCATGTGTGATGTGAAGGGGGACCTCAGGGTCATTCGGCCTCATGAAGTCCGCCTTCTCAAAGAGAACGGCATATTGTTGGCAGAGGTTGATCGTCGCTTTGTCCATGGGAAATGGCATGATTAAGAGGAGACGGTTCCATTGCACAGAGATCCCCCCCACGACCTTCGACCTGTCCCGCAGCTGGGAATCTGTGAGGAGGGTGAAGAGGGTGGTCCCCTGAGAAGTTTGAGTGATTGATGCGTTGTCGTGGCCATTGAGTTGGAGGTTGAATACCATATCGTGTCGTAGGTCCTCAGTAAAAACAGGGGCCCTCTTAAGTGCTTTCTAAAGTGATTCAGGCCTCATGGGAAAGTCCAGGAAACATCTCCATCAAGATAAAACGGCGAGTGAATCACAAATGCACTTCTCTCCCGGTTTTCCTTTTCGACCATTACCAATCACAGGTCCACAGGACGCAAGGAAAGCCAGAACAGAAGGAGATCTCGTTTACGCAGAAGCATTGCACGAGTTTGAGCCAGAGGCGATCCTTGATTCGTGTAACGTTTTCATTTCCGCTTTTAACTTGAGGCTCGGGGGCTTCGCCTGTGTTCGGTCTCTGCATCATCGCGTGCGTGGTGTTCCAGCCCTTCTCCAATCCTCCACAGAGACAGAGCCGGCTTCTCACATGGTATCTAGTACGTAAATTAGGTATTGAAGTATTTACACAACGTATCCTCCTGGATTGCAACGGGCACCCAACGTACTGCCTCAATGCCCCTGTGGGCTAATTTCAACATCGTGTTCCTTTCATTTTCTTCTCTCGCTCTTCGGTTTGCTTGTTTCCCCGTCGTCTCGTTATGTGGGCCTTATTTAGAGTAGAGCCATACTTGAGTTAGTAGGGGAGCTCAAAGTTGGCGCATAAGAATCCGCGTACGCATATGCGCGCATACGGCCGAGGTGCCGTCGATTATGTAATGGTATTTGAGTGTCACATGTCCGAGTAGCGCCCACGTAGCGCTGAACGCAGCATATCACTGTTGAAATAAGCCGGTGAGGTCGCGCGAGTTCCGAGTGAGCAAGTAGATATATTGTGTTTGGCTGGGACTCCAGCAAACGCATAAAGAAAATAATACATGCGCGCGACACGATATTACAGTAGTCACGTGCATCTCCTATACCCCTGTACAGCCAAGATTGCTGAAATCCAACAATCACTTCCATTGATCTACACTGGTCTACTGCAATCATGCCCCGCGCAAGGATCCACGACAAAATCAGGCATGCATATCTCATTCATATGAAGAGACGCGACGGGAAAAGAAGAGACGCGACAACGCGTTTACGATGTGACGAAAGTGTGACATTTACATTTAATTACATAATCGACGGCACCTCGGCCGTATGCGCGCATATGCGTACGCGGATTCTTATGCGCCAACTTTGAGCTCCCCTAGTCTCAGTTAGGTTCTGACTACGTCAATAAAAGGATATCGGCGACAATGGGCCCGTAATATTCCTTCCATGGGCATTGGCTCCAGTTGCAAGATAGTACCTTGGCTTTGCGTTTCGTGCTCGGGTCGGGGAGGCGGTCACTCCTACTTGGTGATGCACAATAGCATCCTGTGCCTTCATGGGTCTCCCCAGACAGCTAATCTTAGGTCAATGCAATATTGTATACGTAGACATCAGTTCGAATTCGAATATTCACCCCGGCACTGGATGCGCAGACGTCCATTGAGTAATAAGCCAACGTCAACAACATACGCCCAGGGCCCAAACGTTGGGAATCTAGACGTGCAGACGTCTATGGAATCCATCAGCAGCGTAGTATAGCCGCTGAAGGCGTCGAAGACAGCGATATCTTGAGGGGACGGCGGGGTGGAAGCGAAAGTCCAAGAACGCACTAAGGCTTGGGATGCGCATGATGCCCTCCTTGCACGCCAAGCGGTCAAACAGCAGACGCCGAGCATCATGCATAGGGGTTAACTGCAGGTAGAGGGGCTCGCAGACGTATCAGGCCGGTGGGTGAGGAAGGGAGGAAAGTCCACGCGTTATAGAGTTATGGACCCGCTTTTGGGTCTGCAAGTAGCTGTAAGTTTGTAAGATTGATAGCCCGAACGTCCCCGTACCCTCTTTCTTCTCTCTTCATCTTCTTCGCTACGCTGAGAGGACCACTCTTCTTGACGACTTGATATTTCCAAAGATTGTCATTCGCACCGTACATACATTGATCAAGAGAAACTACACATTATGGTATCCTATTATCATCTACATTTCATTCTGTCAAGGCCTTCAAAAATTGGTATCTTTTGGAAGGAGGATGTACTTTGGAATAGGGTGTAATGTTGAATTGTTCCCTCCAGTAATTGTAGTTGAAGGACCTCCAACGAACCTTCTGAAAGGTCAAAGCTGCGGTGAGAAAAGATTCAAATACATTAGGAAGCCCTTTGCATAGTTGCTGGGCGGAGAAACTGTTCTTCAAGGCGATAAGTTGTACTGCCATCAGTTGCGGGCTGGGGTCCGAGCCCATGACCTTTGCGAAGTCGTTGTCCCATGGCATACGGCCCCCATGAGCCACACGGACCAAAGTGTAAGCGAAACTGACAACATCGTCCTGAAAGGTAGCTATCGTCTGATAAACCAGGAGTTAAACCAGAAAGAGAGTTGCATTGGACGTACGAAGGCCATGCGCAATGCGCTCTACACCTGAGTAGTAGGGGGAATACCCATAGGTATCCGCATAGTTGAAGGAGGCATTGGGGGAATCCCTGGAAAATCGTGAAGAGCCAAAGTCGATTAACTTGACGCCAGAGCTCGACACGAGGATGTTGCCGGGATGGATATCCCCGTGAATAACCCCTTGCATATGGATGGATGCAAGGATGGGAAGCTGTGACAATAAATTAGTGTAATCCGCAATCAGACACAACGGTCGAACTTGCCACAGTACTGGCGATGGTGAACGCCAGGTCCAAGCAATCAAAGCACCCTATCCCCCCGACAGCCATATCCAGCATGCTCAACAGGGAGCCTCCGGCATACTCTAGAGTGAGATACGCTGTGCCAGAGTGTTCACCGTAGTAATAGTGTTTCAAGATCCCAGGGGTGCCTTGAAGTCGAAGATAAACAGCGTTCTCTTTGCGAAGCTGGCGGACGCTGTGAGGAAGGGCCCATTTGACGACAAATTGACCTCCTTTGTCCTTGTATACATTGCCTAGACAGAAATGAACAGGACGCCACAGTAGAGAAAGGGATCCTTACCATGGGCACCAAACCCCACCTTTTGTGACATGTCCTGAGACAAGAATTAGTCCCAGTCTGCTTTGAGGGGCGAGAGTGGAACCACCGGACATGAGAGATATGCACGTGACAAAGGTCGAGGTTGTTCGACTCGCGAGGTTGTCCAGGGTTGTAATATGGATCCGCGGGATTTTAAAGGATTTTGAACGCGCACCACTGGCACTCAAGAAAGGTTTATTTCAATATAAGTATTAGCTTTTATTGATTACTAGCGGCTAACCCGTGCTACGCACGGTGTAAGAACCAAGTGCTTATGACAGTTATGCATATACAACTAAGTAATAAATGGGTATGTGTCGAAAACTGAATAATAGGACATAAGGCGTAAGGGGAAGACCGTGTCTCGTCCGTGTGCGTGCTAATGAGTATGTACGCTCGTAGCCATCGTGCACTCGCTCCTACAACATTGAGGTCAGTTGCATCTATCTCAAGGCTGAACGAACCTATTAGATATCCCCCGTGTAGGCCTTCAGACCCTCAAAGCTCGTAGCCGTGCAAGACCCGATGCTTGCATCAGTTGTCAGCCAGATCATCGTAGTTCATGCAGCGCCGGTGCGGTAGTCGTGCCCAGATTCAAGGATCCGCGCCCAAACGTGAACCAAGTGGTCTGCGTTGTCGCGCTCGTAGCGAGATTCACGCTTGCAAACATGATTATAGCCTGATGGGGCCCTTATCCGTGCTGACCCCGATGCTGCCCGCAGTCGTTGTTATGATCGCACTTACCACATGCGCAAGCTCGTAGTCGAGTACCTGACATCCTTATGCACACGGCCCTAAGCGCATCTGAAATTGAGATATTCGAAGAACCTGAGTAAGACACACATTGCCAGGCCATAGAGGCGTCCACGATGTGTAGAAGCCGCATAAGCCTGAGTTGACGACCATGTTCGCAATCATAACCGCACGGGTGTTAAGCTCTCGTGCTCCTGCCTATTTGATTCCAAACTGTGTCATAGAGATGGGCCACAATACAATGCTCACCCCTCAGAGCAGTTCTCGTGCTCGTGCTCGTGCCCAAGCTGGAGTGAACCCTGCACCACTATCGCGTACCCGGCTGAAGAGAGTGAATTGAGACGGACAGATGACATGAGGCAACACACAACTGTGGTCTATGTTACCAGAGGCGACCATTTCCCATTCTGGTTGACTGTGTCCGGGTAAGGGTCCTGAGCAGCAGCCGGAGGTATTTGGATACGCGCCGAGGGTACGCTAGGATAAGCAGCATTGCAAAAATTGCTCGTGGCCACGACCGTTCCCGCGCTGGTGCTCATATTCATGGAACCGCGGATTTCGTACGCCCGTACCGGTCTGCTTACAGTCACAGTGGTTATCCACCGCACACAGGGCCTTGGAGAGTGTCGGATGTAAATTAAGAATGTGCGCGCGCGATATAAGCAAATCGCACCTAGTAGAAGCCATAAAGGCGTGCGCGTGAGCCAAAGGTCCCGTTCCGTTGACTTTCAATTTGCGAATGGTTGTCTCGAATCGTTGAGCGCGAGAGAAAGTCAAAGGGATAGCCTCCGTGGTCGTTGGGAGATGCTGAGCGCCAGCAGAGAGCCCAGAGACAATGCGGTACTGCGTAGAGTTCCAGAAATTTCGACGTGTCTCAAGATCTCAAGGCACATGATCGCAAGCTGCAAGAGGGCGAGCAAACGGAGATACATCCAAAAGAGGTCAGAAATGGTCTCGCCAGCCAATCAGCGAGCTCCTTTGTCCCCGTGGGAAAAAATGCATGCTTTTTCTTATATAGATATATATAGATTGGGTGACTTCCCGTAAGGATTTGAAGACGATTTCACATCTTCAAACGCTTCAGACTGCAAGATGCCGATGTGCCGGACGCCACCATCAACGCTTTCGAAGTTCGAAGCAGCAGTTGCCAGTTGCTCGTCTTCAGACTTGCAAGTCTGTGGAGGGGGACTCTGAATTTATCTTCAACGACATTTTACGCTCCGCGCAACGGCGTTAAACCTGAATCGGGGAGCGGCTGCATGCGAGCACCTACCCTATTAGGAAATTCTCATTACACATGTTAATCCTGGGGCCCATTTACACCAGACCTATCCACCTATTGGACTCGCGTTACGGTTTGGAGACGATGAACTGAGACTTCCGAAGAATGGGTTTCAATCCCCGCCTTTATGGGTTTGAAGACGTTTTTGTCTTCAGATTCTTACGGGAAGTCACCCCGGGAAGTCACCCACTCGTGAACCAGCAGTTAAACGACAGCGAGCGCCAAGCTTGCGGTGAGGTGGAATCCAGTTAACCAATCAGCGTAGACGTGCCACGCGAGATAAGTCAGAACCGTTTTGAAAATTCAAACCCAGATCTCCAGTATACACGGTTTGCTCTTCGACGGAGGCCAGTCACAGGACTATGATCAAAGTATGACTACACCGTTTACAAGTGACGTTGAAAGCTGCGGGCATGAAATCACGAAGTGATGCCCGTGGAAACAAGGCTAAATAAATTCTGCATACTTTGGAGGAAGCGAGCTACAGCCGGCGCCGCCCATGTCCATATTACATGAACTCCGTAGTAACCGGTGCTACATCCTCTGGTCTTCAGAAACTGTGACAGAACGATCGGGATTAAGATAGAAGATATTCTAAGTGGAAGGGGGGTAAGAACGGGGAATAGGGGAAGGTCAAGGTACTCACTGTGTTAGAGGAAGAAAGTGCGTAGCATGGAGTGTTACGCAGTGGCGTGGCGCTCCCAATGGAGTTGGAAGACCCAATGGAGAGGTTGCAAGGTACCAAGGCGAAGCAGCCACACTCAAAGTGAGGACCCGTATGATGGAGCGTCCCCTCGTAATAAACTCCAGGCTCGACCTTCACCAGTACCCTACCCAGCAATTCTTGACCTTCGCCAGCAATGGGCAGATCAGCGGCAGGCTGGAGTACAGAGGGAGGGTGAAAGAAGCGCTGGTATGTGTTGCAGGCGTGGCGGAAACGATGGAATTCTGGGGAGTCGGAGACAGGGAAAGTGAAGACAAGGTTGTGCACGATAATTTGCAAAAATCCTTCTCGCTGGATGAGCTCTCCCAGGCGAGACTGGCCCAAAAGCGTTGGGACATCATGGAAGAAAGAGGACGAGGGGTAGAGGTTGGGCGCGTTGATGCCAACCGAGAATAAAGATTTCTGCTGCGATGCAAGCCCACTAAGTTTCAGCATCTCGCAGAACGTGTCCCAGACGAGTTCTGAAGGAGGGGAAATGGACATCTCCGTGTATTCGAACATAAGGTCTTGGGGATTATTACTCGTGGTGGAAAGTTCAGGCAAAGAGGATGAGGGGAGTCCCAATCTCGCCTACAGACAGAGCTTTCGGGGAAGAGCCGGGCGGACTTGTAAGTCGGAGTTAAAACCTCGGAGCATAAGGCTTGCTGAGTCACCAATTCGAAACGTCTCAGGAGGAGCCTGAGGAGGACCATATAAGGACTGGACTTGGCTTAGCGGGCCGATGCCTGAGGCACGGCGTGTAAACACATCATGCATCAGCGGATAATGGGTGACTTCCCGTAAGAATCTGAAGACAAAAACGTCTTCAAACCCATAAAGGCGGGGATTGAAACCCATTCTTCGGAAGTCTCAGTTCATCGTCTCCAAACCGTAACGCGAGTCCAATAGGTGGATAGGTCTGGTGTAAATGGGCCCCAGGATTAACATGTGTAATGAGAATTTCCTAATAGGGTAGGTGCTCGCATGCAGCCGCTCCCCGATTCAGGTTTAACGCCGTTGCGCGGAGCGTAAAATGTCGTTGAAGATAAATTCAGAGTCCCCCTCCACAGACTTGCAAGTCTGAAGACGAGCAACTGGCAACTGCTGCTTCGAACTTCGAAAGCGTTGATGGTGGCGTCCGGCACATCGGCATCTTGCAGTCTGAAGCGTTTGAAGATGTGAAATCGTCTAATGGAGCTTCCCCCATTCATTCCCGTCTACTACTGTCCATCATCCCTTCACCCAGCTATGCAGAAGCCTGAGAAGCGATGCCACTGCATGCCATACACAATTGTCTGAAGAAGACTCACCAGCCTGTCCCTCACCATCAGACCCGGATATTGAGCTTGTCAATAATCGGCCATCACCGAGGATGTTGACATGAACGAGGCAGATCAAGACCAGTGCTTCCCCTACCATGAAAGTTCCCACTGTGGAACTTGAAGACCTTTCTATCTCCAAGGATTCCACTGTTACCGAGCGTGCCGAGCAATTGGTGCCAAGTGAATAAGATCACACCTCCTTCTGTGGACGCCAGAATTCAATGGAAAGCCGGAAGGGTATACTCGTTTAAGCGAGCTTCCGAGCTTTGGCCATGTTTGTTCTAGGCGCGACCCCCAGAAACCGTAGTCTGACGCGTAAACACATTCCAAGATACCTACTTACGAACTAACCTAAACTGTAGCTGTGCAGCTGCGAAACATGTAGTCGAGCCATTGGGTGCAAATTGAACTTAGGTCGTCATCGATTCATCACTCACCTTCATCACCATTATGCCGAACGCACGGATGGCGCAGCAAGCTTGATTGAGCTTGATGTCGATGAATCCCAAACGCGTCGAAGGGAGACTGGTCTGTTGATCGGCTTGTTCGTCGTGTTCGATACATGCTGATGTACCAGGTGTCGTAGGCTCGACTTGACGAACGAAGACGACGTACTGGCGGTGTCGGACCTCAGTCCTTTCATCCCTCCCCATCTACCCCATCGATCCCCTCTATATGTTTGCTTGCTATGGGTTCGCTTACAGCTCGCATTCGCGGCCGGGTCATCTTTGTTCAATCCCGCGTCGATGGAAGATAGCGGACAGGTGGAGCAATGGCATGGGTAGCACGCCATCTTCGCTGGGGGACATATGTAAATGCGACCTTGTAAGTAGCCCTCGTCGTCATCGCAGATTCTCGTATGCTACTCACCTTGTTGTGCAGTGACGCGAAGCGTCGTCGAAGCGAAGCATTATCGTCGTCATCGTCCGTAGTGCGGGGATGTTAGCGTGTCGCTGACTGCATCCCGGCGCAACTGAGCCTCGTAAGCTGCATTACGCCGTTTCCTGTGCTTGTCGGAGGTCGTTTATGGCCGTGTATGCAGACACCTCGCTCGTTCGCCCATCGAATGCAGTGGGTAGCTGTCGTGTGTGCTTCGTCGTTTATGCATCCGTGCGTTGGGGAGTTTGTGCATCAGTGAGTTTGTGCTTTTCGTTCGTGCGTACGTGCATGCTGATGGTGCCACGCAGAAATGCGCACAGACAGATGCGGGTGGGGTGGGCGCACGAGGGCGCAGTGGTCGTTATCATTGTGTTCCGCCCGACGACCTACACTTGAACTTCGGGTGCGGACCGCACACGCGTACGTGAGTACCTGGCCGCCAGTCCAACGCTGCTGTCGTCGCCTGCAATCTACGGGTGAGTGAACTGTTCTGCTTCATGCAGTCCGACCGCGACTGACCTTTTCTCTCAGTGCCAACCTACTCGTCTACCATGGCCGTGAGCTACGTCGACGTCTCGTACGTGGTGCCGCTGTCTGTGTTCATCGGTGGGGTACATCCCTTCCTTCCTTCCCCGTCCTCCGCCGATTCGCCTGCCTGACCTGTCCGTGTATCCATCTTCACTTATCTAGCTCGCTCGCCGCTTGCCTGCGTGGCAGCAGTCGTTCCAAGCGAGGGTGCGCTCGTGTATCAATAGCACGTTCGTTCGTGCCGTGTGTGCGGTACGTTCATTCTCTGCTTTGTCTCTGGCTGACACCTTTCCTACTGCAGCAATCTCGCTGCTCGGTCCCTCGCCGTGGTCAGTTGGCACACATGCTCAATGTCGAATCATCCTGGTCGCGTCGACGCGTGTGCTAACGTCTCCAAGGGTTCGTGTACGTGGTCTATCCTGGCCTTGCGGGTCGCTTACTGACTGTCCTCCCTCCCCTCGCTCCACGTTCGACATCCTCTCCATCATCGTCGCCACCGCTGTACAGCCCCCAGCGCCACCCATCCTCGCTCGTTCGTCGGCTGTCTGCCGCCATCGCATCCTCCGTAAGTTGCCCCGTCGTCGCCTCATGCCCATGTTGCATCGACTGACGCCTTCCATTGCACAGGCCCGCGCGATACGCAGTCGAGCGTCCGCGCTCGTCGTTGCGGTCGTTCGTTCGTACATTCCCTCGTACGCTCGACTCTTGGATGGGTGTCGGATGGATGTGAAGCCAGCGAGCATCCCTACCAAACCGAAACGAATGGAATAGCAAGGTAAGTAACATGTTCTGCGCAAATGTACGAGCACGCACTTACTGGGCAGCCACGCTCAGACAGACAGACAGACAGACACTCCTGTCGTCGAGTATTCGCATCGGATCCCCGTTCGAGCTCGATCTCGACGACGACGGCGTGTGGGGTGCGTCGACCTCAGTGTCCTCGGTATGTGCGTCCCCTGCGATTCGCTGCATCCCCGTCTCCATCCCTCTTCGTCTTCGTCTGCATGTCTTCATATGAACGCGCCCAACGTCGATACGTTGTGTACTCTGCGCGTTAGCTGACCATTTCCCAGCCAGATCTCCCTCGTCTTCATCCTTGTCGTCGTGTTCGCGTTGGCGTGCGTGCGTGAGTTCATTCGCAGCCACGAACGGCACACTGGCGCCTTCGCATGCGGATGTGCTCACCTTAGCGCAATCCACCCACTCCCGTCCCTCCACCCCACTCCTCCCGCTAGCGCCTCCACACGAAGCCTGCCCGCAACGCAAGCTCCCATGTCGTCGCACAGTGTCGATTCCCGCCCACGCACCGAGTTCCCCCCGGCCTCGAGTTCTTCGAGGACGCAGATCAGCGCATATAGCATCGATTGGCGGGGTTTTCATTACCTTGGGTCGGGTTCTTTGAGGGTAAGTTTTCGACTCGACGGTCTAAATTGGAGTGATGCTATCGCCGAGTGGGTCGCCTTCCCAAATTTCGATGATATTGCGATGCTGATTCGTTTGTCTGCAGCCTTTCCTGACTACGGGATGGGTCTCCTGACATGATTGATTACAGTTGTACTTACGTAGACTCTCGACGTGAGGGCTGGGCCAATATCCTTCACGTGGCCCTCATTGGCGTCCACGGCTTCTCCGCCACTGCTGGCACCAACCCTGCTGGCACCGCAGGAAACGTCGTCTTCTTGCACCTCTTCATCGCCGCATTGGCCCTTCAACCTTGCAACCCAACTCGTGAGTCTTGCGACAAGGCACGATCATTGTGTACTTACGATTCATCTGCGCATCCACAATTCCTACTACTCGTGATGCATGGATCGGAGCCGATGTCAACTGATTCGGTGGAGCTAACTCGTGTACCCTCTGGCGAGCATTTGCTAGCCATGGCTTGGGTGTCGGTGCTGCTAACCACCGAGACTCGATGACCATCCCCGCCGGCTGCTAATTTATTGCATTTCTTTGGGCTTGTTGGATTTGCGAGGCCGTATATAAACTTCAATGTATACCAGTGAAATCAATCCGATATCTTGGACTCTATTCATTCCTCGCACGCTTTCTTTGGCAAAACATCGATGGCTCATCAATAAAACGTATATCAGACAACGGTGATATTGTGGCGAGAAATATACGGGACATACTCCCACTTGCCCCGAGCAGATCGTCATCAACACCAACACTAAGATCATCCTGAACCCTTGCATCTCCCCCTTTCCCTCTCACATTCTGGTGTGCTACTGGACTTTACCCCCTTAACTCCATTTGGGCGGAGTTCCAACTATTACGACAAGCGCTATAAACACCGCTCCACTGGCTGGCCTTTCCTCTCCCGAATAGATGTCGGCTTTCTGGGCAGTTGACGGATCTGAGGACTAAATTCTGAAGCTTGAAGGACCAGCTCCCGGCCTTGACAGGTCGGCGCCGTGTTATTCATCTTCAGCATTGTCCCCGAAGGCCAGGCGCACGCAAGTCAATTTGCACAAGGGCCAGGGCCCACTACGCCGGAGGACTCACACGCAGTGGGTCGCCGAATGGCACACTCACAAAAACGAAGAAGAAAGAGCGGGGGAGGGGAGGGAAACACACAAGCGAACATGATGAAAGAACGAGGGACGGGGAAGGGACGACGTAAATCTGAGCGCTCCCGGCGTACCAGATACACAGCTTTGAAAAAGGAGATGCTGGCAAGCACAGAGGAGGCTGAGGCCTGTCTGCTTGACAGCGTTCGAGAGCAGGAGAAGGTGAGCAAACGGTCCATCTAGGAGATGGGCAAGGTACTCATTGTTGTGTGGATGTTGTGCAGCAAGTGAATGCTGGGTTGAGGATGCTCGATGTCCTCCGATGTCCTTGTCTGATTCGATACCTCATCCTCCTGCCACGCCATATCTCTCAAGCAGATGTCGTGGACTTGAGAGAACATCTCTGTGATGCACTCCAGCGAGCTCAACAGGTCTACGCTGACGCGGGCTCTTTTTCATGACGGTGATCCTCTCATTTCACAGATCCCGTTCGAAAAGTGGCTTAAGCGCCCATTTCATTTATTTACCGCATCCTTCCCCTCATTTCAACGCAGGCCGTCTGCCACATGCCGCTCCCGCCACCAGTCAGGGTACACCCTCGGTGCCTTCTACGCCGATTACCGGAGACTTTGCAGATCGCGAACGACGGCTTAGCGTCAGTACAATCACGAATAAACGGAGAAATGAATGAACGAATACGCGTCCCCCACTTCCCGCAGCGAGGCCAAAAGACCTGACGATCTCCGGTGCTCCCAGATCCGCTGCTCCGAACCCAAACGCAAACATTAGCGACGCAACACTTGGCCTCGCTTTCTACTCCGCCGCGCCAGTCTCTCTCTCTCGAGTCTCCTCTCCTGCCTCTCCGTTCACTGTGCCCACATGACACGTTTACGTCGCGAGGCAGAGGACACCCCCTTCGACTAACCGGGACTGGAGCGTCGTCGTCACCACACACCCGTGTCACGCGACGCGGGGGTCGGTCGCAGACCCAGTTCCCGTGACAACATCCAAATATCCGAGAGTCGCATGTGGCATCCTCGCTTCTCCTCCTCGGACTCGTTATCTAACAATGACTCAACCTCAATCTCAATCGCAGCAGACCCTCTTCCCTTCTCCAAAATCTGAGACTCACCTCGGCACCCAGGGTCAGAACAAGGACGGAGAACACGGTAAAGGGCGGCCTGCGGGCGCGAAGTGAAAGGGAGTTGGTGGACCATGATGGCGGGCACTTGTTCCAATCCATTGCCCAACCTGATATAATGTGGTTTACCATCTCCTGACAAACCATGCCACAAGCGATAGTGAGGCACCGCATATCCCCTCAAGACTCCTGTGGGATGTATTGACGGACCAATGCATGTCACCAACCCAGGAGAAATGAAGGTGGTGATGGCTGACCCGGCGGTAAATAGCGGACAAGGTACGTTGTTATTGTTTGCGTTTGTCGAAGACTTCAATCGACCTTACTTTTCAATAGCTTCGCCTGTGGTGTATCGCTTACCGGGGTCACGCCAATCGTCTTAACATGTCGTGGCATACCATCAGATCTTTCGTCTGAGAATCTATATTCGTATCTATCACAGGGGCTTGATGGACTGACTGCGAACGACATCAAATTAGTCTCGTATGCATGTGATGGCACTGAAACCGAGTGTGCAGTGCAACAAAAACTAATTGCAGACTGCAAGGAGAGTCATAGCATCATCAACGTAGCGGATCCGGTGACCATACCAGTCTATCGAGGCCAGCTCATTGTTATGGTCCAGGATTCGAAGCATATTTTGAAGACCTTCCGAAACAACCTTTTCTCTGGCGCTCAAATGCTCACCCTGGGCAATTATGTTGCTGTCTACCACTTTATCTGCACGATTGCATTCGCACCTGAGTGTTGCATTATCGAGGTTCTCACGCACTATGTCCAGGGGGGACAGAGACATCATAGTACGGTACGTGTGCAGTGTGATGTTCGATTGCAATTCTGATTGTTCGCTTCAAGGATACACCACCTTCGGGAGTGGCTAGTTTGCATGTGATAGTGAGCCGACTCTGACAGGCAAAGCGCTTCATGCCGACATTGTCTCGAGGTACGGCTCCCTCTTGCTGGCTTGGCCTTGATCGCTGGCGCTGGCCTTCATCCTGACAACACCAGTACCGAGTTTTGTATCCAGTTGCAATCTTGGGATTATCATGGACTCTGGGGATACCCTGGTAAGCCGTTAACCATTTAACAGTTCTGTTCTCATACCGAAATTTGTAGCCACTTGCTCGCCATATCTCATATGATACCATACGGACTTCCTCTTTTGTGGTTTTCAAGGGATCAACATCAAGTTCATATTGCCCGATGAAGCTAACATGTGGAGCTGACTTAAATGCAGCGTGAATAGCTTGTAAGCATTCAGTAGGCCCTGAATAGGTCTGTTTTTGTTAGCCCTGACTTAGGATACGACCTATTTAGTATTCTCTCACCTGTCCCTTTGCTTCCTCATTCTCGTCACCTTCTTCGTCTTTGCTGCTGTACCCTGATGGGGCTTGATGGGTATTTTTGCACTTTTCGGCCTCAAGAGTCTCGCGTTTGCGCTTTCGGGAGTTCTCCATTCTGAGCCGACATGCTTCTCGGCATTTTTCACATGTCTGATGAGGGTACAATGGGGGTAGTTGAACCTTGCATTTAGATTGGGAACATATGCGTTGGACTTCGGAGGATATGTAGTTCATGTCGCGGTGTAGGATAGTTCAAAAATATTGTCCTTTGCTTGAAATTAACTGACCGAGTGCATCACATGATCAATGACATGAGGCGTGAGAGTAGTGCGGGGAGGGGGTGAGCTGGGACAGCTCCTTTTGGGCAAGGTTCCCAAACTTTGAGGGATCTCGACTTCTCTGATCTTATCGACCTTCGTCGCCTTCATCAAACGAAAGACGCAAGAAGGGCTACTCGCACTGGGCCCGACAACGATCAGAATCTGCCCCTTCGTTCTGAAAGCTTGTATTCACAGCTTACTCGACAATTCTATGCCGCCCTCAAAGAAGACCAACTCCGCGGCGTGACAACTGGTCTCGGGCGAGCAAAACGCACTCCGTCTGTAAGAAGTAATCAAGTCCTCCAGCAACGGTGTCACAGGCTTCGGTGCAGACACGTCAATATCCTCTCGCTTCACTCGCTTTGCAGCACGACGGGTTGGTTGGGATGATCCGGCATCGACAACATCTTCCAAGAGTGGTGTCCAGGAGCGCTGACGTTTGAGGTTGGAAGCAAAGCTTCACGTTCGCCAGTTGAGGGGGGCGAATCGAAGTCGGCAGTCATCCCTGGGAGCGAGTGGTCGTGCGGAAGTGCAGGGCGTGTCGACGATGATGGAGGATCAGTGGCCTCGGGGATGTATCTGAATCAGCCTTCTCGGCGTGCTTATGTTTAGCGACAAACAATCGCAGGGAATTCATCCTGATGGCCTCGCCACCTTCTTGCACCTCCGAACAGCCTTTGCGAGACAAAGGTATTCACCTGATTTTTTGATTGAAGCAGCCATCGGTTTGTTCTCTTTGTTTCGGTGCGATGGTCGATTTGTTCGTGGCTTGTTGTCGTTTGTCGTGACATATTTCAGCCAGTCCTTGTGCTCGAGCGAGCGCAATGTCTTGGTGGATGACGTTTGAGGTAGTGAAGGTAACCCTGGACTGTCCGTGTTGTTCTTGACTACGGCCAGCCATGACAAGCGACCTGGAGTCGTGTTACTTTCTTCATTTACTTGCATCTTCGATGCTGCAATGGGGGGGGGAAAGGGTAGGTCCAGTGGCTACGGTGAATGGATACATCATTGTGGAGTAGATGAGGGGTATGGCGGAGCCTCGGCTCAAGTGTAATTTCGGTCCAAATTTTCGAATTTTCGAACGTTCTGCAGATAACTCTATTGCCTCATTCGCTGATTGCACGGTGGTAGCTCCGCGAGCCGGCTTATTGCGGTGTTGCAGACCGAACGCGAGGCTCGGATATGATCGAGATCCTTATATCTCCGTTTCGTTTCCTAGACTCCTAATGCTGGGTTGCTTGCAATCCTGAGTGGTCCAGAAACTTTGAGTTCACGGCTAACGAAAAAGACATATGAGCGACCGAGAGAACCTAAGAAAATGGAACGAACCTGAGAGCTGCGCCAACGTCAATTGCTGAGCTATGCGCCGTTAACAAGTGCCGCTACCTATGCCCTAGATAACCTGCTTGGTTCGCGTGATGCTACATAGACCGTCGACTCCTACTGCCCCCAACGCCTATGTGCAGCTGCGTCGTCTTGATTATCATCCACGTCAGTCTGCTCGTGAGGTACACCGTTGCTAACTCCCACCACGCACGTCTGACTGCCCTCCATGCTATCCAAGGTGACAGACAACTTGCAGGCGATAGACGTACCGTCTTCCTGAGTCCTTCTCACCCGCGCGCGCGTCAACTTCTATCCTGCGGGTTCTGCGTCCACAGCGTTCGCGTGTACCGTGCTGCTGACATCCCTCATGTGCTTATATAGGTCATCATCGTTGCGCGGAGAGAGAGTACCTCTCCCCTGCTCATCTTGCGCGCGTGATCCTAAGGTACGTCCAGACTCCTCTCCCCTCGAGTGACGAGGCTGTCGACTGAGCGTATTGTCTGCTCACTGCTCTGCTTGCTTTCAGCGTCCTGATCCACCGTGGACTCGTGTGCCTGCTGGGTTTCGATGATACCGAAGACGGTCTCACTAGGTGACGGTGCTCAAGCTTGCTACCAGTGGACAGTGGACGGCACCGCAAACGGCGTCCTCTGTTTTGCCCCTTGCGTCTCTCGACTGCTCCCTGTTGTACTCGCTGACGGAGTCCTGATCTGGCGAGTGCCCGAGTACCTGATGCGTCTCGACGGTACTGGTACATCCTCGCTTGGTGATGGTGTTTGAGCTTGCTACCAGCCAGAAGCAACAGCGCAAACGTCGCCGGCTTTCCCTCTGGTTCTCCGAGCTCCTTCGAAGTCCACCCCTCCCCTTGCTCCCCACCATGGTTCGTTCGCGCTAGTCGTCTGCATCTGCGCGTCGTATTTATTGATTCAACGTTCGTTTGGTCCGTTCGTTCGTTCTGGGTTTGATTTCCTCTTCGTCTGCCTTCGTCTAGCATGGGTTTGCCTCCTTCTTTCGTCTTTCTCTCACCAGCACCGTCTGCGCGTTCAATACATCGGTGTCGACGTCTGTGGCGAAATTGTCACGTTGCCTCTTTCTTCGTCCTGAGTTGGCTAGCGAACGCGACCAAGCCTGACATGCGAAGGCTAGGGTCAATTACCTTCAACGCTTTTTTCGTGATTTGATGCATGCGATGCAGCAGCGGCTTGGGATTATCTTCGTGGCGGGCTCTTCGCATTTCCTATAGGGCGCGCCGACACTCTTCGTTCCACCATCCTAGTTGTCTCGTAATCTAGGACATGCGCGCAGCGTTGGTGTCTTTGGGTGCGTTCTTTTCACTTCGTTGCCCCGGTGGAACGCTAGCAAACGCTCCTTCGTGTTCGGGTTTGGCGAGTGGCATCAGTGTTGAGCGAAATGGGGTATGACGAGGGTGACCCTGCACTCCAGCGCACCAGCAGAGCGCGTGGGACGTGTTTGAGAGGGAGTTCGCAGAGTTCAGGAGAGAGGGATCATGCACTCATTTTCCTCCTGCTGATCCGTGTGCAGCGGCACGTGAAGGGTCGCTTGCCGGTGTGCTTTCTGTGAGGGAGGTAAGGAGAGCGAAGAATGGAGATAAGTATAAAGATGCGGTAGGGCGAAGGGACGGGGAAGTGAAGAGAGTAGAAGAGAACGTACGGTACATGTCTCGCCAGATGCTCCGATTGGCTAAACACCATCCTACAGTCCCCATACCCGCGGCACTGGGCGCAGGGCGGCAGCACCTCCAAGGTGTCCTGCGTGCCGCTGCTGCTGTTGCTGTTGGTTGAGGGCGAGACGAGCTCCGCTTGGCCTCGTATTCGTCGACCACCGAGAACATTCACGGGAATGAATTCGCTCGAATCCAACGGTCGCTCGGCGAAAAGAACGATTCGGGTAATGGTTGATGGGGGGGGCGGCGAATGTGACGCAGACGATGAAACAGACGCACTAGAAGGCTGCGCGGCGTGTCCCATGGCGTAAGGATAGCGATGGGTGGGCGTATCTCCACCGATGTCTCGATCCAGCCCTCCCCTAGAGAATACGGAAAAATCCAGGGCTCAACATGTGCTACTCGCGGCGCTCCGTCCACGTTGCCAAAACGTTCAGGCATGCGTCTTGTCCCTCGAGGGCGATTCGATGGGGGCGAGGTCGGGTTCTCAGGACGGGAGCAGCATCCCCCACTGGCATTTCGAAACCCTATCAATTGCCATCACATCAGGTGAATGCATTATATAAGAGCATTTCATGGGCACGTACTGGCTGTTCGATGATATGCACACCTTGCGCCTACAGTCAGCCCCAAGCGGCACTGAGTTCTGCAATTTGCGAGAAGCGATGACGAACTCACCTCGTGATACTTGTTGAACCTCGTCTTGAGGCCGTGCGCCTTTTGGATATCCAACTTTGGGCAATTACTGCAGGTCACTGGCATGAGTGCGAAGAGAAGAAATAGCAGCGCCAACGCGTGTGGCCCAGGTGCTTCGGAGGTCTCAGCACGCATCGAGTATTGGGGCAGACACGAGATGAACCTGATTAGCAGGCCACCTGAGATTGTGCTGCACCCAAAGCAGCATCCTCTCTGATTATCAGGGGATGGCTACGTCTCGGCCTGGCTTCAGAGTGAGGATTTCTGGCGAGCGCACCCTGTATGATAATGTTGCCATACTACAAAACAACATCAACGTGACGACCGCTCTTGAACTCAAGAGCTTACTACTTTGGGCGAATGACATAATCAGAGTTTGAGCTCCGAAAGGACTCGAGTCCGATCTAGAATACAGTGCTGGCCTATGGAGTATGGGTTAACTCAGAGCGCCTGTTTGGGCGTCTACAGAACATTGCCTTCAACCGTGCCGCCGTTAACGCTACCACTTTCACGTGGATGAACTTACAGCTTCACAGGTTCTTGTCGAGAGTCGTTAGCGCCTTAGACGCGCATGAGATAGCCCCCACTCAAATCTTTGTAAGTCGAGCATGCATGCAAGTTGTCTTTGGCCCTCTGACGTGTCTACTAGGAGTAAATGCAGCGCTCTCGAAAGTCTGATTAACATGTTGTGGCTAGAATATCCTGACGTCGGGTGTCTATTTTTTGAGTCACATGTAATAATATATCCCTTGTTCAAGTATTGTCTGGTAGAATCGAATCATCGAGACAGTACAGATTGGGGCGGATTAGTTCCTGCGAAGCTCTCAATTTTGAGGTGTTGTGGATTAAGGTAAGGCATCCAGCTGACGTTGTTCACCGCAGCGAGAAAGCAAATAATTATACCAGCGGCGCGACAGGTTACCTTCGATATATTGTTCGCGCCGCATGTTCTCTTTCTCTTCATCTCTGTATCGGGCCCAATCTTTTTCGTACGTAATGTACCCACCCTTCCTCTATATCCCTTCTTCCCCACCATTTTATTTACATCGCCCGTTCTACGTTCATACGGGGAGTCGGTCACAAGGCCTACCGTAAAAGGCTTCTTCTACAGACGCGTAACATTGGTTCATTTTTTGGGCTCAGAGAAGGAACACCTGCGAGAAGGCGAATCATTAATCATCTAGATCTCTTAACCATATGCATCGAGAATTTAACGGTGGGCCATGAGTACAGAAGCAAATTAAATGGGAAGATGAGGGAGATGCCGAGGCGATGAAAGTCACATGAGTTACAATAAGAGAAGATAAGATACCAATGTGATAAGATAGATATTGGCGCCTCTTATAATATGCAAGTGAAGGTGCCAAAAGTCCGATTAATCGCCCCTTAACAACAGGCGTCTTTTTTGCCTGAAACTTTGCGACGTTTGGGCGAATATTGGAACCCACGAGAGCCTGAGCGTCGGGAACGTCCCAGTCGTGAGCAAAGCAAGGTGAATATCGAGTCTTGACATTTCTTGTTCTTCGGTGAGCGTTGAGTTTCGTTCGAGTGATTCGAGTGTCGTAGGAACGAGGAGGGTGTAGAATGAGAAGTGGGGACGCAGTGGGTGGTCCTTGAGCTGCGAGTCCCAAGTATGGATTCTAGTAGCCTGGCGAGCCAGTCTTGTCGTTTCAAGGATAACGATTGAAAATATTAGGATTCTAGCCAAGGCCGCCGTTGAGCAGGTGCGGCGTGTGAGGTGGCGAGGGCTGTCGTTAACTTCCATCTAATAACCCTTTAAAGACCCTGGGCTGCTTGCGCTGTGTTTCGTCTCGTTTCGCTCGGGTTTTGACCGCGTTCGCACCGTTTCGTGTGCGTCATCGGTAGGGGACTGCCAGTGTTATTAGTGACGTGAAGTACATCATGGAATCTGCTACGAAAAAGCGGCACGTACGTGCTTTATTTCTGCTTTCTCCTGTTCTTTACTCTTTTCTTGTGTAGCTTGCCCCACTCGTGATCTAGTCTGACGCCCTCGTTGGATAAAACCACACACCGAAAATTGAACAACGAATACCGACAACAACTTGTAACTGCGCAGAGTTGGTTACCAGAACCACCACAATTCGACTCCAAGTCAGATTAACGAGGCTTAGGCCTTGTGGTACCCACGACTGTATACTCGATTCTCCCAGTATCGGACGGCTCAGGATCCGACCTGACCTGGGGAGATACTTGGCGCATTGGGTCTTGCCAGGGCCTCGATGTTTCGTACATAGGCGCAGGTCCAGGAAGGTACATCGATGATGGGTCCCTCCATTCTGTGAGGAAACACGGAGCATTGGGAGTATTATCGGGGGTTGTCCCCTTCCAGTAGTTCAGTTGCGAATCATGCTGTAGTATCGAACTGTCAGCTGGCGCGCCGGAGACGATAGAGTGCTCTCAGGCTTAGCCCAGATGCCCTCAGGTTGTATGGAAACTGAGACTATTCGGCTCATAAGTCTTGTGCCAGTGCGTCGGCTGGCGAGGTCGCGCGAGATCCGAGTGAGCAAGTGTAAATACATTGCGTTTGGCCGAGACTCAGCAAACACAGAAAGAGAAAAGGACAAGATTTTAGTTTTATTTACATAATCAATTTGAAGGATAGCTTGCTTGGTGCTGATCATAAATTCAAGCGAACGTTGAGCGCTAATCGCTAAGCGCGGGAGGTCAGATCTGTTTGTCCGCATCGAGTATTATGCGGATGACGACTCCGAGGAGGATGGATTCTGTACGAATCTTCTCAAGCCTTGTGATCACTTTTCAAATTGGCACAACTCACCTCAAGCACGATCAAGGCGGCCGGGGGAATCAACTCCAGGTCCAGCCCTGCCAAAGTTCTTGGCTTTCTTCTGGGCCAGAAGCCCAGAGTCAGCACGCGCCCTTTTCTGCCTGTGCCCAATTGATATGTCTTGAGCAGCGGTGTCTGCCAAGTCAGAGGCCGGGTCCTTCTCATTCTCTGGTAAGGAAATAGGGCCAGGGTTGGAAGTCGCAAATGTGAAGTACAATACCAAAAAAATTCAGATAAATCAGTATGCAGTATCAGCACAATCAAGTCCGGGAATAGTACCGTCGAGCCAAATTTTTTGACCAACTAGTGTGCTGCGCCAGTTGCGGCCGGAGGATTTGATACCCGCAAAAAAGTCTGTCACAAAATGGGTTGACGAGCCCTGACCATCTTGTTGCGGGCAAAAGGTGTCAAATAGCTGCCAGCTGGCTTGCACTGGTTAGAAATGCTCATGTTGAGGAAAGCAATATTCCTCACGTTGAATCTTTCTTGTGGTAACCTTCCCACTGCATAACATGTCAGCAAATAGCAATGGACAGCCAGGTTCGCTCACTTTAACATAAAAGATCCACTTTGAACAAAAAGAGTGGCTCTGGAGGTCATATGCTTCATCATCATCCAGGGGCGAGCAGAGCATGGCGCCCAGGATTCCTTCTGAACGAACAGTGAGCCTTCCTAACCGCAAGAGAGCCCATACTAGTTAGTACACTGACCGACGACATATTCCTCCCCCTCTGAATGTGAATCAGAATCGGTCTCCAACTTCTTTACTAGGGTTTTCTTCTTGGACTTGATGTCCCTCTTATTAGTGGCTTTCTTGCTTGATTTAGCCATAGACATTTTTCTCGATGTGTTTTCGGATGGCGATTGTCAGAGCATGCGGGAGGCAGTGTTTGTCCCACGTTGGTGGATTTGAGGCAGCGTGCAAGCTTGTACAGCATTGGCGCGGACGGTGATGCCGAGGAGGCTGATGGGGTCATTATTGCTGTTTGCAGAATAGTTGACCCAAGGTGATTTTAGCGCCACACACACAAAAATATCCACGAGAGGTAGAGCAAAAGATTTCACTCATATCTCCTTCGCTTTTTATCATAGAGCTTAGATTCAAGTGTGAGGTTCATCCCCTAATCAATCCACAGATGCGTATGTAAAAATCTAGCAGTTTCACCGTGTGCAAAAAATTCAAGTTCATGGCGGCCATTTCACAGACATTGTGAATATATATCCAGATCAGCCGAGCTTCAGCTATATCCATTGCGTAAAGTAAAGTAGTAACATAATAATATATGTGCTGAGAAGCTCTATCTTTGTTTCAGACGCATTCAGACCACCAGACTGGGCATGCTACAACCAAGTCAGAACAAGACATATTCTATGTAGTTTTACCTTGCTTTTGCCATAGTAAACAATCACAAAAGGTGATAAATCGACGTAAGACGAGCCAAGGTATCCCGCAGGATAGTGGATATCGAAGTCGGGGAAGTTATCCAGTCGGACAACCGGGGACCATCTCCCACTATCCTGACCAAACACAGTCACTCCAGCATTCCACCTTGTCTGTGCTTCGGGCCAGTTTTTGGCGTAGTCGGAGATCGATTGTCATACTCTCGAAGAGAGGCTGGTTTCTATCAGCCTAGGGCTAGGCCTCAGGTTCTTATATTTATTATAACAGACAACCTCGATGCCTCGCGAGCCGTAAGGAAGGGGGAACATGCCTAGAACGTCGCCCAGGGCGAGCCTTTCCCCAGCATCAGATATACCCCTGTCCCCCTGGCGCGGGAGCTCAAATCTTGCAATCTGTGCGCGTTCCAGCTGATGTCAAAATCGTAGACACAGCCAAATAAAATTGGGGGGTCCGCACTTGCTGTTTTGAGTGGGTGACATAAGCAGGAATTGAGCTCCGAAAGCCGACGTTGTCTTGCTCTGCTTCCCTTCACCACCATCATGGACAACTATCGGTTCATTCATCCCGAGCAGAAAAGGCGTGCTGCAAATAGGCAACCGCGACATCTTGGGGTCGAACTGGAGGTTGCGGTTGCATCCCCAGCAAATACTGAGCAAATGCAAACGGTTGAGGAGGTGGGTGGTCGTGAGGGTGCTCCGCCATGGTACGGAAAGATTCTTCCGTGGTCGTGTAGTGCAGTAGTAACACAAGTCAGCCAATATATTACTCAATAATATTTCTACAAATTTCCTATGTTTTCTAGAGTCTGTCTCAAGGGAGGACACAATGCCGGTACCATGCCGACCCACCATAAATGGAAAGCCCCGATCCCCAATTTTTTTGGGCTGTGTCTACGATTTTGACATTAGCTGTCAATTTCACTAACTTCTTACCGTTTCTGCAGCATGCAGATCTTCGTGAAGACGCTTACTGGCAAGACCATCACCCTGGAGGTCGAGTCCTCCGACACGATCGACAACGTAAAGGCGAAGATCCAGGACAAGGAGGGCATCCCTCCCGATCAACAGCGCCTCATCTTTGCCGGCAAGCAGCTCGAGGACGGCCGCACCCTCTCGGACTACAACATCCAGAAGGAGTCAACGCTCCATCTTGTCTTGCGTCTTCGCGGCGGGTTGTGATTGACGGTTGGGCGGGCTAGTTCACGATATGTTCCCAAGAATTTGGTCGATACGCATAAGATGGGATGTTAAAGGTATATGTTTTGTGACACACACACACTGTACTCCGTCTGAAAATAAGAGTTTGTTTTACTCTACGCTCTCTCGTTCTTGCTTGCTTCCGTTGTAAATCGTTTGTCCGTCATCCTGGGGATAGATGTCAGCCATGACATGCATGACATCTAGTCCTTCGTATGTCGTCTCGCTGTTCCCTACAATACGGTACGTGGTTCCCCCGAGCGACTCCGTCGGCTGGCCTCGTTCACGACACTCAGGTGTAATGCTAAAATGTCGGAGCTACACCCGTGCGTGTCCGCATATGCCAACCCGCGAGGCCATCAAATCGGGGGCCAATGACGACAGTGAGGCTACGCTGGTCGACTTCCACCAGACCAGACGTCGTTGGGCATGGAGGAGGGTGGAGCGGCGCCGCTGAGGCGACGTGAGTGGGGGACGTACGCAGGTGGAAGATATGGTGTGAGAAGTGTGTTAGGTCGAGGGGGCACGGAGAATCTGGCGGGGTTGGACAGGAGCGGAGTGGAGTGCTGGACTCATCGAGCTGGACTAGGAAGTGACGCGTGCGCACCTGACAACGCAGAACACGTTGGTTGCGGGACTTCAGGACGGCAGCGTAAGGATTGCTTGATAACTGCGGTCGTGCCAAGCGCGTGAGTAAGAAAGAAACTCAGAATGAATGTGTGCGGTACATACTAGGAAACTTCGCCATCCAAACGAGCACGGTCACAAAGCATATCGGTCACAGAGCATATCGTCTCGATCGTTGCAGCGAGGGCGATCCAGAAAGATTGGGTAGGTACCGATAAGCCACTGGACCTTCGTGTGTTGACCCAACAGGTGAAATTAGCTTCGTCCCACCCTGTGAAGTTGACATCGCGCTCAGAGACAGGATCTGATAGTAGAGGCTCAACACGTACCCGAACTGGTTGAGACCGAACGCCGGGACTGAACGCCGGGACTGTCAAGACGATGCTGAGCAAAGTGACTACAATAACATAGGATTTCTCCATTGCTTTGCCGTTTACCCGTTGTACCAAGACGAGCCTAGGGTAATCAAAAGATGAGCCAGCGTTGCAGGCCACGGAGAGAGGGGATCCTTACTGAAGGTTGAGGGCAATACATGTTGTGAAGAACGTCGCGAAGTTCAGCGTGAACTGCAGCAATAGATCAGCACCTAGCTACCCGAAAGAAACGAGCAGTTGCGGGACTCATGTTCACTGCGAAGGCCTGCTGGGTTCGTCCCTCATGTATGACGGTTTCGACCGTTTGCTTACCGCAGACACTGCCGATAACGCAGTTACTGCGTCGCATACTGCACGAAAACGAGCCGCCCCAATTCAATACATTCATACGGTCAGTACAATTTTTGGGCCCGTTTATCAGCTGCTAGCGCCCAACATTTTTAGCATCCGATCCCCTCGACGGCTTTTGGCGTGTTGCTGATAGGCGTCGCGGCGGCGGTGCTGTGGAAAGTCAAGGAGTGAAAGTGGAGCTAATCTGTTACCTCAAAACGCCTTTAATCTGTCCGCCCCATGCCCGCCTCCGTCACCGTCTCTCATCACTCTGTTATGTGCCATGGCTAGCGTAACCGTAGTTTACGACTTCCTTTACTCTCTTTAACCTTTTTACCATGAATTCACGTTCTTACCGCTGTCCACTTTTTTGGATCGTTTTTTAGTAATTTTATTGTTATCCCACCCGAACGACTGTTCGTCTGTATCTTCGAAACTAGGGGAGCTCAAAGTTGGCGCATAAGAATGCGCGTACGCATATGCGCGCATACGGCCGAGGTGCCGTCGATTATGTAATTAAATGTCACACTTTCGTCACATCGTAAACGCGTTGTCGCGTCTCTTCTTTTCCCGTCGCGTCTCTTCATATGAATGAGATATGCATGCCTGATTTTGTCGTGGATCCTTGCGCGGGGCATGATTGCAGTAGACCAGTGTAGATCAATGGAAGTGATTGTTGGATTTCAGCAATCTTGGCTGTACAGGGGTATAGGAGATGCACGTGACTACTGTAATATCGTGTCGCGCGCATGTATTATTTTCTTTATGCGTTTGCTGGAGTCCCAGCCAAACACAATATATCTACTTGCTCACTCGGAACTCGCGCGACCTCACCGGCTTATTTCAACAGTGATATGCTGCGTTCAGCGCTACGTGGGCGCTACTCGGATATGTGACACTCAAACACCATTACATAATCGACGGCACCTCGGCCGTATGCGCGCATATGCGTACGCGGATTCTTATGCGCCAACTTTGAGCTCCCCTACTTGCGTTGGCAATGGACCCTGCACTCTGGACTTTGGTACGCTATCACAACACTTGCTCCTGGCTCCTGTGAGATTCCCCCACAAGAACCCCTCTCCTCATTCCTCATACTGCTGCGTGAAGGATTATGGACGCATTCTCACCACTACGAAAACGCTCCTCGATCACTCTGGAACAGGCTGACGCCCTGTAAGTACTTCACTCAGACGTTCCACTGCCCGTGGTCTGGTTTTGCCACAGCGGTGTCCCGGCATATGCCTGCACGATCCCTCTGCTTTCTGGTACTTCTCGCTTATGGTGCCGCCGCTCTGTCTCCGAAGGGAGGGCCACATTTAGACCGACCGAGTCAGTTTTCGTCTCCTTTGCTACTCTCTGTTCTTCAAGTTAGTCCCGTGCTCCATATTGTCGTTGTCCCGGTTAACGTCTGTCAGCATTCTCTACAGTATAGCCTTCTCAGTTTCTCAGTAACTGCGGCCCAGACAGGTCCGGATCGCTATGCAATTTCGGCCTCTCCTGCGTCCTTCACATCGTGCAACGTTTCGTCAGACTCGGAGTCGGGGGAGGCAGCCCGCAAGCCGTCGTATGACGATGCGCTCGTGCCGTTGGTGCGACTGCGATCGTGATCGGTTGCATGTCCGGCCTCGTGCTGATCCTGAGCGCTCCCGTCTTGATGAGCGTCGCGAGTCGGAGGAGAGGCTACGGGGGCTTGGGGGGGGGGGCAGCAAAAACGTGGCGTAGGTTGCCGTTTGGATGATCGTCTGCCCCGTTGGCCAGCGGAGGGTCGCTCACGGCGTTGAGGACGGTGAGCTTCGGGACCACATGTTTGATTTTCGCCTCCCATTCCTCGCTGGCCTCACCGGCGCCTCGCAGTTCAACGCGCGCGCCATGGACCATATCTACACATACCTGAAAAAGAAGAACGGTGACAACGGCAGGCCCGAGTACAGACTTCGTGCGTACACATGTGGTCCACGCCCTCGCCTTACTTACGGGTGGAAATACAGCGTCGATGGTGCCCGGGACGCTCCTCCTCCCCGCGGGCCTGCTCATCAACAGCTGGGCGGCGCAGAACCATGTCCATTGGATCGTGCCTGATATTGTTCGTCTTTCTGTCTGTCTCCCCATCGGTAGTGGTCCACTGAACGACGGTGCAGGGAACGACCCTCATCGGCGCGGGCATCATCCTGAACTTCCAGTCGGTCCAGATATACGTCGTCGACACCTTTAGCTTGCACGCTGCGTCAGGTGTGTCTCCTCCCTCCATCTCCCCATTCCCCGCTCCATCCATCCACACACTCCTCTCTCCCCGCAAGCCCACCCACTGACGTGCGCGCGTAGCCCTCACAGCCGTCTCGTTCCTCCGCTCCGTCGCGGGCTTCGGCTTCCCGCTCTTCGCGCCAGAGATGTACAAGGCCCTCGGCTTCGGGAAGGGCGACACGATCCTCGCGGCAGTGGCCATCGCCATCGGGTGTCCTGCGTGAGTATTCGTATTCGTTTGAGAGATTGCGGCGTCCGCGTGCTGCGTGCTGGATGCGAATGGGTGCTGACGGCTGTTGCTTTTGCGCGCAGGCCAGACGTGAACGCTTCAACGCGTGAACGGGGGGATGGGTGAGTTCATTGGTTAGTAGGTAACGGTAAGGGACGGGGACGAAGACGGGAACGGGAACGGGAACAGGAAAGAAGACGAGAACGAAACCAAGAACAGGGAGATACAGAACGAAGGGAATACGGGACGGGGATGCACGAACGAAACGCAAATGGACGACGACGAAGGGACTTACCTCCACCCCAAACCCACGTCCACGTCCACGCTCCCGCAGTGCCAGCGCAGGCGCTGCAGCCGCGTGCTCGCATTCCCAGTACGAGTGCGCTTGACTTCGTACTGGCGTCGGTGTTCGCAGCGAGGTGCGGCGGGGTCGGGATGAGATCTGCGAAGGAGCGGGTTAGAGGGATCAGAGGTTAGAAGCGTTGGAGGGGTTTGGAGGGATGAGGGGTGTCGGAGAGTTGCGAGTACGCGTTCGAGGTGGGGATGTGGACGTACAGGCTTACCTGAGTACGTGTAGGCCGCAAGACGACGCTGATTCGAGCGCGATGGGGCACCGATGGGGCACTGATGGCGGGCCAGGCATTCGATCTGTGAAAGAGAGGGAGGGAGGAGGAGGAGGCGGGGCGGGATGTGAGGAAGTGCTTGTGCAACGCGTCCAAAGGTACGGATCTCCCTTCTGTCGACACAAAATGACTTACGAAATTGTGACCCTCGTTGTGGCGCTCGTGCTGAATAGGTGCCATCGTCAGTGCCATCAATCACGCGAACGTCCCGCTTGTTGTCGAAGGAGCAGACGGCTTTCTCCCCGATCTGCCTTTCCACCTCATCGCGTCCGGCAAGTTCACCAACGTCGGGCTCGTCGGCGGCCATTGCACCAACGACGGCGGCACTTTCGTCGGCGGCACACCCACGCAATTCAATTCGGAGGATGATATAAGGAGATTGCTCTTCACCCGTTACTCGGGAGTGGTATGTACTCCAGTAGCGTCGACTCACAAATCCGCCACTTATTTGACGGGGAGTTAGACTGCGGCGACGATGCAGCGGGCGTTTGAGCTGTACCCAGCACCCGGGAGCCCGTTCAAGACTGAATACGAACGCGCTTCGCAGATGGCCCAGGATATCGTTCTCGGCTGTATGTACGTATCGAACGTCTATATTCTATTGTGCACGCCTCAATGGCTTTTGCAGGGATCTGCAGCTTGCCCAAGCACTTTGCAGCCGCGGCGTAGATAACGTGTTTACGTTCAGGTGACAATGCTGAACTTACCCTTCGTACGCAAAGTCGCAAACTGAGGTCTTACACGCCGTTCTAGGTGGAACTCTCCTCATGCCGTGTTGTTCGAAGAGACCCCTTTCAAAGGGGTCATGCATACTTCTGACCTATATTTCTTGTTTGACGGCAAGTAGGATTGATCAGGGACTTCTTCGCTGTGCTAAAATATATTCGCAGGTACTGTGTAAGTTGCATAATCGACCACGGGGATGAAACAGGTATTGATTTGGTGTCTGATTTAGACATTTACCCAACGCTTTGAATTCTTTCAGAGCGTTCAACGAAGTGAGTGCCCGAACCAACGTGCGTCGATTGGCTCGGAACTAGATGCTGATTGTGACTCAGAGCGAGGCGAGGCTATCTCAGGCGATCGGCCTCTGGACTGCGTTCGTCTCCTCAGGCAACCCCTCCATGGAAAATACGCCGGAACATGTCACTTGGCCCTCCTTCATGTCAGACACACCGTAGAGCGCCACAAACACCTCCCATAATCGTCTTGTATTGGAGAGAGGCAGCGACAAAGGGCCACAGACAAACTCAAGGATCGAGTCAATTCCGAGTGTGGAGTTCGAGCGGTGTAACTTCTGGATGTGACGGCGGAGACGAGGGTGTCGTCACTGCCCGCCTACTGAAAACACACAGAATGAGGAACCATTTGATGAAACCGAGATTTCCCCAGTGCGCCTCATGCGCGATAAGGGCTGTCTCTGTGACACATCGTGCTTCTTCTTTTCCTCCTCGTTCAGTCGCATATTTGCCTTTTGCCTCTATCATGTTCAAATCCTCACATCTTACCATCTCGCTCGCTGCAATGGTTGAAGTTCACGGCGAACCGTCTGGTAGGAAGAGACGAGTGTGTGCATGGCGTGAGAGATAAGATGAAGATCAGTTAGGTCGTGCGGACGTGGAACTACACCGCCGCGCAGGTCTGGCGACTGCTGAGTTTCTTGGATGGCAGATTGTCGGTTTGACGCGCCACGCTGAGGCGCGTATTATGTCGTACGTGGGCGGGGGTCGTCCCAAGGGCTGGGATGTCGCGGACGCGCCCGTGCGCTACTCCAATATCCTGAAAAAGAGTAACATCGGGCGCAAGATCGAGGTCGTGCGCTTGGAGTGCAAATTTAAGATGAGCCGGGAGAAGGGGGGGGCCAATCGCGAGGGCGTAGTTGACAGATTCTGCGACGATATTGGGAGGCAGATCGGGGACATTGTGAAGCAGCATAGCAAGATCTCCGCAGACAATGGCATTCTGTTGTGCGTTTGCGTCTCTGTGGGTGCGGTTGGTGATGCCTCTGGTGAGTCTGTGTCCCTTCGTCTTACCTCGGGCTCATTCGGCCAGCGCTCTCTGCATTAGTAATGTCTTTCACCGAGTCCGTGAATGGATACCATCCAAGTACCGTGGCGTGCGTGTCCCATGACACTTGCTTTTATCAGCTCATCACTGGCATTCAGTTAATCAACAACGCAGATCTCGGTGGTCTATGGGAAGTGTGTGGAATGGCATAGCCACGGACCACCTGAATGTCATCCTGGTCGAAGAAACGATTCAAATAAAGAGGGGTCTGTCTCGAGCAGTGTTATGAATTCCCCGGATGTCCAACCAAGGACCCACGCGCGTACGTACGTCGCAGAAGGTATGTACGGCCTCAATTGATTGCTTTCTCGCTAAACTCTAATCACTCATGTTCTCAGTTTCACGTATGGGCTTGAATAACGCACACAAGCGCACACAGTGGGCGCAATCATCCTGAATCGGCTACTTCCTCGTTGCTCCTCGTGAACATGCAGCCGGAGTGCCCATTGCGAAACGCTGTAATTGCTCGGCAGAAGCTACGACCTGCTAGGAATAAAGTCAGTGCCATGCACAGGTGAGAGCATCATCGTTTCTACAACGATGTCTTCCACTGACAAGCAAACAGCTCTCGTCAATCAGCTCCAAATCGACGTTCCAAAGGAGAAGGTCAAAGCCCATCTCCAAGTCCTTGGAGTGTTCTTCCTCCTTCTCGACACGTTGGCTGCAATCAGTAAACCGGAGGATGTAGAAACCACGGTCGACGAATTTTTCCAGCGGTCGACCTACCGCCTGCAAGTGTGGTTAGCGCAGGTCGTCAACGTTGACGGCGAGGAAGATTTCAAGAAGAAGCCACTTCAAGATCACGAGCTTCCTCCGCTCGACGTCGCGCTGGCGTTGCATTCGTACATGCTGAGCCCCCTCCGATACTTCGAAGATTCGGGGCGGCGTTTCCCCCAGCTGAAGCGCATGAAGGAATAGACTCTGGCCAACATAGTACGCCCGCAATCCACGCGTTCACCAACTTAATGCTGATATCCTCCCGCACAACCTAGCTGAACGCGATAGACCCCGCCAGTCAGGGATACGACGAGCTCAAGTCACTCGCTGCCGCGCAATACTGGCAGAGCTCGACCCAGCTCAAATTCGATGCCATCGATTCGATGAGCAAGGATGCTACCAGGGTCATCGAGTGCCCGTCGTGCGGTGCGGCGGGCAGTGTCCCGTGGGCTGGTGCCCGTGGATTCACTAGTCCCGGCTTCGAGTACGACTGCGCGCGGTGTGGTTTGGTCGTCAATCATGACCTCCTGTGCGCGGGCAAGTTCTTCGAGGCCCTGGCCCGCGCGAAGAACGACCCAGGATTCTGCCTCCCGTGAGTGGATTCAGTGGTGGTATGGCAAGATCTCGCTGCTGATGTGCTTGAATACGTCTAGGAACACGGCCATCCTCGTCAGGGGCGAGCTGGACGTGTCGCGCTGCGCATCCATTGTCGCTGCGGTGCGGAAGTGCTTACAAGACGATAAAGGCGGAATCCCGCCCCTGAAGGATCTGGCCGAGTCGGCCGCGAACGAAGGGAGCAGTACCATGGCATTCATCGCCAACAAGTTATCCCGAGCGGACGCTCTACGGGCCGAGAGGAACTCGGCTCCCGCAGTCCGTCCGAAATACGCTCACACGCCCCGTCTCGCAGTAACCCCATACTCCTCCATGCCTTCGAGCATTCGTATCCTTTCACTCAGGACGTCGTCGTTGCGGTGCGTCTGCGGACTGGTCGTGTTGAAGGCTGCTTGCTCACTGCATTTTGCACGCAGCTGCACCACCAGCGCCCATTCATCAACAATGTATACAAGCAAGGCTGGTCTGCGCCACAGACCGCCGTGCCTGCCGGGTTTCGATGATACCGAACACAGTCTACACTAGGTGACGGTGCTCAAGCTTGCTACCAGCCGATGGCACCGCAAACAGCGTCCTCTGTCTCGACTGCTCCCTGCTATCCCCGCTGACGGAGTCCTGAACTAGCGAGTGCCCGAGTACCTGATGCGTGTCGACGGTACTGGCACGTCCTCACTTGGTGATGGTGTTTGAGCTTGCCTACCAGCCAGAAGCGACAGTGCCAACGTCGCTGGCTTTCCCTCTGGTTCTCAGCTCCTTCGAAGTCCACCCCTCCCCTTGCTCCCTACCACGGTTCGTTCGCGCTAGTCGTCTGCATCTGCGCGTCGTGCTTATTGATTCAGGGTTCGTTTGGTCCGTTCGTTCATTCTGGGGATGATTTTCTCTTCGTCTGCCTTCGTCTAGCATGGGTTTGCCTCCTTCTTTCGCCTTTCTCTCACCAGCACCGTCTGCGCTTTTGATACATCAGTGTTGACGTCTTGATGGCGAAAGATGGGGCATCAATGTCTAGGAAGCCTATGCCATGCGCCTCCAGAACGGAAGTCAACGCCTTGCATCTTGCATCCGGGCTGCAGTGCCCCCATGTGGGGGTGGGAGGCGAGGGGCGCCACCATCGTTGGGGGGAAGGCATGAAGGCCCTTGGGCACCATGAGCACAACGTCTTCTTTCTCGGTAACGCAAATACACTTGGTTGGGATACCAATTGCCTCGCGCCTCCTTAAAGTAGAAATGCAGGACGCGGCGGAGGGCGTAGTAGAGTTCATAGGTTCATTCACTCAAGCAGCAAGATAGCTCTTTCCGCTCTTAGCCCTGTGTCTGCGCCGATGTCGAAATAAGATGTAGGTAGCATTCCACGGCGCCCTTGTCTTTGACGATCTATAGTAAACGGTCATAAGTCGTAAGTACATGATCGTTGGAAAGTAATATGACTTGCTCACCTCAGGGGGTAAATTGCTCGGCGTACGTGCGGCGCAAAGATATGATGCGCCATGCGACCCCGCACGACGTGGGTTCGCATCTGGGTCGACTGAGCGGGCCGCACGAGTACTTCAGCGAGAAGGTCGGAGAGGGCAGCGCGAACCTGTCACGACGGAAAGTGGTGCCCCAGGCAGCATGTTTTCACATGCCTTCTCGGTATGGTGGCAGATGTAGTTGGAATTGCAATTTACTGCGTTGGGAGTGTGCCCGCTTCGTGTAGCAAGAGTTTGGCGGGGGGACTTGATTTGGGTGATATGGGATCCATGGGTAGTTGGGTGTTAGAGTAGCCGTTAGAGTAGCCGTTGAAGATGGCGGGAGAGAAGGCCATGGGATTAGCTTGAGGGCGTGACATTGAGGGGAGAGAGAGGGCGACATGGGTTGTAGGTTATAGGCCTTGCAGGCCTTCTCCTGCTCTTGAACACTGTCTAGCAGACAGGCCTCAACCTCCTCTGTGCCTTGCCAGCATCTCCTTGTTTCGGCTGGTCTGGATTGACTTGTGCTCTCCTGGCCTTCGGGAACTATGCTGAAGATGAATAACACGGCTCCGACCTGTCAAGGCAGGGAGCTGGTCCTTCAAGCTTCAGAATTTAGTCCTCAGACAGGTGGATGTAGAGGTGCTTCGGAGGTCTCAGCGCTCGTCGTGTCTCCTCTCCATCGAGTATGGGGCAGACACGAGATGAACCTGATTAGCAGGCCACCTGACGTTGTGTTGCACCCAAAGCAGCATCCTCTCTGATTATCAGGGAATGGCTACGTCTCCAGGAGAGTGAGGATTTTTCTGGCGAGCGCATAGGTGACCGTTCAAATACATAATTTACCATTTTCATTTTTGGCGTGAGAAACATTATTTTCACAATTTGGACACGTCGATCGACGTCCTCACTTGCTACGGTGTCATCTGCAAGAGGCTCTACTTCGCCGTTGTCGTCTTTTCCCTCTAGCTCCCAAAACTCAACATCCAACGGTCAGCAACCTCAAAACCGTCGTGGTCTCTCGACGACATCCACGTCGTTCCTCCTGGCCTCCCTCTTGGCCGCGACCTCGTACACCATTGGCTCCCTGACCCCTCACCACCCTTCGCAATCCTTTTCCCGTGCCGCCACTCCTCCAAACCCGGACTCAGAAGAGTAAAAAAAAAATTACGGCGAACCTAGAGGCGAAACCCATACTCTACCCAGCGACAAGCGCACCGTACTTTGGAGGCCAGGGATGGTACGAGACGAGGTCGTACGTAGATTTCCCGGAAGCGCGCGCAGAGTGAATAACCTGACGGCGGGGGCGCTGCGTGGCCCGGGGGAGCTCGCGCTGAAGCCACTGGTGAGGGCGCCACGGACGAGACGGAGGCGTGGGTGTGGGTGCATCTGGGAAGAGGTCTCTGTGGGCGCAATGGGATTGTGCATGGGGGGCTGTGGGTAACACTGTTGGACGAGACGTTAGCGTGACAGGTGAGTCGGTTCCCCTGCTGGAGTGGCCATGGTGATGCTGACGTTGGGTGTTTGCAGGCGGTCAGTAACCTCCCGGACAAAGTAGGCGTCGCGGCGCAGCTTTCAATTAGCTCCAAGGGGCCTACGCGTGCTGATCAGGTGCGTGTTCCTTTCCTCACCCCCTGCCTTTCTCCGAACATTGGATATCGAGTAGTTTGTCCTAATACAAACAAAGCTTATCGAAGCCAAGGACCGGAAGGCACGCACGGGCTTCGTGGAACACTCGTTGAAGCTACGTGAGTGCGCCTCTTGCGGGTAGGGAAATGACCATTAATTAACACGGTCATGATTTGCAGCGTCACGTTTGTGCAGCCGCGGTACGCCAAGCTGCTCAAGACTGAGGTGCTCAAACATGCTATGGGGGAGCCATCCCATTCGTGAGGGGGGACGAGATGTTCGGTATTCTAGGATATAGATGGCAATGCCGTAGACACGCCGGAACAACAAGCATTACACATAGGGAGACGGCACAGCGCTGTCTGCAACGAATCGGCGGCGGTACCAAAGCAAGATCGTGAATATCGTGGATAACGGATACCGTGGATACAGATGGGTGCTTCAGTTGCAGAGTGGCCCCGATTTCACTAATACACTACGCTATTACCCGCAGAACGACTCGAATTTCATTCCTTCCTCACCCCTTCGTTCTTCCCGTACGCACGGAGCGTTGCCCACTTCGTCAAGCTCCGTCGCTTTCACGACGATATCTACCTGCTTCTCGCTATACCTGAGGCCACCACCACCTCAAATTCTATTTGATGGACTCTTGGATTGTGGAGTAAGCCCTGGATATCCGGGGCGATCCCAGGGTGCAGTGTCTCACCACTAGCCTTCGTTCAACCGATGCTAATGTGCCTCCTCTCTTCCAGTTCTTCAGTCAGTTGATTACGACGAACACTCACCATGTGCCACTCTAGTTAGCTTGCTCGCGCGCTCATCGCCAACCGGGGATCAGCAACGAGGGGAGTATTTTTGCCGCTAGTAAAGTCGTGAGGAGCATGTTGAGTGCCATCGACGTCGCCCAACATGCGATCCCGAGGTTGGGGCCCCAAGTGCCTGTGTAGGGATGCGCGGACTTGACGATGTTCGCGACTGTCAATACTTGAGTGAGGAACGAAGATTCAAGTTAAGAGGACTTCAGAAATCGATTTGGTATATGAGCGCACCGACATCAACAATATACACGCTTCCTGGCAAAATGAACGGTGTTACGTCGGGCAAAGTTATGAGATACGGCCCCAACTTCACGTACGATGAGTTCCTCCAGATGCCGTCCAAGCTCTCGGCCTTCACACTGTCGGTGGGCATGATGGCCGTTGCTGTGTGCTTGGTTGCTTTGAAGCCCGTGAGTACTTCATTCTTTATTTTCAAGGGATCTGAATACATGACGTCCATAGGTACGCTGGCTATTCAAACGCCTGGTCAATCAACCGGGCGAGGGACCCTCGGAAGAGACAATGCAAATGGGTTCATTCGCGTCACGAACGTTACTACCGCTGTCCCTGCTCCCGCCAACCCCCCATCGGCGTCGACATCCACAACTAATGGCGACATCACGAGCGGAAGGGAACCGAAGGTTGTAAAATCACAGTTCATTACCAATCACAGTTCATTGGTCAAGGCTGCCCATGGTACCTTCTCACCTCAAGTACGTATCTGATGCCCCCTCCCTGGGATGACTGACCAAGGGCTTGATCCTTTCATCGCAATAGTAATGATATACGAGTCGGCGCTCTCCATCCTCCTTGCGCGTGACCATCTTCCAGCTCTGGCGCAACGCGGAGGCGTGTTGACGCCTGTCACGGTGTTTGGCGATGTTCTCGTCGAGAGACTGGAGAGGACCGGGAGGTTTGGGTTCCGGAGTGAGGTGCTCGGCGCAGAGGGTCGCTACTTTATCTTCCCGCTTTCGACCACAACGTTCGCCAGCCGTTCCTCAACAGGATAGGATGGCGGGAATAAGACTTCATTTCGCCCCTTCTGCTCCTGGTCCACAATTCCTTGACTCGTCCGAATGACACCTTGGTGCTGATTTTGCTCAGGAACAACGGCGGCAATCCATCCCATCGCAGGGCTTCTCGCGTTTCCTTGTCCCAGTTCGGTGGCTTTGGGCGGACGTTCCAGTCTGACCCTTGTGGTTTTCCACTTGCGACTTTCTCGTCGAACTGTGCTATCCCGTCTATCCCAAACGTTCAGAGGGGTAGCCCCTAAGCGTAGTATACATGACACTGCTATTCTACACTCATGCGATGCGTCGCAAACATAACAAATAAACACCCGTTAACACTTGAGTGAAACAAATGACTGATGAAATGGCCGCTCTTTGGGATTGAAGCTCGTCGACGGCGAGCAGTGGTATTGAGGCCAATTAAATGGTGTCAAAATATCCAGGTTCGACATTCGGGCGCTCGAAAAGAGCGCGAGAGGGACGCGCAAAGATGTACAATGAGTGGTGCGTGTGTTATAGATGATACGCCAGCAGATCACAGGAAGCTCAAATATCAAATTTGAATATTTTCGCGGTGTCCTACATGCCATGATGTCGGGGAGAGGGTGAATTAGGTATACAAGAGGGTAGACTGAGAAGAGAGGTGGGTTGCGAGGTGAATGGGATTTTTTTAGCAGACGGTGCGTCTCCGACAACAATCTACTTTGCCATGACCACACGTCTTGGAATTGTGGATACTCTCGTCCATTGACAGGCTTCAGGATCCTTCTTGCACATGGTCCTCCAGTTGTCAGGATTGGAGAGTGCCACACTATTGGCTGTAGATCCATGCCGGTCTTGAGATGCCCTCCAGATCCAGCGTGCACCCTCTGCAAGCTCAACAATCAACTTGTGATCTCCCCAAACAAAGTTAGACTCGCTGCGAGGAACCTGTATTAAGCTTAGCATGGAGTGTAATACCCTCATTTCAATGTCTTACCTTGGAAGACCTCTTGGTGACGTAGCCAAAGCTCACCGACTCGTCTTTATCAATGTGTTGGCCAGCACCATATCCATAAGTGGCAAAACTAGAGGTGTCTGGTCGTCCCAAAGCGTTCAACAGTTGGTACTCAGTAGCGATAGCCTGCAGGAGATTGAGGTTCAGTGATTATGTAACTGATATGCCTTACATACCATCTGTTCTTTTGCAAACGGAGCATGTAGGCCTCGCATGAACTCAAAGTCTTTTGCCTGTCCCACTTCAAATGGATGGTGTTACTTGAATGGAGTATGTGGACAAGTCAGAAAACTACACACATGCATGATACTCCTTCATTTGATCATGTAGGATTTTCTGGTGATCAATTCTTGTACGGATCTTGAGATTGGAGGAAATGCTATCTTCAATGCTTGGCAAATTCTGGTATCTGTGGCCAGACACCTGCTGGAGACCGGTGCTTTTGACCATGACACCATTCTGAGTAATGCCTCGTTGAACATGGTCTTTTGTCCTACATTCAAAGTTTAAGAACAAACCCATAAAACCAAACAAAAACTGAACTGTATGTTATGCTGAACTGTCTCTTGTTCAGCCAGGGTAAGCTTGTCGGAAGTACCAAATGCTTTGCTGAAGTCTCCAGCATTGTAAACCACAAAGCCAAACTAATTGCAGAGTTAACCTTAAAATAGACAACTACGGAATGCAACTCACATAGTCTTTTGGGCCCTCAGAAGGTTGCTGTTCACAAAACATAATCGCGTAGGCCTTTCCTGGCGGGGGTGCAAGCACCCGATTATAGCCGTCCAAACACACCACCTTGTCGCACTTCAAGGCACCACTTTCAATGCCTTGCTCAAGCAACAAGTTATTTTCAACCATGTTGTGGTCTGTAGGAGGTCCATCGGAATATCTACTTGGAAATGCTTGAGTATTATGTCACTGATTGGCAATATCCCTAACAGACCTTGGCACAGGTACTTCAATGGCCTGTTTTCGAAGAGCTTTCCCAGTTCGATACGATGCTTGAAGTGCTTTCCGAGCTTCATCAGACATCCTCAGAGCATACTCCAGGCCGGGCATCGGAGCCACTACACGGTCGATTGCCGCAATGAAAGAATCGTACATGCCTTGCAAAAGGTGCGAATCGAAAACTCCACATTCTTCGACCTCCTTTTGCAGCTAAATAGCTATTATTATCAGTGAACCGACAGTATGCAATCTGCATACCTTGCTATAGAGATCCCCGATGATTTTAAAGTTCTGGAAGGGGCATGGGGTTTAGCCATGCGACGTACGACACTGAAACAACGTACTTGTGTTGCGCCTTTATTTTGACAATACGACAAATATTGCGGAATATGCCTCTTGAATAGCAGCCAAACAGCAGGACAATCTGTAAGGCTGAACCTGACCTCAAAGAGGACATCTGGTTGCCCTTCCTTGTCTGGCCAATGTTCTATCAAGTAGGTCCAGAGGCTTTGAACCTTTGCGTTCAACTTTTCACGCTTATGGGCTGGCTCTACATGCGGTCAATCATTTATCACAGGAGACATCTAGGAAACAACATACGGCTTGGACGTGCCGAAGCAGGGGAATGTGCTTTTGGCAGCGTGGTGCCGGGTCCGTGATACGGCAGCGTGCTGCATTTCTGCAGATCGAGGATCCAACCTAACCTTACATTAATATCAGCAGGATGGCATGCAGAATAAAAATAGCAACCATGATCAGGACTGGAAACTATTGAAGGTCCTGGCCCGGCCTTTGCTAAGGTGGTATGTTAAGGAGCTTCTTTAGTGTCAGAGATTGGCGCAACTCACTTTGTGCAGCTTCAAAACTACTTGGGGCTGCGACGCCCCCATGGATGCTTCCTGTAGCAGCCCTTTTAACTGCTAAAGGCTCATCAAGGCTGCCTCGTGGCCGCTTGCTACGCCCTGTAGACCCTGCTATTTCAGTGTGTGGTCCTGGGGTATGTACCTCGTTAAGGTTGTTTCCTTGCCATGATCAAGCACATCCAAATAGCATAATATCATAAAGGAGGATGCAAACAAAATTTAGTATTGTCCAGGTCTATATCAAACCTCTCAAACTCACCAGACAATTGAATTATCGTGCCTGGAAGAATCTCCTTGTGGGTGAACCCTTGCAGATCAGCTTGTGCCCAGAAATCGTCGACAAAGTGCAAAGACGACCGTGGGTCCGTATCGGTCGGTAGAAACGAGTCGATCTTCTCAGCCCTGTTTGTAATCCCAGTTGTGTCAGTTTGAGTCTGGGGAGAGTGGGAGACCGCTTGCAGCACTGACGTTGCTGCAGACATGGGATAGTTTTCCCACTATAGGGTACATGTTAGTTCATCATGGTAGATCAATACATATAGAAGAGCATTCACTTTGATCTTATACTCATATTGAGTATAATCCTTTTTCTCTGGGGGTAACTGGCCTGAAAAGTTGCTACCGTCCTTCTCAGACAGGCGCTTAGCCTCCAGGATATATTCTGGCCCTCCGTGAGTTGAGAGTGTTCGAGATACAGGTACTAGTAAACAGCACACCAATAGTGTATTCGTCCATCGTAGCCTACCAAAATGGAGAGTTGACTGTTTACAGAGTCCTTGAGAGTGTTGCGTAAAAGATTTTCAGGCAGCAGTTCATGAGGAAAACTCACTTGGCGCCTTGATGTGTGAGAATGACGAGGGTTCGGCGTGTAGGAGCGCAGGGAGAAATCCAGAGTAGATCTTGACGCTGTGCTGGTGTGATGATGACAGTACTTATATCGAATTAACGCGCTTAGATTTAAGACAGACCGTGTCGTCGACGGTGACACTGACAACAGTGACAGCCTCTGAGAACAGATGACGCCTAAATACATACAAACAATGCAGGCCGGTGACTTACGCCCAGAAGATATGTCCTTGATTCAAGATATACATCACTTTAAAAATCGGCATAAATCATATTAAGTGCCTCTCATACACATCTCACAAACGTTGTTGCTTAGTGTGCCTCCCGAACAGAGGTCGCACTTCCTGGTGATCGCTCGCTCGCGACTTTTCTTGCTATCGGCCGTGCCTGGTTTCACGTCAAGCGCTGCTACCAGGGACCGCAGGAGCACATACGCTGGTGCTTGGTAGACTTTGAGACGAACTCGCAATCCTCCAATCCCTTGACTCCAAGATCTATCAGCAACACGGCACACTTCAATGAAACCCGCCACTTGTAATTGATGGTTTAAAACGCCAGTGCGAACTCTTTGTACATTTGATTGATGGGCGGAGAAAGCTTGGATACAGTCGCGGACGGCGTGGTGTTCGATCGATGGCGATGACCGATGTTGAAAAGGGGTAACGAGGCTCGAGGTTGCTGCTGCGCGTCTGCGACTGTTGAACGAATGCCTGCGCATGTGTGTCAAGGATTCTCTGGACTTGTAATACCAGATCATCACACGTGCATTGACGGCCCTTGAGGTCTGACAAACTTGGATGAGAACATATTCATCGTTTCAGAAATTACAATGCGCTCACTTTCAACGGCGGCCGCGAACTCCCTCACCAGGCTCAGATCCCTCCGCAACCCAACCTGCGTTTGACTGATGCACGCAGGAATCTTCGAATCTCCAAGCGAATTTTGTCGAAGCACCATAGTACTGGTATTGGATCCTGCAGTTCCGTTGCCAGCACCGACAACCTCAGCAACAGCCCCTGCGCCTCCGCCAGTGGTTCGACCAAGAGAAGCAGCCTGGGGCGATGTAGGTGGCTGTAACGTGGCTTTGCGTAGCGATGGTAAAGACGCACGAACCGTGGCGCTCGTTGACTGTGCCAACAATGCGATATCTGGACTCACTGCCGACGTGGGTGATCTTGGTGTCGAAATCAGCGAGTCGAGAGTAAAAATTGGGAAAGGTCCTGCTGAAGAAGGCTCAGACGCGATCGTCGGGGAGTCAACCGAGCCCGGGGGCAGGAGCGCAAGCCTGCGGGCATCCCCATCGTGCCCCGGGGCGGCTGCTGGTCACGATGTCGAGGTGGTGATGGCGGTTGAAGCTCGATTGGAGGAAGGCCCGACGATCGCGCGGGCGTCTTGACTTCACCGCCTCCACCAGAAGCATGGTCGCCCTCTCGTTCTGCTCCCGGTCCCTTTCCTTCTGTTCGCCACTCAAAGCTTCCGCGTCCTCCATTTGTGTGTCCATCCCAGCTGCTAGGGACGTCCGAAGCAGCAGCCGAGGCGCCGCTTTTCAGATGCTTATGTATCTGTTTGCCGCCCATAAAACTCCAGCTACCCTCTCTTCCCTTCCCTTTTCATCTGCCTCGCTCCCTTCCCCACCCTCGTTCGCACTCTCCGCAGTCCTTGGTCCTGGTTCTCTGCCTGTCCGCATCGCGCAATTTCTCCCAGCCATTAGGTCCTTAGGAAGCACGTCCAAGACTGAGCATACGCCGCTTGCTTGTCTGACTTGTTCACCGGTGATCGGAAAATGGGACGTGCTGCTACTCATGCTACGCTATTCTCGCCATCTTCAGTTGATCTCTGCATTGCGAAGAGCGTGGTTGAATCTGCATTGCCGGATTGCATGACAGTGGCTGGTGCACATGCAGGGAAGGAAAAACAAGGGCCTGTGAGGTGGGACCAATGCGCCCGTTGTAGCTATTGCTATGTAGCCGAAGTGTATTTTGTCTAATTCAATAGAGATAGTATTAGCGATGCAGTTCGAGATTAATGCACAAAGTAAAATGCGGAGGAATACGCACCTATGAAAAATCTTTCCCGCACAAGGTGTGGTTCTCGAAGCCTCCGATTCACAGTCGCATTGTGTTGGAGATGGCTGTGGACAATGTCGTGAAGCCATTGCCAAGCTTGCCATCGGCCGAGGGGTTTGCGTGGAGGAAGTCGCTGCGCACGCGAGTTTGCAGCAGGAAAAATGAGAAGAGTGCGTAGATGTACAATTCTACGTGTAGTCTTGGACAACGACTGAGAATAAACGAATAACACTGTTCCGACCTGTCAAGGCCGAGAACCGGTCCTTCAGTCTACGCCCGTGTTGCCTCGACCATACACGAAGAAGAGTACCCTTGCTTGACAAGGGGTTCTGGTCTGTGTCGTAACTCTTTACTTCTTCTTCTTCTTCCCTCCATCTGCAGCAGGAGCAGGGGTATTTCCGCCTGCCTTTCCCTTGGCACCTTTCTCGTTGCCCGGGGTGTGGCAGCTTCAGCGTCTTCAGCGTTTTCCTCCCCACCCTCATCCCCTGGGGTAACTGGAGTAGTAGGTGATGTTGGGTCATCAGCGCCAGGAACTTGTAGCTTGTCCTCTTCCGCCTTCGTTTCCACAGCTGGTGTCACTTCCGGTTCAGCAGCTGGTGGATCGACAGCTGGCTCTGCAGGAACTTCGGGGTTCGCTAAGGCCTCGGGTAAAGCGGCAGCCTCTATCTTAGGGCTCGGCTTGGGCGTATTGTTTGGTGAGACTTTTGGTGATGCCGGTTTAGAAGACGAAAGCAATTCGGAAGACTCAGCGACTTTGGGAGATTTGGGTGCCGACAGCGGTAAATTAATGTTATCAAGTAGAGTGGCGCCGCCCGCACCGAAGGACGTCATTCCAAGATGATTGGTGAAGGTTGCAGAGGGGAGATTATCTGCTGAGCCAGCAGGTGGAGAGACGACATCGAACGTCCACCCGTCGTTTCCGGTGGTGCCCTCTGCTGCGGCAGCTGTGGGATCCGGTGTGGGCACACGGACAGGTTCCACGACGGGGGTCTTGGGCGGCGGCGGTGCCGGTGCCGTTTCCTCAACTGGAGTAGCAACTTCGCTGGCACCTCCCTTGCCTTTCTTTTTCTTCTTCTTACTTGTTGTCTTCACTTCGAATCCAGATTCTTCAGCGGCAGGCGTTATAAGTTCAACCGGGGGAGGTTCTGGTGCGGCGTTTCGGCGGGAGCAGGAGGCACCTCTGCAGCTGGGGGCTCAGGCGCTGGCGTCTCTTCTACATGAGCGACTGGAGGCTCTACAGGTGCAGGAGGGGTTTCCTCTGGTGGCGGTTCAGATGCAGCAACCAATGGAGTGTTGACTTGAGACAGGAGTTTGGATGCAGGCTTGGATGCGGCTCTGGACGCAGCCTTTGATGCAGCCTTTCCTTTCTTCGCCGGTGCACCCCAACTACCCCAACTATCTTCTTCTGCTACAGGTGCTACCTCTTCCAAGGGAGCCTCAACTTCCGCAGGCGAAGCTTTTGGTGACGGTTGCTTTGGGGGCTCCCCAAATTCCGAAGCCAGTCGCTGTGCTACCCCATCCAGTCCCAGTTCCACCAGTTGACCCAAATCCTCCGGCGGATCCAAAACCACTGGCGGAACCGAATCCTGCACCAGTCGACCCAAATCCTGAAGAACCAAAGCCTGCAGTCGACCCAAATCCTGCAGATGTGCCAAAGTCTGCGGATGTACCAAATCCGGTACCCAGGGAAGACGCAAAGTCGCCTCCAGACGAACCGAACCCAAATGAGAGCGAGCCAAGATCACCGCTAGCGGCTGGTTGTTCAGGGAGGGGCTCAGGCTCTTGGAGTGCAGGCGTAATTGGTTTAGGCGACACGGCTCTCGAAGGCGGCTTAGGCGTCAAGCGGTGGTTGTGGTTGCGCTTCCTTGAGCTCCAGTCCAAGGGCTCTCGGAGTCAGATGCTGAGGGACTTCCTGCTGCACTTCTTGCACGACAGGCTCAGGCATGCTGCCAGGCATCAGGCTAACAGAGCTGAGAGGGCGCGAGGCTTCAGGATCCATACCCCGGGATCTGTCCTGGGGCCCAGTATCAAACAAAGCAGACGCGTTGGCGGCAGGCGAATGCCGTGATCTTGTCTCCCCAGGAGTGCTCGCCATGCTCTCTGCAGCAACACTGTCCCTCCGCCCATACATAGAAGGTGCCTTGGAAGCAAGAGGGCTACTAACAGACGGTGCAGACGTGGGTGGCTGGTCGCGGCCCCCCATACAGACGTGAGCGCCTCCCCAATCTTGCCCAGCACTGACGACCGTTCATGCTCCCCATTGATCGACCTCTCCCTGTCCCTCGGCTTGTCCTTCCTACCCCGGTCGCGATCCGCGTCGGATACGTAGCTATCGCGTTCTCTGTCTTTGCCCTTCGACGACCGTTCAATCTTACCCGCCTCACTGCGCCAGCTCCCACTCACCGCACGCTCGGTCGCAGGAGACGCAGGGTTAGACGATCGGCCATTGGCTGAGGGTGCGTGGTTGTCCCTCCAATTCGACTTGCCTGTGACGACTGACGGGCGGGAAGCTGATGAATGTCGCGTATGTGTACTGGGCGCGAGGCTGCGATCGCGATCGCCTCTGACGACATCGGGGATATCGTGGAAGCACTCTTGCTTCGGCGTGCTGTGTGTTGAAGGTGGCTTGCTGGGAGAGCCGTTGAACCCCGTGCGTGAGGGTGTTCGTGATGCGGCAGCTGAAGGGGCTGTAGAGCCGATTGTGAGCTCGTCTTCAGTGAATCATCGGGTTCATCTTCTTCCGCGCGATGCCCACTTTCGTTGTAGATAATGGATGCCGGGCCACTGCGGGGGCGTTAAAAGCGGGCACGGAAATAATAATCAACGGTACTTACTACTTCGTAACGCCCTAAACCCATAAGCTGTTTTAGAAGGGGAAGAGATGCGATGAAAATGCCAAACAGACGCACACTATCATTCCATTTAATCCTAGCCTTGAACTCGGTCAGACCAAAGTGAATTTCAACCGAAAATACAATCATCCAGTACGTCTTTCCGTTCCTTCCCGTCTTGGGTTCAGCGCTGCTGGCCAATGGTGACAGGTTCGCTTGTACAGCACAGAGCGTACCAAAGTCCTCTGAAGAGAGAAATGACTTAGCAAAGTGTTGAATAGCTGAACGTAGAGGCGTACCTGCTTGGCGCATGATCCACTTAGGGACTTCATTACCCCCTCTAAAACACCAAATCTCAACCTCAAATACAGAAAGCAACGACAAACTCGTCAACTCCGTACAATACTTCCTCGTGAACACCGTCGACTCTTTCACTCTAAACCCGGTGGTCAGAATACATAGCACAGTGCACGGGAAATATCAGAGCACGTACTCGGGATAGAATACAATCAAACGCGTCTGGAAGTAATTTCGGGCCGGAGGGAAGCTCGGAGAGTCTGCTTTTGCGGGCGGCGTGGTCGGGGTCGTTGGCGTCTAACTCGCGGAGATACTCCACGCCGTACGTATACTTCGACATGCGAGCCGAGACATGGTGGTCGCAGTAAAAACCAATCGCACCGTCAGCAACGGCCTTCGACCTACGCGTCCACGCAATTCGTCAGTGTCAAGAACAAGTGTGAAGTAAATGCTCAAGTATTCGACATACGTTTGGGAATCCGGCCTACTAACGGTGACGGGTGCCAAGCTCTCTTGCAGCTGATGGAACAGCCACGGGCTAGCCGCAAAGCCACCAACCAGCCAAATAGACTGTGCGTCATCGGTTGTCAACAAGTGAGCATGTAGGGTTGCGCGATAGAAGGCTAAAAGCCAACCCACCTCGATTAACCCATTTGTCGCTTCAATTTGCCGCTTAATTGCGGCGACCGCAGCTGATCAACAAAGCGATGATGAGCGAGGTGATGCGATGAATGGTCGACAGTACATACCTTCGATAGACGGTTCGAACAAGTCCGCAACCTCCGATCTAGACGCAGCGGTGATTAACATCCGCACCTCCCTCGCGAAAAGAAGATGCTGCGGACTCACCCGATAACTTCAGTTGCCCGTTCCGGATACCCACATACATGTCTTTATCGAGCGGCGAGCCGAACGTGATGAATTGCAGGTCCTTCTTCGCTCGGAACAGCCGCTTCGTGGTCTCGTCGAACCGCTTCGTGATGTGGTCGAGCAAGTCTGCCGAGCCATACTTGGAGCCACGCAGCTTCTCTGGTTAGGAGCAACCCAAATTAGTGAGTGTGTGGGCTGGGAGTGCCGTACATACCTTCGAGGAACTCGCGGGTACGCCTGCTGACGAACACGGATCCGGCGAACAGGCCTGGGGAAGGGATGTGGCGAGTGTTTGCAGGAGCAGAGCGCATCGGAGAACGCACAGTCCGGCGGGGCAATCTCCTCGATTACGAGCGGATGGGTCCCGCGAATCGCATACGAGCTGAGATCCAGCGATCAAGAACCCATGGTTCGACGTGCTCTGCGCGAAAGCGCTAGATAGGCCGCCGTGACGAACGCAAGGATTTGTGCGCACCGAAAGCACATCGGCCGCCAGGACGCAGGCGTGGAGACTCGCCTCACCCTCTGTGACAAATCGTATCCGCGCCTTGCCTTCGTTCGTGTCCGGGATCTCTCCGCCGTAGACTATCGCTCTCCGCATCTTCGTCTGCTGCGCGCCCTCCCGCCCGTTCGGATGTGAGAGCACAAATTGGAGGTCGTGCTGCACGACAGTCCACAAAGCATGGCCGTTAGCATGGGTGTCGGTGAAGAAGGTCCTTGTACATTTGAATAGGTATCCGAGAAAGTCGCCAAAGACATCGACTGCAGTTTTGTGCTTCGGAAGAGATGCCAGGCGGAGGCCGTTCATCTTGAGCTTCATTGTGCTATGTGAAAGCTTGGTTAATGAGAGGGCTTCGGTCAGGAAATGAAGGGGACATACGAGGGGCGTAGGCGAAGCTTGAAGAGCTCAACCTTTGTCCAGCCCTCGTCCTCTGCCTGGGATGCTATAGACGCATCCTCTGCCTCTGCACCGGCCACGACCATCTTGCCACTTCTGTTGTAATACATGACGGAGGGTATCTTTGAATTACCAGCTACATGTTCTTGCCCGGGAAATCTAGCAGGTGGCGGTCAATTCTGGGTCAATTTATGATCGACCACGCCGAGGGGGACTCACCTTGTTACACCGTATATCTTGGGGACTTACCCCAGCTCTAGGATGGCATATGAGACGCCGCTGAAAGTTGTGCCGACGTCGAACGCAATAACGAGAGAACGCGAAGACACACTGTAGGGTTTTCACATATGGGCTGATTCCATTGGAGAGCGTCGCCTGAGTTCGCGGCAGATAAATGGTTAACCTACACGTAGGCTCGTGACCATCCGTTCAGACTTCGCAAGGCTTCGTCGGAAGCGGCTGGTACGAAGTGGCACTGTTTTGGCACGGTCACACTTTTGTGACAGTGATGGACCAAGAATATCATGTACGGCGTACGCGCTACGGTATCTCTTCTACTACAATTAAATCTAGCATTCTTGGTTACTTGAGTCACTAAATCCTGAGTCTGAACCCGAGCTTCCATCTAACTCATTTAAATCCAACTCGTTGCCATCGTCGGAAACTTCTTCGCGTTCTAATATCTCGACTGCGATGTCACCCGTCTCAAGCGACTCATTATCTAAGTCGCTCTCGTTTTCCTCGCAGGTTATACTATCATCGGATCCAACTCCTTCCTCATCCTCAATAGTTTGAAGATCGGAGTCCAGAGGAGTTTCTTCTGATAGTTGTTCAACGACAGCAGGCTCCTAGAACCAACAGGTTCACCTTGTGGGAAATCGGCTAGGGTGAACCTGACTGAGACTGATCGAACAATTCCTCCGTTTGGAAGGTATGCGTGTGGTCGGTTTTTTTGGCCCTGTTCTTGACGAAAAGCCTTCAGTTTCGCAGCAAGAGAGGAAGAGAGGAAGCTGAAGTGAGGGCAGACGAACCTTGACATTGTCGCAGGTCATGGCCTTGCCTTGGATCGGAGTGGCATGAATGGACGTCGTCGGCCGCTCAATGACCAGAATACGCTGGCTTGGAGACCTTCATCACCAAAACGGCAGAGGCGTGATGCGCGTGGCACTATGCATCCCACGCTCCCAGACTTGTGTGGCGTCACAATCGATTCGCACAAATCCACGCGCAAGATTGTGATGCCACGCACACCACACGGCTTGCCACACAACCTATCATAGAATTTATACTCTACATATACAAGTGCTATATGCTACTTATACTACTCATTCGCCCGCCTTTGTCTTCCACCACCTCTTCACAACCTTCTCGGAGCAGCTGGTAGATCAAGGATCAGTGCGATGAGAGTGAGAACATGATCGAGTTATGAAAATAAACTCACCGTTCTAGTGCGGCTGGCCGATGCGGCGGACGTGAACGCTCGCTCGCAGGAAGGATACTGCAGCTACAATAAGGCATGCCACGCGGGGCCTGTACGGCGCCGGGAGCTCGTTGTTGAACGGGTAACGTGGTAGCAGGTAATGGCGTAAGACCGTCATGCGCGCGCGCCAGCGTCGAGTACCGTCGTTCCAGCTGGGGGTCGATCTTGCTTGATATTCCTGTGATTCAGCGTAGTTGCCGCACCCGCGCCTAACCTCCGAGTGGAGGAAGCGGCTGGATCTCAGGCGGTTCCCATCACGTCTGACGTGTACGGCGGCAGTATTGGCGCGGGGTGCTTGTTGTCGAGGAATAAAAATACAGGCAGAGGGAGGCGGAGCGAGTCTGAAATGAGCAGAGCTGAATTTAATTGTGGTCAACAAAGCTGGAGGCACACATATCAAAAGAATGGATGTCGCAATGCCTTGGTGCACCTTGGGACCGGGCTGATGTTAATCACAAACAGAAACGGCCTATCGTATCACACACCGAGTGAGCACCTGCTGATGCTGCCGTTCTCAGCGCAATTCATATGTGTCGCAACGGTGCGGACCTTCCCTACAACTGCGCTCGACGCCGCTGACAGCTGGGCCACGAATTGGATGACTGTGATCAGCAGGAACGAGGTAAATCGAGCATAACGACATACATTATTTGACTCCAATCCCGTTCGCAGCTGAATTTGCGAACAGGGTTGCTTTCCTTCGATAAGACCATCGACAAAATCCGCTTTGTTGGCTCTGTTGCATCTGAGAAGAGATCGGTTAATCTACGTGCCCAGATCATTTACTGATCACATCGAGAAGAGGCCGCTACTTGCGAGCCTACTTTCCGATGATCTGGCATGATTTGAAGGGTAGATGGTGTAGGCGATGAGAGACAGGATGCATTATTCCCACTCGGACTCTAACAAAACGTCAGTCACCCTCTCGATCGTTCCTTTCAGAAATTCGAGCTCACTTGTACCAGAGCCTGCCATTTAGTATCTATCAGGAAAAATCTCCACCTCCTAAAGCGCTAATTAGTGCTTACGCGGGATTAGGAGAAATATCAGGTCGGTTTGAGGGCTAATTGAAGATGAGCGTGAGCATAGGAAGGATAAGTTGAGCATGCTGCCGGACATCATGGGCCACTGGCATGCCATGGCAACGAGTCCGTTTTTTCTGAACTCCTAATCTCAGACTTGTCAATCTCAGGTAGTTTCAGACTTTCAGTCCATTCACATTCAGGATCCTTCATACTGTATATAGTGAATCAATCTGAGCCAATAAACACATAGGTTGGCGAAGGGTATGCGAGCTCGATTAGGGCGAGGCCTGCCATACCACATCAAGGTCACCAGCATGACCAAGCTGCCGAGTGCCTCAGTACGCACGCGCTGATCCTGATCCTCGGCAGCAAAATTCCAGCCTCTGGTTCAAAAGGTAGGAATCCCCGCGTGGCCGAGCCGTTACTGGACAAGTTTGATAGCAATGATGGAGGTTCGTGCGGTGAATCGTGTACGCAATGAAAACCAAAAGCCTCACGCCGGTATGTGTCGTAGTTGGCGGGTACTCGGGGCAATCGAAGAGTGTGCGATGAAGCGCTGGCAGACTCAGACCTTCACATTGTGTTTTTCGGTGAGGGGCCGGGAGAGAGTCCGATGTACGTGGTTGACAATGTCGAGTAGCTCGACGAGGGAGATAATGGGTTGGATACGGTTGGGATTGACCTGCTTCGGCAGTGACGCCATCTGCTGCCAACACAACGGCAGGATCGGGGTGGTTATGGTAACGTGCGGCTGTGGCGGGACAGGTGTACACGACAGTGAATTCTAATGCTCTGGCACACTGATTATAATTGTCGGCGACAATCTTTGCAAAATTTTGACCTTCCCCAGAGGCACCAGAAGGGACGTAAGACCCCGACGAAATCAGTGTTTGCAACAGTAAAACGGCCATTTTTTACAGTGAAATTCGGTGTTGTGAGCAATGATTTAAAGTGTTCGTGACATTCAAATACACTGCGCCGCATAATGGAATTCACTGTCCTGGGCATTGCAATTGAGCGTCAGGTGCATTGATTTCTTAGTTGAATATACTAGCAGTACGTCTAATGATTTATACAGTTTAAGTGCTACAATGATTATAGGAAACACGATTGAGAGGCAAGACGAATGAGCGAGAGTCCGTCGCATGTAAGAAGAACAAGGTAGGGGACCATCGGTGAGCAGGTGTCCGGATTCGAGCAAGTATATAAGGCCACAATTGTCAAAGGAAGAGAAGGGTCCATCAAAGGCTGTCGTGCGTGAGTGAGGAGGAAAACTCTAGGGTACGAACGTCGGGGGTCCGTCCAACGAGGTGGTATGTCCATGCTGGGTACCAAAACAAAGTCCATTCCATAGCAAATAAATCGCACATAATGAAGGAAAGGCCATGGGCAGTCGGCCAGCATGAGAGCGTAGAAGCGAGGAGTCCGAGCCTGGATAAGTTGTGACTATTGGGATCTTGGGAATGCATGAGGATGATAGGTTGGAGAGGCTAGATGGAGCCACAAGGAATTGGTGGCAAGAAATGATGCACGGTAGTACACATACGTTGTAGATTACAAGATCGTAAACTTTCGTACGCAGTCGAGTGGAATGCCCGCAATTATTGGGCGCCTAGAGCAAGGTTGAAGCCTTGTAAAGGAAACAAATAAATAGGGCATAACAATGGCGGTCAATTCTGACGGACCAGAACCCCTTGTCAAGCAAGGGGACTCTTCTTCGTGTATGGTCGAGGCAACACGGGCGTAGACTGAAGGACCGGTTCTCGGCCTTGACAGGTCGGAACAGTGTTATTCGTTTATTCTCAGTCGTTTGTCTGCCATTGAAATCCTGCAGGATGCTTGCGGCATTTATTGCAATCACAGCGACATAGCAGTGGCTGGGGCGCCATATGTGTGAGATCGTCGGCATCAGCAAAAAGAGAATGGCCTGGAGAAGGGCATATTAGGCGTCTCCAACCAGTATTAGGCCCGGAATCCATTGCCGGGCAAACCATCATTTCACAGCGTCGATACGGTCGGGATCCGGCGATAATGAAAATGGCCAGACATTAACAGCTCCACCAGGCTGACGAGATATACCATGGTGGTTCAACTTACAAAACTCATCACGCTGGTGAGGCACAACGGTCTGGCGGGTGTGACCTATCTGGTGAGCCTAAACATGCTCGCCCACTTGATGATGCTTGGCAAGATGACGTAGTCTACAAGAGCCCTTCCAGCCTGTTGGGTGTCTGATATGGTACTACAGGCTCGTCATATGGAGCAGCTTTGCTTTACTAATCACTCAGCTCCCAGGCTTGTTCTCAGTCAGAAGAGCCAGAATGTAATGATGCGAATGATATTTTACTTCTATTACTGTTACAAGTGTTGGTTATCAGTAGCACATGTCAAGAGGGCGAGCAAATAGAGAAGCATCTAGAGCATCGAGCAGCCGTTTCATGCAGAGTGATTTGAAAGAGCAAGCAGGGGTCGGGAAGTTTGAGAGATGTGAGTATCGGAGTCATCGAATGTCAGTCGTCATTTGAGAGTCCTAGGTTGCGGGTCCAGCGGCGCCTGAGGATCCAGTGTTGCGTGTTGTTCCAGAAGCGGTCGCTCCAGTGCTACCTACAGTTCCAGGGCCAGCCCCTCGGTTGCCGTTGTTAGTTTCCATGTCCAGTTGGCGGTCCAGCATTGGCCGCAGCACCCATGGTAGCCTCTCCAGCACTGGCACGTTGCGTTCGTCGGAGCTCACGTTGTCGTTGGATTAGAGTATCTTCATCCTCGCCGTCCGAGCCATCTTTATCGCTGTCACTGTCGCTGTCCGAGTCTTCGTCGTCTCCCGAAAGGCCCGAGTTATTGAATACCTCGCTAGCAAAGTTGTCAGTTTGAGGAAGAAACAGAAATCGGGCACTTACTTTCTATACCACTTAAGTAGCTCGTTTACATTGATGTCATCTTGTTCGGCACCAGTCTTGAAGTAATGGGTGATCCGATCGTAGAAGGCAGAGCTATCGAACTTGCCGTCCATTCGTGTCCACTCCGTCTGCGCGTTGAGCATGAAGCGAGCCTGTCCCAGAGATAGAGAGGTTAGCAGTGCCAAATGTCATTTTCATACGCACCTGGCAAGCTGCGTAAGCAACAAGATGTCCGTTGATGTCCGAAATACCGAGGATGCTAGCATTGCAGTGTCGGGGTAAGGTAGACCGTGTGTTTGACTTCACAGCACTTGGGCCGATCAGGATATGCCGAAGGATCTAAAGAGACATCGGAAGGAGTGAGCACATCAGCTACAGGCAGGGGCCGTACATACAAGGACGAGTGGCTGGTTCTTGAATAACCCAGACTCTGGGTTGGTCTTGTCATACTCTGTAGCATCATAGAGGAATGCAGGCCAGTCGGTGTGGTGTTGCATCTTGCTTGATCCTTTTTGGGCCTTGAGCATGAGTGTGCTGGATGCCGTTGTTAGTAGATATTTGGAGAACATCATCCGAGCTCACCAGGGATCCTTGAGAAATTTGCTAATATATCGTTGTGGGCACAGTAACTTTGCCGTCCAACGATGGTTCCATCCACGCGCTAGCTTCGTGCTAAGTTCTCGTGGTACAACTTCCTTTGGATCAGTGGTGAAATATTCAAGCTTGTCACGAAGGCCAGACGAGTCATTGGACCGTGTCTGACTGGTTGCGTGGGCGATCTAATGCATGCACGCAGGTGAATTCTGTTGAATACAAGCGTATACACAGTACTCACCAAGCTGACCATATCTAGCCATTTATCCCAGTCGAGGTTACGATACTCCACAATAATCTTCGGCAACAGTGGCAGCCGTTGGACTATTTTCTTATACGAATGGAGGAGATGCTCATTCTCCCTCACGACCCTTGAGAAATCAGCAATTGTGGAGTGGTTGTATGCGCATATATTGACTTACTCGGCAGCAAGTGGTGCGCCTCCAGTGACTACAGGCGGCTCTTGTTCTGCAAGATGCAGTTCATACCCCTGACAAAGTAGTTCTCGAGGGTGCCTGTAAAGATCAACAAGACGCGGGATAATCTTCCCTTGATCTTCAATGTTTTCCAGGGCGATGCGAGCCTCATTGCTAGGCTGAAGGTTAACATGCTAATGCAATCGAAAGAGATCCCAATTCTTACCGTACACGCTGCATCCTTTGCTTCTTTGAGGTTCGGGGCCCAATGTGTTCGAGGGCCTCATTGATGAGGTCGTGAGTACGCTTTGCGGCCATGAGTGTGGTAAGAGTGAGTGTGAACACGTTTAAGCGCTGAACAAATCTCATTACAATTGCTTTGGCTTTGTTTGTATTCACATCCAAATAAGGGTTCTGTCGTTCAACGAGGCGGTATACATATATTTTACCAAATTTCTACTTGTAGGTCCTCCGATTGCTCACTCGCTGCATCCTCAAGAGAATCTTCTTCTTCTTCTTCGGACAGCCATTGATCTAAATCATCTTCGTCCTCAGCCTCCGATAACTCAACATCCTCGTCCTTGTTATCTTCCAAGTCCTCCTCTAACACCTCGTCATTGACCTCAACGTCTAACTCGGAATCCGAGTCATCACTTAGAATTTCGACAGAATCATCTTGTGCTGTCTGTGCTGACTGATGTCCCACGGCACCGCCAATGTAACGCATCACCGTATCACGATCGGAGAACCTGTAACACGGCTAAGTTTCAAGTTTTGAGTTTAAGATGTGCTGTTTGACTTACATTCCGACATAGAAGAACTGCCACTTTCCTTGATTCTTCGTTTCAGTGGCATCCGCTACAGGCGATATTTCATCAACCTGTGTCAAACCGTAGTGAAAGGCAGGGAGAATGTGAACAGCTCTGATGATGTCCACTGGATTCACAAATGTGAATGCCGCATCATCGTCCAGAGCAACGAATCCAATACGATAAAGGCGCCGTTTGGAAAAGCCCGCCCGAAATGACAAGTCGCGTCCAAACCATCGAACCCAGAGGAAGTCGACTTCTTGTGGTTCACGTAGGCGTGGATGATGAACAGTGGCATGGAATATTTGCACAAGCCGGCCATACCACAATGGGTGCTGATCTGCTGCGCCGTCGTCCTCGTTTGAAGCAGTAATAAAGTCCGAGTTTTTCCCGGGGTTCAATGAATCACGGCATCGGCGTCCATCGTAGCTTGTATAGTTCACATGGAGCACCTTGCGCAAGTACAATCGGTCATTAGCAATCACAACCTTGAGAAGGTCGTCCATTGAGTATTGCTCATCATCTCCAGTGTCATTGAGGAGACGTCCAAGAAGGTGAGCCTTGAGTTTTGGAATGAAATCCTTTGTTGGGAGGTTAGGCAGTGAAGTCGTCAAGGTAGGTGACCTACTGTAAACGCCGTGTCATTTTGATGCGCGGTTAGGTACTCGCTAATCGTGACCGATGTTTGGCCAGATGATGAGATATAGTAGTGATCGTTGAGGGATTGCTTGAGCGACTTCTTCTTCAATGGGATCTCAGCCGGGGGATTGACATTGGCATTATCAGCATCCTTAAGGCGGCGCCTGACTTCTCGAAGAGTACGTTGACGCTGTTCTTGCTTTGCAATCTGCTCTTCATATTTATTCTTGTTAGTGCGCCCATACAGCCGTTTAACACGGCGATGTTCTAATTCTCCCTGAGAAGAGATCGATGAACAATGGGAATATATAGCTAACATTCTGACGTACCACTTGCGTCGACCAAGACTCAGATGTTCCCAGCCGTCGTATAGTCGTGGCATAGTCGCCAAGTGCGTGCATCTTGTATGTATTCATGTTAAACGACCGTAGCTTAGTGGTCACGACAGATGCTTCTGTTGTGCTTGTACCAGTGGAGTCCGCCTTTCGCGCCTTTCGCACTCGAGCTTCGGCCTCACGTGGTAGGTCTTTCGTACTGTAAGATGGGCAGACCATCTCGGAAAACTTGCGAAGAAGGGCTCCAATATCTCCAGTACTTGCCTGTAGAAGGCCTAGTGTAGAGTCGGTATGAAGGCGGAGTTTGGCTAGAGCATGCCACATAGCTAAGGCAAACAGGAGGTCGAGGACAATTTGATTGTGTGGCTCTGGGAGAAGCCCCTCAAACACAGGAATCGCACACTAATCTCGGGGTGTAAGCAAAGTAGTAAGTAAAGGAATGTACAACAGACCTGCAGAAGGTCTTCGTAATCTCGTGCTGCAAGCTTCTTCATGGCTGCTGCATCGGCGTGAAATCGGCGGACCACATCTCGTCCAAATGTCGGTACCTTCCGATACCTCTCGTTTAGAGCTGCAACGGAATCGGGACCTAATACGTGCAATATCCGAATGAGGTGGATAAATACAGCTTTCCATACCCCAAGCTCAAATTCATGCAGCAAATCCGGAACGAACAAGGCATAGAAGTTGAGGCCATGAGGTTGAAGAATAGAAAAGGCGTTCTGCTTACAAAGTATCAGTATTACCGAGTGAATCCTCATACATGTATGAACTCACCCGTGTCGGTACAAGGGAATCCTTCTTCAACTGGCCATCAACTTTGGTCCCGTTTACGAGTGCCCCGAAAGCAAAAAGGTGTTTACGTGCCGTTTCAATTCTGTTTTGAATACTGTTTGAGTCGATGCGAATTCGGTTGAGCCTTTCACGAGCCAACATGTCATGCTTCATGCCTAGATTCCGAATCTTGGCCTTTGCAATAAGGCAGCGAGGACAGGGACAGCCACCGAGATACCTAATTGTTGCCAAGAGGACTCTGAATAAATATAAAAATCAGAATGAGCATAAGGCAATACTGAATGGTTACTGACTTCTCAGGGTAGTCGGCACTGTAGGTAAAGAAGCGAGGAAACAACAGCCGCACGATGCCGTCGAAGCACCTGATAGCAAGACCATGAACAAACGCGTGGACGAATTCAGCAGTCAACAAGAGCCGCCAGACTGCCTGCATCAATTCACGTTTAAGGTGTGTGAGGTATGCGGGGCGAGGCGCGTGGCCATATAGTTCGCGATATTGGTCGTTTAAGGAGTCCGGAAGCTGCATTGATCGCATGTCAGAGCGACAATTGATTACTGATGTAGGGAAGAACATACCGAAGGAATATAGGCCTGATGATGACAGTGGTTGCTAGTTGGCTTCAGGCGGAGGTATTTTGAGCAATTGCCGAAGAAGGTGTAGAGTGGCCATAGTGAAGCTGTCCCGAAGGTTGCGAGATGTGTAGCATCGCTCCAGAACATGTAAGCAACAACCACCGTCTCGAGCGTGGGGTGAACAGGAAGATTGCGATGGGCATCCATCATTGCCTGTGAGGTGTAAATCTCACTATATGTTCGTTCGTGGCCTCGCGGTAGAGTCGAAAACGGCTCGCGTGTGAGTAAATCGAGGTCAGGCTGTTGCTTGTTGTGGTTGGCCAGCGGGTTCCAGCATTCTTCGAAGGGAGTAAGGTGGAGGCTCGCGAATTCAGGTCCTTGGAATGCATCTTGCATGACAGAGAGTAACGGTCGAATATTGATGTCCTTGATTTCAAAGGTGGGAGCTTGAGCCTCGGATTTCTTTACTTTTGGTGCAGGAAGCGAAATAACGACGCTCCGCTGCTCCCACCCGCTTGTACCGGGGAATAGTTGAGATACCTTGTTATTGACCTTGAGGGCATTGTCGACCCGCATGTGCTCTTTGGATGTACTGAATCCCTTGAGGCTGGCAGTGTCGAAATCATCCTTGAGTAATACATTCTTCACGAGTGAGTCAAGCTCGGCGACAGATTTCTGGGTTGAGCCGCTGTGGAACCAGCAGAGCAGCCTGGCGATAGTCGAACTTAAAAATGGTGACCAGGGAGTTTGACCCCCCCGATTTCCCATGTCGTCGAAATCAGTTTCTTGACCTGTTCGCTCAGCTGTATCGGTAATGTCGGTGTTGCAGTTTGCATCAGCTAGATCGTCGAGAGATACTGATTCATCAGAATTATGCGTCGGTCTCTGGGGATAAATGCGGTACATTCCCATTGCGTTAGGAGGGGTACGGATTGCTTGTGAGGGTGGAACCGTGTTGTTGATTGCTGGCTCACGTTCGCCAGGCGGAGCCGGTTGAATTCTTGGCGGTAAATCAAGCATGGCCTCTCGCTTCTTCCAGGTCATCCGCTTGCGTCGAAACGTTCGTCCGCTCGGGGCTTCAGGAGGCTCAATCTCTACTTCAGGGACGCCTAGATCCATTACCGGCGCAGGCTCTAACATGTCCTATCAGAAATTGTTAAAACATCGACACGCAAATAGATGAAGCCGCTTACAAAATCTTGCAGCATTGGCGCAGGCTCAGGTGCCTCAAGCTCTGGAGGAAGGGGGGGTAAATTCGCCCGTAGGTATTTTCGCGAGCAAGCTGCCTGATGTCTGCTGAGACTTCGGCCAGACTTCCAGCGAGGATTAGTCTCGCCACAGTAGGAGCAATGCATGGTCTGGTAATAGAGTGTTGGCATATGGATATAGGCATAAGACGATGATTGCATACCTTCGCTCGTTGCTGGTTTGTAGGCACTGCTGCTTTCTGTTAGTCTGTCTGAACAGGGGTGCAAACTTGCGACTTATAAGCCCTTCGCTGTAAAACAAGGTTTTTTTCGATGTTTAATATTCGGACCTTCACTCCGTGTTGTAAAGTAGCACTCTATTTGCGAATACTAGGCTACTTGACATATTTGACAGAGCTGTAGAATGCTCAAAGCGACCTTCTGTAGCGTTTCTCCTTGAACTATCGTCGAGTGATGACTATACATAAAAGTAAGGTTAATACATATGGTACGCCCTGACTCGGGGTCAGATAAACTCACCGTCTTGTTTTGTCCATCTTCCGTCGCAGAGGTAAAGGTTGAAGTGCGAACGGTGGGAGGGAGAGAGTGAAGGTTGCGGCTGTTTGTCGGAAATGTCCGGGTGTGTGAACGTTTGGTCAACACACCTGATCTGATGTCCATCAGACAGATGGATGATTGGTTAGGCCACTGTCAGGCGACAACCAACATGCGGAACACAATCTGGCGCGGACCGAGACGTGGCCAACATTCTGGCCATTGGTTATTCTGGTCTCGCGCCGCCAGACCGTACTAGAGACTAATTAGCTAGCGATCAGAACGGTCAGTTGATTAGCAGACATAGAACATGTTGGCCGTAAGTTTACCTTGTTCACCATGTCTGGTGTAGTACGACATCCAGATACAAGTCCGGTAAGTTACGGGCGAGGGGCTGACATGGTAGGCGCCGGCATGACTTGCCTTATTAGGCCCACCAGACAACGACCTTTTCGCTGCAGTGCGTGGGGGGATACTAGCCTTAGGGGACTGGCTACGCGTCCACATTCCCCGTGGCCTGGCCTCCTTCCAAGAACACCAATGAATCATAATGGAGACGTCGGCAAGTTGCGACTACGCGCAACAAATAGAAGAACCGCATAACACACGCATCACAAGGACAGCAGACACATGTAAAATACATTGCACGCGGAAAATGAAGAAAGCAAGAGAGCATGACTGAGGGATGGGAAATACGGAGGCGATCGACAATTACAACGAAAATGAGAGGGGGTAGGTGGACCTCAAAGAATGGATGGACAAGAAAGAAACACGAAGATAGCTCGAAAACATTGCTCATTCGGCCACCCGGGATATGTATGTGCGTGCAACGATGAATGGACACGAAACGAAGGAGAACAGGGATGAGACACCGACCTCTGGCCTTCACTCACTCACTCACTCACTCACTCACTTGTCCCGCTCCCTGTAGAAATAGTAAACTCAGTATTGTGGGGGTACAATGACTCTATATTCATGTACCTGTAGAAATAGTAAACTACGAGTACGAGTGAGTACGCGTTAAGTAAAGATAGGTAAAGACAAAAAGGGCTCACCTCAGTATTGTGGGGGTACAATGACTGAGGTGCCGAAAAGTAAAGGAGCACATATATATAATGGTTGCGACTCGCGCATGCGTGCGCGTGGGCAGTGAATCAGATGTAAGTAGTAAAAGGCGTGATAAGAGACATGAAACGGAAACGGTGCAAGTTGACGCATGGCCAACTTGCATTACCCGTTTCGGCTAACGGATAGCCGTATTTGGCTAGCGATGGACTCGCCGTGTGTTTGCTAACCCAACACTCCCATCGCCAGTTAGCAGCGTATGTCGCTGGCAAAGAGACGCAGACTCAAACGACGCCCTCGCCCGCTCGCATCTCACTCCCCACCCACCCCATGAGAATGGTACCTAGTGGTTTAGCGGACAGTGAGGGAGCACACCAGTATACAACGAAGTGAATGCATACAATATTCAACAGGCACAAGTGCATGAAATCTCACAAACTTAGAGAATATTGAGCAAAAAGAATGGATATATACATATATTCCTTGTCATGCATTGATTTTAGTTCAGACTTTCGGTGTATCTAATTTGCAGTGCAACACCTTCTATCCTTCCTCAGGTTGTCCTAGAGGCTCTTTCCACTGCTAATATAGCCTTCTTGTTTGCCCTACGGTCCTTTTGCCTAAGACGCTTCTTCTCTCTCTTGCCATCTTCCCCCCTGGTTTGCTGGTTGGTATTCTCTAGTGGCACTGGGGATGGATCTCCAGGAGGGATGTCCGAAGGAACACAATGGTCACACTGACATTCCCCCTCCCAGTAATCTTCACCATAGTTCACCAGTATTTCTTCCCCCTTTTTGATATCCTTTGTGATATAGAGGACAAATGCCCATGTATCTTGGACTGCACACCACTAAGAAAGAGGCAGACAGTCAACGGAGAGCACATCAGTAAAGGGGGACAGAACCTACCATTGCATTGTCCCTGGTACAGTGGTGGTTGGCAAACCTCATTGGCCCAAAGTATGGCCGCCTTTCTCCAGGTTGGAAGGTTTCTAGCGTGTAAGGGTGAGGAGTTATCACAGATAAGTCTGTGAAAGGAATTGTGCCTATATCACAAGGTACCATTCCTAGTAACTCTTGGAGGTATTGGTTGGCAACCAGGTCACGGTTAGCTACCAAGCCAAATTGCTTGTGCCCGCCAATGGACCTAATCCCTATTGTCACCCCAGACCATGGCTGAACAAGCACACCATAGGCATTGAGCAACCTAAACAGGATAGATAAGGGGACAATTTTTGTTTTAGTGCTACTCAAACCTCACCAAATCAAAGTCTGTCTGGCAAGGGGTTCCTCTTTCCCTGAGATCATCTCCCAGTCTTGCAGGTGGCTTGACATCCTCTGGGCACAGTCCACCATCGCAGATTGGTAGTCCTCCAGACGATACATGGGCTTGGAGCTCTCACATGCACCCTGGAAGAGGGCCCGCAAGGTCTCGGACTGGTCTGCTGACAACCGTTGGGGGTTGGCAATGGCGAGCGGGGGAGGACGTTTCCCACTTGTTCTCATGCTGTGCTTGCCCAGTATGGCAGCAATCAGGATGGGATCCAAGGATGTAACCATGTCGGCCTGTAGATTGGATGTCGACTGGATTTGAGCCCATTGCCTCTTCTCCTGGTTTCCAAAGTGCCATTCGGTAGCAACTTCGGTGAGCTTCTAGAATACCTTGGTTCTCAGAAGAATTGATGACTTTAGCAGGGAGACAGCACGTACCAAGATTTCGTCTTGCATTCTTACAATTCTTTGGGGCCAGATGCCTAAGTACGAGTTGCGGGAAATTGGTTGATTGTGAGGTTGACAACTTGACTTAACATTTAACGTTTTAACGCTCGTGGTACGATAAAGCCGTCATCGGCCGTTTCCGATTTTTCGCCCAACCAGAGCAAGGAGCCCCTTTAGCATCTGCTGGTCGCAAAATTGCCAGATTTGAGTCAGTTATCTACACCTTCGTTGACGCCATCACCGTCGCTCCAATCGCTGAACGAGGGCTCGTCGTCGCCGTGAAGGCAATGAGCGGAGTAATGGTACTGGTGCGTCACGATTATCTCAGGTACAGTGTCGGTAATCGAATAGAATATAGCTGGGAGGTCCTGGGAGGCTGGGAGGTCGAACGAGGCGACAACGAGCGCGTCTAATGCATCAACTGCGTCTCATCGAAAACCTGCTCGACCTGCTTGGTTTGGCTCGCTGTCTAGGGTGAAGGGACGGACTACGGCTCCCAAGTAGGAGAGGATGGAAGCGCGCACGGTCACTGTTCCAGACGGTGTGACTCCCACTCCCATCGTTGATCTGACGGAGCAGCTCGAAAAACCTGATAAACGACAGTGACTGCGTTCCACGGAACGTCACGGTCCAATCTCCCAAAACCCTCCACGTTTTTGCTCGCTGGGTGGTTGGAGGTGCGTACTTGTTTTATTCTACTACGCAGCCTACTATCTTGCTTACTATCTATTTCCTCCTTACACCACCCTCATGGATAGTCACTCGCATCTGGTTGGTTCACCCCCGAAACTCTCGTCGTCATGAAAAGGAGAGACTCAACTCGAGTTCCCAGGTTCATCCCGCTTTCTCGCGATTCCTTGTCAAGAGCACATTCTTTTCGGTATCGTTTGTCTCAGCACTGTCCTGCGCCGATGGTATCTAATGTTCCCACTTCGAATATGCCTTCTACCTCTCCGAAGGCGAATACAAGTATTGGAAGCCACCGAATACTCCTCAGAGCTCAATTCCGATCTCAACTCAAGCCAAGTCCGGATGATTTCTTGCACAGCGAAGCGAATCAGCTAGGGGTATGCCGTACACCACAACCTAGACCCCAGAAGAATCACAACGCATACGCAATATCCAACATCTACACAATCGGAAGGTACGAAGAGGAGATAGGAATATGGAAGGTGAGTGGGCGTTCTGCTGCATACAATGGCCCTGTGATACTAACTAATTGATGATTGATTAGACGTCAACATGGTCGTGCCGCAGCAGTCAGGCGAATCGCCTGAACGAGGTTGGGCGGCCATGAACCCTGTAGCAAGCAGCACGAAAGAGATGGGACCTTGCTCTCGCCGCGACACACTGGACGACCACTTCGGCGACTACAATTGGCGGAAAGTGGCAACGTTACGTGAGTACTACTTCGTGCTGATTCTCCTTCTCAATAGATATTACGCTTCTTCGTGGAGTCCAAGAAGCTGTCGAAATGCGCTCTGAACATGTGGGGAACTTTCTGGACTTCAGTAACTCGTTGCCAGCAGCAATCGTTCAACAATTCTACTGTCTCGTTCGCCAATGGGAAGCTGGGTTAGCGGTGACAAATCCATATGAGGCAAAAGTTGAAGGTATTTATCTCCTTTTTTCTAAACAAGGCCCTGTGTCCTGACAGGGCGGCGCAGCAATCTCTATCAAGAAAATCAGATTAGAGTTAGCTGAGGAAGAAGCCTCAATGATCCGGCGTGACGAAGACCTTGGGATTCATGACACCGTCGGCCCCACGATCTTCAAAGCTTATGACTTCAAGACACATTCCATTAGCCAACCGGGCGCACTAGTCATGGCAATCCAGGCTGTGAGTAGTTTGCATCCCCATCATCACTTGACACCCATTTTTCACAGGTGAAACGCGCCTTGTTTTATCATCGCAGCGGTGTTAAAGAACCCAATCCCCGCGATACTCTGTCCCACTTGTCACAATCCAACTGGGCCGACCACGTAGAAACTACTACAGATAGTTACGGCAATACAATCACAAAAGCGTTCCAAATACATCTTCGATCCTCAAGCTTGTCCTCCAGCTCAAGGAGAAACGATGGGAGAAGATGGCTGGAACAGTATTTTTCCGTAAGCAAGGAACATTGTTTCTTGCCTAGTTTTGATTCTACTTTCTGCCTCGGACAGGCATACAATGGAGTGAATGGACAATTCACTCTGGAGACGCTTGAGAAGGAGGCTGATAAACTGATTACTGACTTGAACGCTGTCTTCCCGCATCAACTTCCGCAGAATGTCGATCCTGGCTTCATTCTCTCATTCTACTCATATCCGATGGGTCATGCTTACGCGTGAGTTCCATGCTCTTCTCCGTCTTCCTATTATTTACTACGTCACACCAACACCTCTCCATGAAAAGTGCAAAAGCCTTTTTGTCGCTCGAAGATGGCGAAGAGGGCCAATCAAAGAAATGATTACTAGGAGTGGCGCAAATATACTCAAGAAGCTGGAGCGTTGTACCTTCAAGCTGCTCAACGCTATATGAAAGACGACGAGAATCATTTGTGTGAGCTATTGCCCTCGAGTGAAATTTTGTACGGTGATAGAAACCTGATTATCTCTCGTTAGGGTTTATGAAGTGCTCGTTGGATTGCACACTGTCGTTGGGCCAACCACTTTCCATGGCGCTACCCCTCATGTGCATGATTCGTGAGGCCTATCCAAAGGTGCAGCGCATCTGGGGGAACTCTGCGTCGGCTATGCAAGGCAGGGACGAAGCAATCAAGTCGGTTTTCAGAACTGAAGACAGGCTCAAGGAGTTACTAGACCAGGGCATCGTGTCTCTGAGTGACCCGTTTGATAGTTCTCTCTTGTAGCCATTGTGAAGTAGTAGGTCCAACTTTATCTTGCACTGATATTGCACGCAGCTCCGTTGATAGTTCCTGGTCACCCAGAGAGCGAAGGGGAGAGGGAGCGGAGGTATTTCTAAGGCCACGACTCGACGCGCAAGTTCAAAGTGGGCAGCGCTTCAATAACAACTTCCTTCTTTGGCCATTACCTGAATGGTCGTGTGGAGCCTGCATTTTACTTAGAACATATTCGACTTCGCCTCGTGGCCATGGTTCGGATTCCCTTCTCGACGTCCATAATATCTATGCGATAAGAATCTTGAAACCCACACAATTTGTATCAAATCATCCAACCAGAATGCCTCGCGAGCCAGTGATCTCGAATATTTCTAATCAAGAACTTGAAACACGCGTAGCCGAGCTGAAGGCACAAGACAATGCTCTGTACCTCCCGAGGCAGCTGCGAACAAATACACGCAAGCTCTGCAGCTTGACGACCAGAATGCAATTCTCTATTGTAATCGCGCAGCATGTCGACTGGCTCAGTCAAGGTATGTTGTCATGATGTTCCATTGCTCCCTTTTTTACTTCTGTTGAAATTGTCGACGCCTTGGAAGACGCAAAAAAGGTGGGTTCTAGGTTTCGAAATCATTTCGTCAGGATTGACGCGACCTATGCCGTACAATCAGATCCTCAATATATCAAAGCTCATGCACGGGTGGCCACAGCAATGGATGTAAGCACGAAACTGCGTCACTTCTCAGATCATTTGATCAAGGGGTCTTGCTTAGCCCGACAGAAGCGAAGCAACACCAATCCTACGTCGACAGTTTGGAGGCCTCCAAACTTGGGTATGTTCGCGCACACCGTTACTATGCACAAGGACGAAGCGCAAGGACTCCCGGTGGAACTGGCCACCAACGTGCTTCCCAGTTGCGGGCCGTGAACAACCCTCACAGTCGAGGGGACACTAGTGTAAGTCGAGGGGGCCACAAGTACACGCCGCTCGCTAATATCGTCTTCCAATTGGGCAGGCGTGGGTTATCTATGCTGCACACGAGGTTAGAACTACCAACTCTCAACCCTCCATTCGATTCTCACTGGCGTGATTAGCAGTTTCACAAGGGTATGGAAATATTGAAGAACTTGCAAAGCGTAAACTCGTCAAAAACCTACCTCGTTGAAGGGAAAACAGGTGTAAGTATGCTCTAAAGTGGAACAGTATAGCTTTTCCATTAGTGAGAGTTGGAACACTGTCCGCCCCGCTCTCTGTCGGTGTGTGGTGAGTTTGCGGTCCCATTGTATGGTATTATTAAACTTGAATGAACCTCTTCAGGGCTCGCTTCCTGCAAGGGTTCTTACACGGCGGATTCCACGGCCGTCCGGATGTAGCTACAGAGTATGCAGGCCACGCCATTGAGATCATCAAGTTAGGCAGAAAGGTGTGGTCAAATGTAACTCGGAGAAGGGCGCAGTGTTTCGGGAGACCTTTCTCATGGGACTTAGGGCCGAGTGGCTGGACCAGTATCTGAAGGTGAGTGCTTGAGACCTCAGATGCTTAAAAGCCAATGTTGCCTACTTCAACTACCGTCAGGCGCAGGCCCTGAACACCAGCGAATGTCCTTTAGCGACTTTAGACAAGATGCCGACAGTTTAATAACCGATATAAAAGAGTCGTGGCTCCGCTTTCCCAACGGTGGCAATGATCCTGAGTTTATCTACTCGTTCCATTATTACCCACTGGGTACTGCTTACGCGTAAGTTTGTATCTGATTCCGCCTTGCTTTGTTTCAAAGCTGATTTTGAGAAGCGGTACAGGCTACTGCCTTTTACAGCTAGCTAATGCGGGCTGATATGGCTAGTTTCGTGAAGTACGTTCGGGTTTCTGGCACCTTCTACCTTGAAGCTTCGGACCAGTACCCGCCCGACGAGGAATATTCTGGATGTAAGCATTCCAATCAAGAACTTCAATCCAGAGCTGACGATCGACGGCAGGGTATTTGAAGTGTGCCTTGGCTAACATGATGGAGATACGAAGCCCTCTGAGCCTCGTTCTCCCAATTGTGCAGAACAGAAAGTGCGTGAGAACTATCCAAAAATGCAGCTCGTCTGGGCAAAGACGATGAAGGGGGGGAGGGACAAGCGAATTGCGGAGCTCTTGAAGACGGAAAAGAAGCCCAAGGAGCTGGCAAAGAAAAATGTCGTCTCTATGAATGACACGTTCAACGAGTCTCTTTGGTAGCTTTCCCCATACCTTGCTCTTGTGTTCGTACTTGATAAATAGCTTCTTGGGTTATAAATCGCTGCTCGTGCCGGCGTTGCACGCCAGATGCTATTTCTCCTGAATGCCATGTGCCCATCGCCCGCAAAAGGTTCTTGATTACATTTAGCCTAACCGTGCTTCTCGACCCAAGAATCCTCCGTGAGCCATCAAACCGTTGCTACGCCGAGGAACACAGGTCCCCAAGGCATCGTTGTTGCAATTGTGAAGCTGGATCGTCTAAGAAGCTTCCCAGTTTACGGCGCACGAAACCGATCCCCTCTCATCAGTCATGGTTGATCAATACGACGACGAACATGAATTAATCGACGACGATGAGGAGCTGCAGCCCAAGCCCCAGCAAAGCGTTGGCCCGAATGCTGGCAACCCAGTTGTCCCCAACGCCCACGACGATGAAACCGAGTCGCTTGCCATGGCTCGGGTGTGTCACATAGTGACGAGTTGTCTGATTTCAATGATTCCAGGTCCGATAGTTTCAACAACGGTGACTTCGATGATAACGATGTCGACGATGGCGACGTGGCCATGTACAACACCAACACGGACTCGGATTCCAGCACCGAATCCGACCCCGGAATGCCAGGCTTCGTATCGAGTCAGTCAATCATCAAGTGGGTCTCTTACGACGGTGACTCAGACTGAAAGATGAAGGGCGATGCTTCAGGTAAGCTGGGAAGCCTGCTCTCACGTCTCATGTATTTCCAACTAACGTTCCGATGATAACAGACACTATTCAACTAGTCCCAATGCCTGTACATAAATGCGTTCAACCGCAAACTACATATCATTGCACTTGAGCTGGGAGTTTGGGAGTCGCAGTTCCGCTAAACTCCATTACTAGTTGGTTTCGAGCGCCAAATCCACTCGGCTTCCTGGCGGCTACGTGGTCTTGAGATGTGAGATGCACGCGATATTTCGTCGCTCTCAACCCGCTGAGCCCAATGACTATGACCTTCGTAGGTTATGGCATTAGCCTGTACGTGGTATTGATGGCAGGTCTATCGTGCGAGCTCCACAGTTGGCCAGTCGAAGAGAAAAAAACGGAAGGTCTTGATTGAATAAAAGTCCACGAAGGTTGCAGTAATCGACCATCTCGCTGTACACGGCCTATACCTAGGGAATTCCTAGTTGGTCGTGCCATCGCCCGGGATGTAAGGCAAACAAAAAAGAGACGATTAATCCAGCCAGGCGCTTTGCGTTCTCAGAGTAAGCTGAACGTAATGAATGCATGGTTCTCGTATACGCCTCAAACGTTCATCGATGCATCTTCCAATCCAATCCATGAAGGATCCATGTCTCCTGCATCCTCCCTAACCACGTAACACACGCCGCAATTTGTGACTTCAACACCACAAGTGACGATATTCTTGGCCATTCTACCGGCGAGAAACGTATAGGGAAAGATACCTGGAAGTGATGGAGGTGCTTTGGCGAGTCTATTAACGCATAATCTTGCTACCCCCTAACTTCCTTTCAGAAAACTTGGTGGTCACGCTCTACGACTGTCCTTGGCGGACAGCAGTCCGTGATACAGTCATTTCCAGTCCTCTTCCTCGAGGCAACATACGCCCAGTTTCAACACTTTCTTCTCAGTCGACTCACATCACATCGTCACTCATCCGCCAGAAATTCCTCGCTATCGCTCCCTCACTCACTTGTCAACATCTGCCTCCACGCCTACGCACATGCTCTCTCCCCAACTCTGATGTGACATGCATTCAGCGCAAGCCGTTCTTGCCCCTCAACTCCCAAATATCCTTGCACCGCCCTTCATTCTGTGCCTCGGCTCCACTTGGAGATCTTTCACCCTCACGCTCCCCTTCGTCGACTCTACTTATCCGCATATTCATTTTCTTCCCTGCTTGTTTCTGCCAAGACTCGGACACACCATTATGTGAAGATTCCTGGCACGGCTGGGATTCTGAGACGCGCCAAACTCACCACTCGCGACTAGACGGCGTGGTATATTTGGAAGGGAAAAGGGAGGATATGGCGAGGGACTGAGATCATGGAGCCCGCGATGCCAACCAGGGCCAAAGCAACCTCTCGCATCGTGTGCGCAACCTCAATTCGCTAGTATCTACCACGATATCTGCGAGACGTGTTCCAACCCATACTGCCAGTGGCTTCTAGGCCGCAGTGATGGACTCCGTGTCGCAAAAAATACTGCCCACGCACCAGTGGCTGTCCCATCACCACCAATTGCTCGTCGAACACCACTCTCTCCTCGCGCAGCATTTTTTCATCCTAGTTTCCATCCATAGCCATCTGAGACCTCTGGATCGTCCAACGTCTATGACCTTTTTGACGAAGTACCGATCCCACGACGAGCTTTTATTTCTATATTACTGCTAGACCCAGAGTTGAATTTCTTGGCGCGTCACGACTCGCGGCAGTTCACTCGCATCCTCTCGGCCTCTAGGTCTTCGTCAAGTTCGAGATTAATGAGGTCGCGCAACTTCTGGACCGTTCAAAGCTCTGTAGTCGCGACTCAAAAATTACTTGGGCGTACGGAGTCCTTCAACGACGAGCAATGAACCTTTGATAGTCGAGCTTATCTGTTCAACGTCTCTACTCTTGCTCGTGAATGGGGCACCATCCCCGGCGAGCTCAATATGCCAACGCTTTTGGTAGACTCGGCTAACGCCCTTTCGACGGCAGGTTTGATGGTAGCCAACGATTCTCGCCATGAAATGCCTGCTATATCCAGCATCTGTTCTCACGACGATCCAAAGGTCTCCCTCTTCTCACCACTTTGTCTCACTTCAACCTCGACTCCAGCCGCACTGCGACTCTTTCCATCTTCATCAACCTATGCCGAGTGGACAGAATGTGGAGTGCAACGTTACAATAGCTCAAACATGTAGCCATCAAAATTAGAAACCAATGTTACATACCGCGGCGTACCCGTTCCTCGAACTCTCGTTGCGCCAAGCCGTTCGTACACATGTGTCTCAATCCCCGAGGTCTCGCCCCACGACCAACGCTCCCTTCCCTCCATGGATCCCGACCTTCTCCAAGCAAAAACGACGGGCTTCCCTTGTGGTACTCCTACTGAGTAACTATATATATTAACGCTTGCCACGTCTGACAAGCATGCATCAATGGACGAACGTGGGCATGGACGTGGTAAGTGGGGGCGACGTTTCCAGGCCAAATTCAGAGAATACCACGGTCATGGATGAGCTCGATGCCGGCGCGCTTATGGCAAAATTCTGCCAGTAGTAGAAGGGCATTGTAAACATGCGGACTGTTTTCTGTACAAAGTAGTAGACCATATATGCGTGTTTGAAGCAGGAAATATGTGGCAGAAGTTAGAGACGTACAACGACATGAAGATTCAAAAGTAGATACAGAAGAAACTACGCCAGACTGCCATGCGCTCCGCCACTACACCACAACTTTTCTGCTAGTTTTATGGAAGGAGGACAGGAGGGAATGGTAGGCGGAGGCGCACATTTGGTTATGGCCTGTGGCGTGGACGCTGCTGGTCTACCCTGCGACCAACTCCCGCGTGCGATTCTGCTTGCGCATGCGGAAGGGAATTCCAGTTATGAGAAGGAGACTTGGCCGTGCGAGGCGAACGAGAGGCAACGGGGCTTGGTAACAAAGTAAAATCAGCCATACGCCAAGAGTGAGCATGATATACCGGTACGTACTGGTGTTGACATTATTTCTCCCGCCGTTATTCCCGCCACTGATGGGAGCCAAGAATGCGTCACCCATTATGGCGTTGATGCGGCGTAGAAGCGATGTTCCCCAGTTGAAGATGGCAGATGCAAGACGGGGAAGGATCGGCTGAACCTGGACGAGCGAAAAGAGCGTTGAAGTATTTGTACCGAGAGGGCAGGTGCGGCAGTGGTTTGTGGAAGACTAGACGAGATGTTCCCAAGGATGGCGGCGACACATGCCACCATGAATGATGCGAAGATACTACATTCCAGACCAAGCTCGTGCAAAGGGCTGAGGTGATAAGACGACTAGTCGGGCTGATGTGACTTTGGGACCTCCTCCGCGTTCGCATGTTTAGACTCCGTCAGACTCAGACAATGACCAAGCAGCCCTAAAGGGGAACTGATGTCATATTAGGTAGGACCCTGCGTGCTCGCGAGCAGGTCGTCGAGACCGAGACCGCGAACGCGAACGTGAGCGCGAAAGGGAACAACCACGTGAACGTCGATCACATCGAGGGGGTATCATCCCCAACACCAACGCCAACGTTCCAGGATCGCCTACGTATTCACCCAACTCTGGAGGAGGAGCAGGAGCAGGAGCAGGATCAGGAGGAACGGGAGGACATCCAGCGATCCCTTCGACACATCCATCACTTGCTTCGCACTCGCATCAACCGCCGCAACCGCCTCATCCGTCCTTACCTCTACCTTCGATGTCGGTACACTCCTCTCACCCCCCTCCCTCTCACACCACCCACAACCTTTCCTCCTCCTCATACACTACCCTTTCCAACCACACCACCCACCCTCCCCCCTCCCAACCCCCAAAACACCGCCGCGCAAAACGCACAGAAGACGAACGCATATCCTACCTCCACTCAGACCCCTACATCATAGTATTCGAAGCACACAGAGTCCTTTGCGCGTTATGCCGTAAATGGATTAGGCTAAGACCGAATTCGACGTATTGTAGTATTCCGTGGGATAAGCATAGGACGAGTTGTTTTAGTAAGAAGTGAGTGTGTTTTGCGAATTGGGTTTTTATTTTTTGGATTGTTATTGGGTGATTTTAGGTTGACGACACATCTTCAACATCTGACGGTCAATAATGTCTCGAACGTACCACCTCAAACGGGATATCCACCCCGTCTCGCCGCGCATTCCTCTCTCATCTCTCCCCTCAACTCCAACTCGCATACCAACTCTTCACTCAAGTCACTGACCGGAGGCCCAACCCCTACTGCGACTAGTTCGAAGTCGAAGGTTCATGCGAATGAGAATGGGACGATAGGTAATGGGAATGGGATGGTTGGGACGGAGATTCATATGTCTAGGGATGTTGTAGAGCGTGGACGGGATCGACACGTAGATCTCCAGGACGACAACGACAACGACGCCGCAATCTTACCAGGTTCATGTCCACCCACCGCCCCAGTATCATCTTCACACTCAGCACCCATCGAAAAAGCGATATCCCGCGCTTTAGCCAACTTGAACTTACGTCTTCCGCTGAGTAACGAAGAGAGGGATGGGTTGTTTTCGGGGGATGGGGATGTTAGGAAGTGGGGTTGGGATGGAAGTGAGGGTGAGGGCGAGGAGAAGGGGAGGGTGGGGGTTTTGTGTGGGATATGTGGGGTTTGGGTTGATGTTGGGTGTGCTTTTGGGCGGGCGAACGTAGGGAAGAGGGGAGAGAAAGGGGTGAAGGAGAAGAGAGTGAAGGAGGAGGAAGGACGAGAGGAGGGCGGCATGGACGTCGAAGTAGCGGAGGGTGAGGAAGACTCGAAAGAGGGCAAGGACGCGAAAGAGGGGGCTAAGGATGCGATGGATGTTGAACAGGACGGTAAGGGCGAGCCGGAGGGGGAAAGAGAGGAAGAACGGGAACTAGAGTTGGCGGTAGAGCCGTATGTTCGTTGGATTAGACATCGGGAGACCTGTCGCGCTGAGAAGTGGGTTTTTTTTTTGACTTAGTTTTTTTTGGGGTCTTCGCCTTTCGACTTGTCGCTTTCACTTTCACTTCGTGGTACACATTCTTGGGGGATTGTGGACCGTCCACCAGACCGTCTCCCATTTCCCGTCCCTCAGAACGCACGTTGCGCATTTCGTGCAGGCCGTCTGTCTGTCTCTCTACCTGTCTCGATGTCCCCTTCCATATGTTCTCTGATTCTGTTCTCTTCGGCTTTCACTTTGCACTTTCCCTGTCTTCCGCCCTTCTGGGTTCCCTTCTGGACATATGGCATACTTCTGGGTGACACTTGCTGGCGCCGTTGCTCGCGGCGAGTTGCTTGTTGGGCCGATGACGTGTTGGTGTGTTGGCTTGTTGGTGATGTGGTATCGCTGGCATACTGTGTGTTGCGTGTAGCTGGCAAGTCGAGCCAATTCGGTTTGCGTGTCTCATGACATGGGTGCAGAGTGCACCGTACATTCCGGCTGCTTATGCGTTCGATTATGATCTTTAATTTCCATTAGTATTCATTTCTTTGTTTGTTTTCGTTTTCTATTTTTCTCGTTATCCTTTCTTAACTCCTTCGATTAATAAAATAATGAATATATGCTAACATGTCCTATTCCTCTAGCCGCCTATACCCACACCAGCCCCTCCAATCCCACCCTTCCCACTCTACCAACCCCGCTCAACGTCCAACATCTTCACACTCCTCTCGCCCCTCAACCCAACAATCTGGCTTTTCATCCTTCTCTGCTGCTCCCTCCACTTCGAGCTCTACTACCACGACGACACGTCAGAGGCGTACGACGCTCTCAGTAAATTGCAATGAGGAGAATGGGGATGGGGAGTCGCCGATTTCTGGGAACGCTAATTGGGGATATCCTACCCATACCTCGAATGCGCATGAATATGCGTATAATCCCAACCATCCTCATTCTCATCACTCGTCTTCCCATCTCAACTCGCAACAACAACACCAACACCAACACTCCAACGCGAACCATACCAATGGTACGGATACCACTCACCCCTCCGCCCCCTCGCATGAATTCCGTAGACGCGATGCCGAACAACGTGCTTCGACGCTGCGTTCCGATGAACTTATTAGGAAAGTCGAGCCCCATCGCGTGTTTTGTAACTTGTGTGAGAAGTGGGTGCAGCTAAAGCGGCATAGCCCGTATTGTGCGTACCCTTGGCGTCAGCATCGGGAGAAGTGTATAGCGAGGCAGTGAGTGCTTCGTTTTTTTTTATTTCTGCTTCTATTGTTTTTTTTTTTCATTTTGGGGGTTTTTCTGTTGCTAACGTTTGCGATATAGTCAACGACGGATGGAGAAGGAGGCTGCTATCGCCAATATGCGTGCTCGTCGTCCTCGAGCTTCGGGCCGCAGTATGGGCATGAGTATGGGGAACGATATGGGTATGGGGCAGGAGTTGGGTCTTGATGCTGATGGAGATGCTGATGCCAATGGGGAAGTCGATGCGGACGGGGACGTCGATACGTCCGTGCCTATGACCAATGGATCTCAAGGAGGACGAGGAGGAACGGGAGGAGGAGGGGATAGAAGTAGAGATGAGGACGAAGATGGAGAGGGGGATGCGGATGATTTGGATTTGGAGAGTGAGGAAGGTGTGGAAGGAGGGAGTGGGGATGAACATGGGAGAAGGAGGAAGAGGAGAAGGATGAGTAATGGGTTGGGCGTTGGGGTTGGTGCGAATGGCATTGCGAGAGGCGCAAATGGGAAACATGTTTCGGGACATCCTCTTGGTGGGACGAGAGGGGTAGGGATGTATGGGAATGGGAATGGGAACGGGAATGGGAGTATGAATGGTGGTGGTGGGCCGATGATGATTGACGAGTTGGGCGCTGAAGGTGAAGACGACGTCGATGCTGAGGGGGAGCCATACTCGGAGGACCAGATCGTTAGGACGTATTCGCCTTTGCATTACGCACACCAACAACAGCATCAACACCAGCAACAGCAACAACAACGGCAGCAGTATAATCGTCGGCAAGGAGGTCAAGGAGGTCAAGGTCAAGGTATGATGAGGATGGGTTCGGGGAGAGGAAGTATGGGAGGTTATTCGAGATGGGGAGGTCAACCTGTTGCGTTGGCTGATTTGGATAGTTTGCCTGGTCGGTGAGTTATCTCCCACTTTTCATTTCTATCGTTCTACTTTCTATTTCATTATACTCGACTCTAAGTCTCATGATTACGCAGCCGCAACTTCATCTTCCTCGCTATCGACCATCTCTTCTGCACGACATATGAGAACTCGGATGATATGACCATCTCGTCTCTCCTGATTTACCTCAACGCGGCCATGCCACCTGACAAACACGAGGACTTTGATACTCCGGAAGTCGTGAAGGCGGTCGCTGTGTTCAAGGAGAAGGGTAAAGTCATATTTGAGGGAGATACGTTGAGATTGGTGGATTGAACGTCTTCGATGGAAAGTGGACAGTATCGGTGTATGGGGATAAAGGTATAATGGATGAGGGAGCCATGCTATGTTGGGTTGGGTGATGGTGAATGGCGAACGGTGCTTATGCATACCTCCCGATCAACTTGGATATACCCGCGTACGCCTTGGGTCACTGGGTCCTTTCGCTGCGCCGCCCATCATGCATGCATCAATGCTAGCGCTCGCCGCTGTCCACTCTTCCATCATACGTGTCTCTTTGTTCTACCTCCCCCTTCTCTTCCCCTCTTCTCGCCTTCCGAACGAATCCCGATTTCCGACTTGCGACCTGCGAACCAAACCAAGGAGCGATACGTCCTCGAATTTCATACCCCGTGCATTTCATCTGTTCCCATCTCCCGTGCAAGTGATCATACCTCCTCCTGGTCCCCACGCCCTGCTTTTTTGCTGTTCAGCTGTTCAATGCCTCAACCATTCAACCGTTTTGCCTTGTTCATCTTCGTCTTCGTGGCGCCTTTTGTGGTGTCTGTTTGTGGCGTTTGTTTTTCCGAATTTCCGAATTTCGGCAAGTCCACGACACGACACGATTACGCCCACGATACGATACGAGGTGCGAAAATGTTTATGATAAACATATCTGCAGTGTCCCTTGGCTGGTTTTGGAGAATGGGGTCTCGAACGTAACATGCGCGCTTGAGGATCCGATGTTTCCTCCATGCAAAGTGGTTTGGAGGTTTTACTCGCTCGTTTGATATTGCATCCCACTCCGCCTCACTCCGCCTTCGAATCACTGCATTCCTTTCTTGGACTTTGGACTCGATGTTTATGTTTCTTGATATCTCCCCATCCCCATCTCATCCATCCCAATCCTGGTTAACTATGTGTATTGTTTTGCCGTTGCTTTATCCATCCATCACTTAACATCATCATTCATCATTTACGGCCATATCTCCCGCATCGAACCTTGAACATATCCATGTTTCACCTTCCTACGGACATCCCATTCCGCAGCTGTCATTGTTATTCGACCCTCGCGTTCTTGTTTTGGTTGTTGTGCCCGTTAGTTAGTGCCCCCTTATATGTTTCTTACTTCCTTTATCTTTCTTGCTTGCTACCATCCCCCGTGCTCCGCTAATCACACCCAACTTATTATTCCTTTATACTGCTTTCCTTCCATTTCACGCCCACGCTTCTTGCTGCGTACCGAGGACTCGGTCACTCTCCAGGACCCTACATCTATCATAACATCTCCGCCGCCGTGTGTTTTACATGTTTTTTGATACGTGTTTTTGATGTTTTGCTTTGTTTCTATTTCTTCCTTTCTCCTTTTCTACTGTTTGACGTATTTCTATTATTTGTTTTGTTTGTTTTATCCATTTCCCCGTCGATTTCGCCCTGCGCCGACGCCGACGCACGCCACTGCTCACTGCGAGCTAGGCTGTTCAATCCTATGTCGTAGTAGGGTTGGCTTCTCGCCTAACGACGTATGGGTTCTTGACCATCACTTCCCCGGCAGTTCTATTCGCCTCCGGTACGGCAGACATCGCCACTGAGACAAGCGTCGACGCGGCTCCTCGATCAAATTCTTCCCTGCTTTCTTTGACTTAGAACTCGCCCTCCACCATCTATCATCATCATTATCGAATCCGAAATGGCCGACTATCATCAACCGTCGCCTCAACGAGCAATTCAAAACATCTCTTCATGCCATATATTTATCAAAGCCGCCTCCGTCTTGCTACCTCGACACTTGCTGCAAATCAAAAAGCCCATCATAGACACGCCTCTCGCAATCATCAATTTATAATCAGTGTTATACGACAAAACATACATACATACCCAGATATCTTGCACGCACACAGAATCAATGTATAGCGATAGCCTTTCTTGTCTTTCTCGTTTTCTTGACCATGTATGATTTTGTACTATGTACTAGCTACATACAGAACTCAATCTCAACCATATTTTGCAATCTATATATTTTATCTAAGTTTGATGCTAACCCTCATGATGCGTGTACGTCGCACACGCACACATATGTTCCGACTGAACATACATATTTCGTCCTTGAGAACACCCCAGAGTGTTTGCACCAGGTGTGCATTGCATTCCAGCGCACCTGAGAGTATGCTTGTTATCGCAGTCGGGAGAACGATGGGAGCCGTCGAAGGCTTTTGATGGAAGGTAAGATAAGGCTGTGCCAGTGAAGCCAAGCCGATGAAGTCGTGGAGGAAAGCCAAAGTAAGGCGGGGATCGCGTGGGAGCTGCATAATTTCGTAGTTGTGGCTTGGTGTCCACACGGATATTGCCGGCTCGTGGGAACCAACTGTACAGTACCTTCGAGTCTTTTTATCGGCGCGAAACTCTTCCCGGTTCTTCCCCCCTGCTGTTTCCTGCGATTTTCTTGTTTGCGCCTTTTGACTCGTCTTTTGGTTTCCCTTCGGACTTTTTCGCATTTATCATCCCTTCACGCATGAGACGGCAGCGGGGGATCTCCAGAGATAATTGATCTTTGGGGTGTTCATCATGTTGGGGTTTGCCCTCTTGTTCCACTGGTACGTGACGGTTCGCAACTAGTCGACCAATTTGGGCTTCCATGTCACACAGGCTGGCGCCCATTCGTCCCCGCTAGTTAGGCGGTCCCCGAGCGTATGCCGGACATCTCCTACATCTGTACGTCGGTGAACGCATCAGTACCACGTAGGTTAACGGCCTTACATCTCCCATCTTTCTCAGTTCCGCCCAAATCGCATTGTTAACTTATTGTTAACTTAACGGCCACTCTGCCTGTGCCCTCGTCTTTATCAAGCATCTCTCACAGCAGTACGTCGGTCATCGCATTAGTACCATACGCTAACGGCCTTATATCTCCCGCCTTATCTCAGTTCCGCCCAAGCCGCATTGTTAACTTATCGCTCTCGTCAGTGCCTAGCATATGTCACAAGTGGTATGTCGGTCATCGCATCTGTACTACATATGCTGACAGCCTCGTGTCTCCTGCCTTTCTCAGTTCGCCCGCATTGCATTGTTAACTTATTGGCCACTCTGCCCGTGCCCTCGTTTTTATCAAGCATTTCCTACAGTAGTACGCCGGTCATCGCATCTGTCCTAAATGTACTGACGGTCTTACGTGTTTCGCCTATCTCAGTCTCGCCTCCGTGGATATAATGTAGTAAAGCCACAGCACGTTGTGAGGGCTGGCCACCCTCGCCGTGTGTTTGTGTGCTTACCCCTAGTACTTACTCTTCGCGTACCTTATGCATCTGCGATAGCATGATACAACGGCAGGCGGGCTCCAACTCAGTACTCATCAGTAAGATCACACTTCAGTGTGGGAACTGGACGTGATCTGGGACAACAGGGGTACTATGTAGACGGCTGGACCCATAACAAGCACTTCTCCATTAGGATGCAAGTGTGACTGCTGGTGAGCGTACTACTTCAAGTTCAACCAATCACTATCAACAAGTCGGCTTTTTTCACTATGTTAATCCATCCCACACTCCCTCACCGCATCTTTCGCCCCAAGAGCCCCGATTCTCGTCCACAAAATCGGCCACATCACGGGCTGCGAGTCCCCGACAGGCTCACACGAACGTTCTCAGCACTCTTCTCGAAGGCTGGGCCCCTCGCTGCCAGGAGTCCCAGCCCCGGGCCTTCTTCGACAGCGGCCCCAAGAACACCACCCAACTCTCCTGCCGGTAGCATCCATGAGTCTGGGAGTTGTGAAGGTGCGTAGTTGTGTCGTGTTCTAGTACATTTACCTGACCTTTTCACTCAAGGGTGCTCGTGCTGCCAGCGGCATCGATTTGAACATGAATGCGACGTAATGCACCTACAGGAGATGCACAACGCCCAGCTTGAAGCTGTCTCCCGCTTGCTCCGTGAAAGTCAGCAACAAGTGCAAATGCTATGTGACATATTGCGACCAAACGAGGAATGGGTTGGGATGGCAAGCATGGTGCAGACGATGCTCTTGAGTGTTGAGCAGGCACGGATGGATGAATGCGCGGAAGAGGCTGGTTTGGAGATCTGCGACATCAACAGCTGTTAGTGCAGCAAGTTGTCCTTGTACCGCCGTTGGCGAAAATCTGTAATCCCATCCTCACAATCATTATGACATATGGAATCCAAGTTTGATACCTAAGACAAAAGTTCATATGCATGATGATCTACATATTTGTTTAGGTAAAATGCCTCGAATGCATCAAGACTATGTATATGTTTGAAATTGGAGGGAAGGGCAGCAGTACCGTAAACAGGAATTAGAGGTGCGGGGCGTAGCATAACTACAGAACGAAGAGGCTGTAAATGCCGGCCCACAGCTTCTGGCCGTACAATCCATAGTCCAAGGTCCTTGTCAGGCCGCTGACCGTACTGTTTAAACCACTCGACGACGGCACATGGTACGGTGATCCCATCATGTTTGAATGAGAATCAAAGTCGTACGCGCACGACACTCATTCCCTCGAAGCCTACTGACTCCTGATTTTCAACGATGAGCAACATGGCTCAGAGTGAACTCCACCACCCTGCCAACAATGCATAGCAGAGGAATAAAGGGTGACGGATGTGGCTTGTGACGGATGTGGCTAGGACGCAAGCAAAATGGTTCATGGTCTAGTAGCGGACTCGATTTTCCATTGGTTCAACCCTAATCTGTATGTCACATTTTGTACAATTATATTATCAAAACTTGAAGAGGGTGTAAATGAGTACAACAATGACTGCAAGAGTGATGATGTGTGGAAGGGAGAGAATGCCCTTGATACTGTGAGGGTATTCAAAAGACTTTCTCTCACAGGTACTAAAGAAATCATAGAGGAGTTCTACTTCCTTTACAGAGCAGGCCTCATTGTGAGGCAACTGGCAGGCGAATACTAGGTAGCGGAATGCGAAGAATGCCGCAGATTCAGTGAAGGAGAGGCGGAACTTCATCACAGTTGACATCTGAATGGACCCAACGGACGCTTGAACCCTTGCTAAAGAGCAGCGCATGGTGACAGAACAACTCTCCT